CCTAATAAACAATATTAACGCTTTTTTGATGGACTTTATTGCGGGGAGGGGCGTTATAGCATAAGGTATTTTGTGTTATAGCTAAAAGATCTCTGGAAAGTTACCGAAGTGTGTCTATATCTTAAACAATGACGGATGTCTCGAATATGAATATCATTTCCTCTGCAAAGTTTATCAAACAAGTACGACCCGGTCTTATTGGAGTAAAAAACAAACCGAACCGACTGACTAACTGAACTTTATATCGGTCCTCCAGCTTGAGCCAACCCGAATCAGAGAGGCACTGTGAAATATGGTCATACTTACTGGGGCTTTAAAATTTAAATATCACATATCAAAGTGCATCTAAAAAGCCTACTTAAATCTTAAAATGTATCATCATAGGAACATGTTAGATGAAAAGCGGATTCACTCCTTTTGCGTCATTTCAATTTTAATTGTTAAATTATAGATAAAAAATTTTACTCCATTGTTGTTCCTTTTCTTTCTACCTAAGCATCTTCAAAAAAAACTGTCTGTCTATTTTAAATTGAGCTGATTATTCATATTTTAATTAGCACAACGGTCAGCACAATTTTCATTTATAATATTTTCTGATCCTTTTTGCACCCCAAAATGTATATTATCTTCATTGTAATACTATATATGATACTTAAACAAATCATTAATTTATTTTCATTTTTAGATATTTTTAATTTGTTTTTATTTTTATATTTTTATTTACACATATGTCTGTGTTGTTTCAAAATTGTTATGAAAACTTCTGTTTTATTTTACAACGAATTATTAAGAAATAAATCAAAACAAACCATAAATTTTTGATATTTTTATTTAAATGCAGTTATTAATTTCTTATTCCACCTCTTCGTTTCGTGACTTTTCAATGTGGCGCTAAATTGCGCGTCGCCGCTTCGTACACGTTGGTGGCAAAGGAGGGGGTCGTAAAATCGCCCAATACGTGTCGATAAACAGCCCGTAAACGCTTTTCCGCCGGAAAATATTCACCACGACGCGCTTTTCTCGGATCATCTCCCGGAATTTCGAGATCGGTTTACATAAATTTCAGTTTAAAACGGGAGACGTATTTACGACGCCACGAGGGGGCGTTACGGGGAAACTTTGAACCGCCAGTCCCCAGCTACCCCACGACCACCCACCTCACTCTTCAATTTATCGCGTCGGATCTGATGAGAGATTTAGTGCCCGTCGGATTTTTTTTCTCCGATACACTGACTAAATAGTATCCAGGCCGTTGAACCTCGGCAAACAGCTTTCGGTCGTGTGACAAGGCAAATGAGAAAGATGGTCCAAAATTATAAGATAAACGAATAAAAAAAAAACAATAAATATTAAATTGAAGCTGTCGAACTCAGTAAAATACCAATAAAAACAACTAGAAAACATATTTTTAATTTTTATTTGATTTCTTTAGGTGAAAGTTGTTGTACTACTTAATTAGGCTTTTGCTTATTGTGTTATCATTTCTCTATATTATACAGGGCGACCGAATTCAAACTCGTCAAACAGTTTTTTATTGATTACATATTCAAAAAATATTTTTCTGCAGTCATCCGATTGACATTTATAGGAAAATTTATTGTATACCACTGTTTGTTTGAATGTTTGATATATTTTTTATATTAAGTTATTTAAGTTTGCTTTGCATGTGGCAAGACCACCATCATCATCCCAGCAAAAGCGAAACTGGTTATAAAAAAACTTGAAGAGGCGAAAAAATGTATTTTTAATTGCCTAATTCTAAAAAAATATTAAACAATCAAAAAAAAGTTGTTTCTTCACGATATTTGGCAATACCTGAAGAGTTTCAAATTACAATTATTATTATTTGCTAATCAGATCTCCAAATCTGATTTTCCTCATTTTCCAAGAATACAATCTTCACGAAATTAATTTGAGAAAACTATCTTCAGAATTTGAAACGAGATTTCAGGATTTTAGAAAAATGGAACCAGAGTCTAGTATTTTCGAGTGCAGATAATTTCCCAAATCTAATTACTTATACAATGAAGATAATGACAATGTTCGGCTCATCTTATATATGCGAACAAATCTTTTCAGCAACGAAGCTTAGGAAAACTTCTTTATGAAACAGAATTACAAATGAGCACTTGTCATCAGTTTAAAGAGTTTCTGCTTCGCAAACTATGATGAAATTTTAATAAAACAGTCTCAATTTCATTTTTCTCATGCACTATCAACCAGTACTGACACCAGAAAATAGAGTGATAATACTTCACATCGAGAACTACACTAAATTCATTTTATATTTCGTGCTTATAACTTTCTTACCTTTTGCTTTTTTACTACGAAAATAATATATAAAAAAAAATCCCCGCCACTGTTCTAAAGGTAACTAGCAACTGGTTTTTGTGTGTCAGATCCAAAAAAAAATATATAATCTTAATACACAGTTCCATTTAAACCTAACGATTTTCTCGTCAGTCCTAATCAAACACACCTTTAATCAAAACGCGTTAATTTTGCCGTGAACCGGATATGCCCCTGACAACCCCTTGAACGTATAGACCCCTAATCAAAAGGCGCAAGGTTAAGCGGGAGCAAATTGTAACATCAAGATGGTAATCGTTTTAGACGTAGGTCAGAGCGTCGGGTTACTATATCAACCCTCGAGACGCTTCTCTCCATTAATTAACAGCGAAGTTTCCAAAAATGTCGCGCGCCTTTTTTCCCCCCTCGGTCGACGTCGCGACGTCAAAACGGCGACGTTCGGGTTAAAATGAGCGCCCTTTGTGCCCGTCGACGACACGGAAAGGGGTTGAAGGAACCCTTTTGAGCGACGAGAGCCCTTGAGGGCGCGCGGGGTGGCGGAAATTGCTTTGAAAAATTCTCTATGAATATTTTTCAGGTTCGCCGACTTTTTTAGGGGCCCGCCACTTTTCCCGATTAAGTTCTATCGTTTCTGGGATCGAGACGCGCGCTTATCCAAAGTTTACTTTCGAGAATTGGCTCGTAGAACGTCGCTGAAATTCACAAGAGAAATATTTCCGAAAAGCTTGAATAGAAACTACCTACTACTTCATGGAGCAACATAGGTCAATACGTCTAGTTATAATTAGACACCCCACCCCCCTGTAGGGTTTACGTTACTTCAACATGCAAATGTTTTGAATATTTGTTCCTTGAAATAATCATGTATAATATGTTATACTCATCTCTATAACATATTCCTCTGTATTCTCAGAAACCACGATAACTATTTAAAAAAATGTGGTCCAACAAACTGACCAAGCCAAGACCAAAATACTGTTATAAAAAAATAAAAATAAAATCATTTCCAAATTGCAAAAGTTTGCCTAAAAGCGTCTACTTAAAAAATTGAAAGAGTTTACTTAGTCTCGAGCTCTAATGAAATATTTGCCTGGCGTATTTTTTATTGTTAATAGTAACCTACACCTTTTTAACTCGTTCTGTTATTTAATGATTTTTGATATTGCCTTTCTGATCTAAAGTCAACGTAAAAGTTGCCTGGGTAAAGATAATAAAGATACTGTAGTGTATGATATTGTTATTTTTCTCTTTAAACTTTCAGAAATATTTGTCATTCTTGATAGTAAAACTTTATACACATAAAAATAGGGAACGGTAATACAATTTGCAGTAGAATTTAAAAATGGCAATAATATACTCAGCGACACAAAAAATTGGTAACATATATATATTTTTTGCATTTTTGGATTCAGGAGATTTTTCCAGAGAATTAAAAATGTTTCTTACTTGTCTAATGGCAAATACCATTTTAATATAATGCACCATTTTTTTTTGATAACCCAGTTTTTTTTTCAGATAGCAGTTAAGTTCTGAAGAAGCCAACAGGATAATTGGCAAAACGTCAGCAAGTTCGCAACAACTGAACCAAGACGAATTCAGAAGATTTGAAAATAGTATTTTTGCTACTCATTTAAATTACGAAAAACACTGATACTAACACTTTTATGTATTTTTGGCATGTGGTAAACAAAATGTTTTTCACTATATCAAGTTAGTATAGCAGCATCAAAATTTCATTTTGAACTATATTGAAATTATTTTATTTTTTTCAATTATAGCAGTTTTAATTTAATGTTTTGAAATTGAAATTAAAATTTGTTTTATCTAATTATTTGACCTTGAAGTAAATACGCCATGATAAAGTGAGACGCAGTTGCGAAATTTTATAATGTTTTTTAAATTAATAAATAACTAAAAGTATTACATAATAATTGTTGTGATATTTTATCGAAATTATTATATTATTAAAATTAATAAGGCAGCAGTAGCATAAAGAAAATTAATAAAAAATGGAAAAAAAGGCCAAAGAGAACATGTTCTACATTAGGTGACGACAGTAGCGATACTGACGCTTCTTTAAGTGACTAATACTTTATTATTATAATATTTAATATTTTGTATATTAATAATGACACTATTTAGAAATGTAATGAAATAGAACGTAATAAATAGTTACTATTTTTTTTATGTACACGTTTCAAGAATTGCTCAGCGAAAAAGGTTGAAAACATGATAAATTGCCAAGACGGTCCTGGAATGGTTAGGGGTAAGGGTATCACGAGGACGGTTGCAAAAACACAATATGTTCCTCGCTCCTCTTGGGAATTATTTTCTGCCACCTATGTGGTTACTATCGCAACTATTCATACTCAGGCAACACCCTTCACTATATCCGTCCCGTGCCACAATGGCTATATTTGAATCACAATAAGATCAATTTGAGGAATGACTTATGCGGCCTTTTTTAGTTGGACATTTGCGACAAAAAACGTGGCAAAAATGAAATCAAAACGGGTCGAAATCAAGGCACCACGAATTAGGTTCAGCGCGCGCCATCTCTCGGCGGTGGCGGTCACTGGCGCGTCTCGAAACCGCAGGAATCTTTGCGCGTGCGAACGAACGCCGCGTAGATGGTGCCACCCGCCACGCGCTTCGAAAACCCGCGTCTGTCAAGCCGTGGGGAAAAAAAGATGATAGGTTAACATACACACATTTCGGATGCATAATCGCGTCGCGTGCGAGTGTGTGAGTGGCGGCGATGACGGCGGCGGTCAATTTTTGCGTTATTCTTTCGCGGCGGCATATTTAATTCGTTCTGGTGAGCGCGTCCTCTGAGTGAATTTGTGCCGGACATTCCGTAGAAAGCATCGACATTTTCCGTACGCTTTATCGCTCGCGATCGATCACGAAAAAACCGTCGCTTTATCGTCCGACGATAAAACGTTTTCGAAAGTCGTAGGTGAAAAAATGGCGAGAGCGATGGCTCGTTGACGGTCTACGCGAGGAAGGGCGACGCCGACAAAATGGACAAAAACGATAATGTGCCGCAGTGGAAAAAAGATTTGATCGCGAGGCTTCAGAGTCGAAAAAACGAGGCGAGTATAGTGTCCGTTCGTTTCACGTTCCGCTACGTCCGAGTTTACGCTCCGTTGTTCCTCCGATACGGCCCTACGACGACGGTACCCAAACCTGTTTTTTTTTTAGTAAATTAACGCGAAGGCGAAACCGAAGGGTCCGCTTCGACGACGCGCCTCGGGGCCCGCGTTGGACGTTTTTATAGAATCGATACGCTTATTGTTTAATTATAGATTACAGGGATTCGATAGTTATCGATAAGCCTAATTTAGGACGTCGTTATCTGACAGGTTCCCCGATAACAACATTACCGATATTCGGTTCCCTTCTCCCTTGCAACGCTCCACATTCTGTCGGTTTAATCTCGATCGAAATCCCGCGATTGCGTCATCGAAAAGAGAAAACTGCCCCGCGTGGGTGCCAAACTAGTATTTCGAATAAGATCATACGGTGGCGTTTCGAATGACTCTCGTCGTCGCGTCCCGAGGCCCGGTAAGTAGTCGAAACAATTTCCTACCGACGACGGTTCGGTTTGCCGCGTCTATTCGGACTTTGGTCGCGTGCAATTGTTTTTTTACGCGATAAACGCGGCGCCACCTGGCGGATTTAAACGATATTTTTACGATATAGTAAATCAACGCGGCTGATAATTTGTGACACGTTTGTCATTCGCGTCGAGCGAACATATCATAAATTACCTGCATATTTTATTTTTAAAGCTCGTTTTAAACGTAAAAGTTTCATTAAAGTATGTTATCTAGGTACTCGCATAAAAAAAATACGTCGTTTTTTGTTATACGGCAATAAATAGCGATAAAATATTTCTTTATTAGTCGATTTGATTGATCACAACGTAAAAATTAAAACAAAAAGACAAATAACAAAATAATATACAGTGAATCACAGCTGAAACGCTATAACAAAAACTAACTGGCCTGGACGTCTCTTTATTTATTTGAGAAAAAAAACAACTTACTGACATTAAGTTAGTAAAAGATCTTCTAAAAAAGTGTGAATCACTTTTTCTTTTAAACATGACTTAGTTAACAATAAAGAATTAATTAAATTATATAAAAATTATATATATAAAAATTAAAACAATAAGACAAATAACAAAATAATATACAGTGAATCACAGCTGAAACGCTATAACAAAAACTAACTGGCCTAGACGTCTCTTTATTTATTTGAGAAAAAAAACAACTTACTGACATTAAGTTAGTAAAGGATCTTCTAAAAAAGTGTGAATCACTTTTTCTTTTAAACATGACTTAGTTAACAATAAAGAATTAATTATATTATATGCAATATTAACGTCACTGCTTAAATGCAATTTCAATTTTTTCGGAACTGTAACTAATAATTAAAGATCTGGCAAACGCGAACAAATAAGACTTAGAATGGAACTCTGACTTGGAAGCCCACTAAACATAAAGACCCTAAGTTCTAAGTAAATGCTTGATTTTAGCCCTGCAGGCGGCTCAAGTTCTAGAAAACTTTTAAATTTAATTTAAAAAATATATATTCTTAAAGGGTTTAATGTGCAACGTGCACATTTCTAAAAATTTAAACTTATTTTTCAATGGCTAAATACAAATGATAATATATAAATAAACAATAACGAATTAGTTAAAATTCGATGCTTGAAAAAAATGATCCTCAGGGTGATTCAAGCTGAATCATTAATAATTGGGAATATTTTCAATGTTAAATCCAAACTTAAAATATATTTGATTTCGCAATCTGTGTGACGTCTTTAATTTTTCAATTTTATTTTTATAACTTAAAAAATTATTTTAAGTAACATAATGTCAATCAATTTTATTAATTTTCAACGTAATTGTGCAACATCAGATTTTGTAATTATTAATTAATAATTATGGAAATGAATAATGACGCATTTGTCGGAATTCGATACTTGAATAAAAATTCGCAGTGAGATTGCCGATCAAATTATACACTGATTCAATAATAATCGAAAACGTTTTTATTAACTGTTGAAATCGCTTAGATAAAAAGTGTTTTTTCATACTTTCCTGTTATTTCTCCATTGGTTCAATTGTAACAAAATGGTTCTTTTGACGACAAATAAATAAAATTGTTCGACGCAAAACCATCTGCATAATTAATAAGTACCTACAATGAGGAGTTTGTTATTTGCCTATCAAGTATTACAGAAACAAAAAATTGTTCTAATATGGTAATAGCGTCAGTGGCGTAGAATTTGGGGTCGACCAGCCACTTGCCGCTTGCGCCTCTGATGGTATTTTTTTTTCGCAAGCGTGTCTCGTAATAATTTATGACACCGGAGTAATATTTAATAAGGGGTACTGACCCTCGATACACGAGATAGCTCACTCTCCGCGTAAAATCAATAAATTATTCATTATATTCCGCGCAATTCGTTTATTTTATCTAACGTCCGCGCCGCCACTTTCTATAATTAAGACCGGATCATTTACATAAATCGTTCGAATTGCAATTACGATCGCATTCAGAAAGCGGCAACGTCGGATTTTTCGAATTCCTCGGTAGTTCGTTTTTCATCACGTCGCCCCGTAGAGGAGACGCGTTTTGGAATGAGTCTTTTTTTTGCTCGCGCTTAACCAAATAGCAATTAAGGACCGTTTTTTCGTTCTGTAATAGCAGTTTAAAGTAAACAAAAATCTTTTGAAAAAAAAAATTAGCTCCACACCTGAGATGAGTGTCACTTTATTTCAAATAAGCGGTTCCACGGCCCGTATATTGAAAATTTCGCAACGTCCGGTACATCATTTAGAGCTTTCTGCGCATCCTTGGTTCTCAGGAATTTACAGAATAACATCCGTCTATCTGGAATTCGCAGAACGAAGCAACTCTGTTTCAGGTTACGAGTAATTTTCCTCGATTTGATTATTTAAAATCTTGCGCCGCTCAGTATATTAATAAACCCCTCCCGCCCCTCCTTGGACGCCAAAAATTGAAAAAAAAAACATCGAAAAAATTCTTATCGAGCGACTCCGCCGATAGAAAAGAGAAATCTAGGTATATTAATTTAATATAAATTATTGCTCCGAGTGAAACGTAATAATTTATTTGTTGCGCGAGAGAAATCGCGATTGTTTCGATTTCCTCCGGGGTGGGGCGAGGGATGATGATCGCCAATCGAAAAAAAAAACATGGCGATCGCCGATCTGGTGGAATTCGCGACCACCTCGGCACCCCGTCTCCCGCGTTCAACAACCTAGCGAGCTCCGTTTGTTTGAGCAGCTGTCGTCGTTCCGCGCGACGTTGCCGCCTCGTTTCCGCCGAATAGCTGGCTATACGCATAAAGTTTTATCTGTTTATTAATAAAAATAAATAAATAAAACCGCCTTTATTTTAAGCTCCGCGAAGATTAGCTGAGCTGTTAACTTAACCGAGTATATAACAAGATTGCTTTTTTTTAATTTCAAAAAGAAGCCGATTCGGGGATTTTGTCCTTGAGGGACGCATTGCTTTTCTATTGTGCTCCCTGCAGACCACTATGGAACTTCGCAAAATCGATGTAATTTAATTGTGCCTGCACCCTGTATAAAGTGTCTTTCACGTCCCGTCGAACTTTAAAATTACGGCAAACTTTGTTAAATATTTAAATTTGTACAAATAATAGCGTTGTCGAATGATATTTTACGATACTATCTAAATCAAATCAAATTATCGCATCTTCAGCAATTTTTCTTTTATCGCCAATAATTTACCCACAAAAACGGAAATTTTAGGGAACTTTTAGATTTCCTGCCAATAATCGACACACCCTGCATATATTTCAAACAATGTCCAAATAGCCCTGTGGATCTCCCACGTTTCATGCTGTATGATGTTTTCCAATAGAGTAAGTGGTTTTCAAGAAAATACTTGTGAAACCATGCAGTACGATAGGAAGATGGTGATTTTCATTTGAATTTTTTTAAATATCTTGAACAGCGTATGTGATAGACGAAAACCGTAAATACAAAAATTGTAACTTTCGATGTGGCCTATAACACTACGTAAACGAATTGGCCATATTTGTCACGAATTTTGATTTAGGGCTAATAATTTAATGGAGAAAAAATGCCTGAAATAAAAGTTATGGTCCCGGATCTCCCGCATTTCCTTGTTCACAAATTTTGCCGATCGGGTTAATAGTTTTCGAGAAAATATTTTTTTTTCTGGAAGTCAAAATATATCAAAATTTTTCAAAAATACTTCGCGAGATTTGTAAGTAAATCCTTTTTCAACAGATGAAATACGGGTGTGGACTTCTACCCTTCTGTCAAATCTGAAGTCGATAGCTGCAAATTAAAGACGTCTGCTAATTTTTGAATATAGCACATAGTATCTTGAACACCCTGTACAACAGGTGAAAACCTTGAATACAAAAGTTTTGGCTGTTTATGCGGGCTATATCGTCATTTAAAAGAAACTGACATCCGAAGTACAGCCTTTCAGTTTCAACCCATTTTTCAGTTTTTTTTTTAATTGCGGCGCACCCGGTACATTTTTGAAAAATGTTTAAGAATAAAATTTTATGGAGTCGAATCTTCTGCGTTTTCACATTCGTTCGCCTTTTTGGAGAAATGATTTTTTTCTTGGACCCTTGCAAACGCGGTTTTTAATTTTGTAAAAATACTTCCCGAGCCCCCAACACCCCCAATTTCAATAGATTCCGTTAGAGGGCCAAGCGCTATCCGCCTGCCAGATTTGGAGTCGATAGCTTCAATTTTCGAACCCATATCGTGTTTCATAGCAACGTCCAAAAAAAAGTCGAAAATAAAAAAAAAGGTGGGCGCCGAAGCTTGAACGCAGCCATTTTTACATATGTAGCTAAAACCGTTCGGAAGTTATCGCCGAAAAACCCTGGAACAGAGAACGGAGAACGAGGAAACAGAAGAAAAAAAACTATTTTCGAAGCTGATTCGATTTATACCAATGGCGGTCTATAGCAGCTATGGGGATTGTTTATCACGAAAGGAAACATTTTATGTTAGGAATACTATGGAATAAAAAAACAGAGATATTCCAGTAACAAAAAGTGAGGCATTATGTTTTGCAATTTTTTTATTTCTGCCCAATACTCGTGACACCCTGTATAGTAGTTAAATCGTAGTTATATATCTCAGTTCGATACGGCAGCTTTAACTTTGCGTGAACTAAAGCGACAACTTCGAACTCCATGTTCCCGGATTTTTTAGTCGCTTGGCAACGCCGCTCGGCCGCGTTCCAGCGGAACGGTGAGCGGTACCCCCCCGCCGGTGGACCGTACCGAATCCGTCGGTGCTGCAGTTCTTTTCTTCGGCAGCGGCTCGTAATCAGTACGGTCTTCGGTGCGCGTCGAACTATACCTGCGGCGTGCGATGTAGTACTGTTAAAGCGGAACGACCGGGTACGAGTCAGCATTCCGCGAAACTAACGCCGATCAGAGACAGTACCGACGGCGACGACATGGTTCAGGTAGACCAACACCATTATTAAATTTACCCGTGTGTTATGGGGTGGCGGTACGGTTCGAATCGGTCGTTAGTTACTCGGTAGCGGTACCACCTCGCGGGATGCGCCGCAATTATGGTAATTTTAAGTACCACCTCTGGCCGTCGCCGTCCTTGGACGAGTCGAAACGGGTCCGCAGCCCTGCGGACGGGGTTGCCAAGTTTGCACTCCATCCGTGTCGTTGTCTGTCGTCCCTTTTATCGGGCTCTTCGGTAAGATAAAAAGTACAGCTAGTCGGATGAGAGATAAATTTTGAATACCCGCAAAAACCGGTCCAAATAGCCGTTAAATGTGTCGCGGACCGAAGGTGAAAGAACTTTCGGTGACCCACGGCGAGTTTGAGAAACAGAGAAATTGTTTTCCTTTGGGAAACGGCGAAACAATGGCACCGAAGAAAGTGAAACAACCGTCATCTTCGGCGGGAGACTTTTGGTATCGTCGATTTTCCGTTGTTTTTGTTTTAAACGACGACAATTCCATCATTTTATCGCGGCAATTACTCTCGGACGATTTCTATTTCGTATTTAATAACAATAATGATGACTATTGCTGTGCGCTCTACTAAAATTCTTCCGGCGTTTCTGCAACACCATTCTCTTTCGATATAGATGCACATACTTAAACGCGTGGAATTTCTTTTGCAAGAACTGCGGGATTTGCGAACGCGGTCAGCCGTTAATTTGATGATATTGCAGGATGTTTATCCCAATTTGAGCTCACCCTGTATCTTTTTGCAACTTTTGTATCTAATTGCAACCGAAGAAGCCGGTTTCTTGGTTTCTTTTTCTTCTTTATATTCCATTTATGAACCACCCTTTTTATCAAAACCAGGGCCACTTGGTTTTAAGTCAATTTAGATAGTAAATACAAGGAACACAAGGACACAACGTACAATAATATCTATAATGTATTACAGACTTCTTCTGCCTCTTCTCTGAGGAACTCTTTTCTATTCCAGCCTTCTATGACAGCTTGACGAGCACTAGAAATATTTTGATGTTGCAATGCGATACCGCTTTGTACTTTCATCAATTGAGTTATGAATGATAGGTTGCGTTCTCCGAAGAATACTGCAGAATCAGCCGGACGATATTTCACCATTTCACGAAGATGAATATTCAACTAACCCTGACTGGAAAGGAAGCAAACCTTCCTTTAAAATTCCCTGTTCGCTTCCGATGGGCCATGGGCTTTTTCATTTTCTAAGAGGCACCTTAATACCCGCTTACAGGCCCTCAATGAAAGCTTGGCTGTCACCGGTTATATTTTTGTCTAGCCACATTTTTGGTATTATATAACTTCATTAATCCACATCTTATCAAGATAAAAGTTTTTCTTCTGCTCCCTCATATTTTTCAAAATATAGTTTTCTACTTACTATGGTCCTCTCGTTCGAACGCCAGCAAAATCCTGTGTCATGATCAGGGAATTCTTTTTGGAGGTTCCAGTTGACCTGGTGTCTTGATTTCCTATAATCATTTAAATACAATCTTTTCAATTGTAATCATTCTGCAACATCTTTCAATTTTTTCTTATATTGTAAAGTTACGATGGTTATGTCCAAAGAATTATTGATTTACTGATAGGAGAGAATTATACTAGCTTCTCATAGAAATAAATGTAGATGATGTACTCGCCATTTGACTAATACCGTTATCAGATTAGATTAACAGTGCATGTGTCATCGAGGTAAATGATTAAACGATTCTCAGAACGGCATTTAGCTACTTACGACCCATCTCAATATTACCGGTACTCTCAAAAGTTCTAGAGAAAACAATGGAATCTCAAATTCTTCCATGTCTAATAACCAATCAATTCCCTATAGACCGTCTGGATTTAGAAAAGGCTACAGCTGGGTGATAGTCCTTTACGATGGCTGCTCTTCAGATATAATTAAGATTAGAATAGAAGTCCCTCAAGGAAGTATTCGCGACACCCTCCTTTATAGTATATATACGTTTAATTTCGTAAATTCTCTTCAGTAGTGTAAGTATAATTTATACTAGGACGATACCCAGATTTACACGTACTTTACATTAATACTGTTAACGACCTTCTAAACTCTGACTTGCGAGAAGATAGACACCGTCTTCAAATGAATCCATTCAAACCTATAGCCCTATAACGTATAAAACTCAGATTGGGGAATAGTAAAATCTCATTTAAAAATTCATGCAAAAGCTTGGGTCTTGTTATCGATTTAAATTTAACTTATATATAAGGAAACCAAAACTAAGTCACTTCTGTGTAAAACTTTAACACTATCACATTTTAATTTTGCTGATACAAAATAAGCTTTCTGACGATAGATCAGTAATTAACGACGCATTTTGCTTAAATCAAGAACCATCTTTTTCTCTGTTCCTATAGCCCTGTCTCCTTTCTTTCTTCTTCCTTTGTGTCCTGTTATTCTTCTATACTGTTCTCTGCATAAAGTAAACTTCAATAATTGTATTTAAGGAGAATATGAAATGTTGTAATATATAGTTAATAATTATATTGTAATATATAGTATTTCTTCATTATAAGTTTCGTTGGCTTCAACAGCAAGGAAGGTGCGTCAAGGCCCATTATTATTATTATATTTTCTTATCGCTCTTATATGGCGCAATTCTTGTAATTGCTGGGATTCCAGCCTTTAATTTATGATATTTGAAGCCCAACTTTCCAAGGGCCAGTAATTCCACAGCTTATCCGTTCCTTCAGAGTTCATAACTTTTTCGCCCTCTTTATACGTACATTTGCTGGAACTTAAATTTTTAGGCTTGGTACTATTCTTTTCACAGAAGCCTAAAGGGTACCTTAGCCAAATCACATAATTCCTTTCCAGCGTCACTAGCGTTACGTTCTCAATTAAGTAAAAAGTGATATACCGTAGTTGCAATTGGCTTGACATTCTTGTTCCGTGCCTAGCTACAGTAATGCCTTCCAACTATACTAAAATTTCGAATTTCCCTTTAGAAGTTTTTACCTAACTTCGTCTCTATTCGGTCGATATTGCAAATAATGACTTGAGTGGCTGTTGCCCTCGCAAAATATATACCTGCTGAGGGTGCCGGTAACAACAACACCTTTTACCTAGAACGGCATGTTGTTAATCGATTTTTTCTACCCCCATCCTGACAAGCTAAAATCGGTGGTTGCAGTGTGACTTTACCACTCGATCTTGCGGCCGCCACGATGTTGCCCTCCAGGACTATCGTGGGCGGTGTGGTTTTGCTCCTTGTATTGAGTTGGTTCGTTATTAAACCGTCCGAGTTGATGGCGTTGGCGTACTGCTGGGTGCTGATGGACCTTTTCGACGAACATCACGTGCCGTCCAACCTGCTCCTGCTCCTCCTGGTCGACACCCGCGTCGCGTAATTTTAATTTCCCCATGTCCGAGGTATAATACAACCAAAAATATAGTGTATCTATTGCTTTGACGTTTGAAGTATTTTACAGTACCTTAACCGTGGTAAAACCCATCCCAACAGATGTTTATTCTACATTAACTAGGGGTATGCGGGGTATTTTCAAATAACTAGAAGCGTTTATTTTAACATCAGGTGATATGTGAGTTTAATCTAAATTTCAATGTGTTCTTATATATGCGAGCCTGTTTGCTGTGGATAGTTGAAAGGGTGGACCGTGGAACGAAGCAGATGTTCATGTGTTAGAGGAAGACATGGAAAATAACGTAGAATTTGAAGACGAAGTGGAGATGGTAGTCGACCCTGAACCTAGTGACAATTTAGAAGACGAACTACCTCAGCAAATAAAAAAGAAATTCAGAAAGGGAAATAGAAGCAGCAATAAAAACACGTGACATGACCAAAGTTATGAATTCTACTGTAAGAAAAAAGAGGAAAGCGAGAGAAGATGCAATAGGAACGTGAGAGGAGATGCTGGTACTTCGCCAGTTTTTAATAAGGCGTATAATCTGTAAAGTGGATAGTGTTTTAACCCTAGGAGAAATGCATAAAAAAGTACTGACAGACTAGAAATGTAATGATATAGAACGTAATAAATTGTTTTTTTTTTTATTTGACAACATTTTTATATTCCGCTTGTTAGTATAGGTAGGTAAATTCCTAGGACTGTCCTGGAATGGCTACGGGTAAGGGACTGCGATTTTAGAGTAATTATCAGTAAGCTAAGTTAATCAAGGGGTCGGTCGTAAGAGCACTATATTTCTGGTCGAAGTATACAACGCAACAAGTTTCCGCCATTTTAAATTGCACTTATTGTTCCAGGAGCGCTTATGGCTGGACCATCAGCCGGCCCACAAGCCGATCGCGGACCTTATCGTGCCTCCGCGGGCAGGCAACGGTTACCGCAAGGACCCGGAGCAGTCCGATTCCTCCGAAGAAGACCTCCACTATGGCCCCGGCATTGTCAATAAACTGAGAAACAAGTATTTGAGTCTGGCGCTTCGCGAGAGCGCCGCGCGTCCCACCATCCTGCGCAAAGCGACATCGCTGGAACACCTCTTGGATGACGACGACGACGGCGACGTCGCCGACAAAGGCGCCGGAAGGTTGTTCAGGTCCCGGCCGGGGACGAAAGCGACAGGTTAGTGAAATCACCATACCGGTCTGTCTATTCAATTCATAATAATTGTTTTGAAGGCCGCAAATTTTATAATTTTTCTTTTATCTTTTTGAAAATGTGTTTAGAATTTATGTCAGTTAATTTTTTTTATTTTTTATTGCGACATTATCGGATTCTTATTGTTGGTAAATTGTTTTTAAAGCATTAAATGACAAAACATCCCAATTATTTTTGTTAATATTTACATTACTACTAATTAGCTTATTTTCCTGGCACGTTTAGAAAAATAAAAAATATAAAAGAAAACCGCATTAATTTATGTTGCACTTAATATAAAATAGTAACAACTACACTTCACACAGAATGCACAGATGCGCCTATTTCAATATTAGGACAAGTAAAAATAAACAACACCGCCCCAAAACAATAGAAAAGCTAGAAAAATTAACAGAATTGGTCCTAAATCTAAAACAGTAAAAAATCTGACTGGTGTTTATATAAAATTTTTTGTTAAAAATCGCATTTTCTATCTCCTGTCTCATGCAAGCATTCGCAGTGCAAGTTTTTACTGGTGTTTCAGTTTTGTTCCGTTTTTTAATTATTGGAAACAATTTAACGGACTTAATTGTTCTTAATCAATATGCTACTGTACCAGTAATACTTAATAAGCAATAAATGAAAAGATTAGGAACTCTGTTAAATCTTCTCAAATGATTTAATGGCACACAAAAACTGAGACAACCGTATAAACTTTTGGGGCAAATTGTCACAATCCAAGGAGCAGAAAAATTTTTAGTTGTCTGTATAATAGTATGAACAGCATTCAGACGCTTTTCAAAGTTACTAAACAAATTAATTTATAACATGTTCCTTGTTTGATCTAATGCGTTTTAAAAATTGAAAAATAATGGTGTTTGTGTCTTTTATGCTGGCGTCGGGATATATTTTCGTATTATAAAATCCATTATTTATTTTATTGGCCAAAGTAAACGGTCGACGAAGAGAACTTTCTAATTTTAAGGGGTCCGTGACTATAGTCCGGAACGTGACTCGAGCAAAAATTTTGAGATTACGCTCTTTGCTCGAGTCGAATCTCCCATTGTTCGCGTTGGATCTGTTTTTTGGTTTAAAAAAAAATGAGCTTGAATTAAAAATATTTCAAAAGACAAAGAATCCCGGTTTTTATTGAAACTGAATTTTAAACAGGCTATATCAATCTTTTTTAGTAAAAAAAAACTGTCTCTGGGGTTGTATAAAGTCAGTTCAAATCAACTTACCTTAATCTGAAATCGCTCGGTTTCTGAAATAAAAAAGTAAATAATTAAAAGGAGTCAATAACTAAGGGTTTGTTAAGTTTTATGTACATTTTCAAATGTTCTTCATTGAAAGTGTGACCGTTAGAGGGCGCATCACATTACACGGATATAATAAATAAATTGTAAAATATTTTATTAAAATGTAATAAATGAATATAATTAAAACAAGACTTTTAGTCTGACGAAGAAATGATTTGTATTGTTTTATTTTGTTTTTATTTATATGAGTTATTGTAATTTTATTTATATTTATTGTATTGTCGAAGATATGGCATATTTTTAAAATCTCCAGAAACTACAGGCGCGAGAGTTGAAACTGAAACTGAATCAAATAATTTCATTTTAGTTACACAAAACAAATACGGAAACAGTTTTTCGGAAAATGATTGGACATATCACAGCAAAAAATCTACTGTTGCTACATGCAATCTTTTGCCGAGATATTTCGGTTTTTAAAGTTTGTTAGACGTGGCGAAGCAATTAATAAAATATTTAAAAAAATAAGAAGAAAAAAATGTCAGGTTAAGACCCCGTTCATTTTCTCTTTCAGAAGAAACTAAATATATGATAATAATAATAATACCAAAACGTCTAGTGTTGTGTCACACAAACAAATTTCATTTTACATTTCATGGCTAGCATAAGTCGACGAACTCCGTAAATAAGTCCCAAACCAGAATTTTGTAATTTCATAGACAGTTGCATAGACACTACAACAATGATTGCTACATAATAACTGATTCGCAAAGTAATTATTTTGTATCAATTGGAAGACAATATCTATGGCTGTAAATTAACTTCAAATTTCCGTATGCTACTCTTAATTTCTTTGTAATACGATCTTTAAACTGCAGCTTAGAATCCAGCCTAAACTTTTAGTTATATCTGAGTATGCTATTGGGGAGTCATTAATTTTTATTATTTATTATTTTTATTTTCGACATTGTGTATCTGGAAGTAACTTAAACACTATGCCGTGTTTCTTAATGGGAGAGATTTATAAAATGTAAATATGCAATGACAGGGATCATTAATAAAGAGGTTATATTTATTTATTTATTTATTACAAAGGTGCCCTAACATGAAGAAGTAACTTCACAATTTACAAGGACACACTAACAATTATACCATTATTTAATTAACAAAGTAAAACTTATAAGTAAGTACCTACCTATATCTACGATAAGCAGAAGATAAAAAAAATAATAATAACAATCAAACTTACCAAACTAAACCAAAACTAACACTGTATAATATCGTAAAGTTCAGATGAATTGTAATGATCTTCTTCTTCTTCCTGTGCCTTATCCTCAGTGGACGTTGGCGATTACTATGGCCCATCTGATTTTATTTGCTGCAGCCCGAAATAGATCCATAGATGTCATTCCCGTCCATTGTCTTAGATTCCGCAGCCACGATATTCTTCGTCTTCCAGGACCTCTTTTGCCGTTAAGCTTGCCCTGCATAATAAGCTGGAGTAGGCTATATTTCTGGTTTCGCATAACATGGCCGAAGTATGATAGTTTGCGTTCCTTGATTACGTTTAAGACCTCTTTTTGTTTTCTCATACGCTGTAGGACGGCTTCGTTGGTTACGCCGTAGGTCCATGATATTCTAAGCATGCGTCTGTAGCACCACATCTCAAATGCTTCCAGACGTTTACATGCAGCGTCGGTTAGAGTCCAAGCTTCCACCCCATGTGTTAGTATTGAGAAAACGTAGCATTTAAGAACTCTGACTCTGAGGTGTAAGCCTATATTTAGATTGCACAGCACGCTTCTCATTCGGTTGAAAGCTGTTCTACCCTTCTCAATTCGGATCTTAATTTCATTTATTTGTTCCCATTTATTGTTAAGAAATGTGCCCAAGTAGTTTATCGATGTAACCGTTTCTAATTGGGAGCCATTTGCATTGTAATGATAGTTTTTTAAAATCCGGTATTTCAGTTTTATATCAATTTATTTACATACAATAGACGACTTTGGTGAGCGAACGTAATGTGGCAGCGGCGTTAGATTACAGATAGTTTATTACATTAATAAACATAATAATAATTATAGATGATTATAATCATAGAGATAATTTACATATGAATTATTCTAAGATCAAGTAAAAAAAATTAGAAGGAAGAATAATATGAAAATACATAGATTCTAACAAAATTATTATTTAAAAAAATCTAGTATTTGCAATACAACTTGAATTATAAGTTTTAGTAATTATGTTCCGAGTAGTCAGATTAACTACAGTCCTTGGAGTCCAGAGAAAAAATAACAGTGTTTTTTTATTCCCGTATGTAAAATACCTGTTTATTAAACACTCGCTCCGCTCGTGTCAAATAAACTCGTGGGTCAAATGCCGTTTACCATACTTGTTGCATAATATACTATTTCTATTTAGCATGTTATCGTCTTCCCGCATTATTTTTTCTATTTGAATCACATGTTCGACTTGCACCATTTTCCCCACTCTCTTTATTCCATCTTGCGAGAGGGTCTCAACGTTCCCCATTTTAAAAGTAGTGTTGTGCCTTTCGGCAAGCCCGTTTTCTTGAGGTTAATTCAAATTTACAATTTCCTCGTTTTTCAGCATATCTAAAATTGCTCACTAGTAAAGTAAACCAGAACGATGTCATTCTTTTTCCAGGAAGACGTGTGTATTTTTTGGGTTTTTCTTGAGTGCTAACAGGCATTATCCACGACTACAACGCACCTCGGAGGAATAATAAGCAGGCTTCAAAAACAACAGTCCGTTTTATTTGACATCCTGGTATGTTTTACCAACGGTCCTTCTTTTACCCAAGCTTCTTCCAGATAATAGATATTCCTATTTTCCAACTGCTCAAAATTTCTATTACGTGTGATTTTCTGTTTTGAGGTTTTTCGTAACTTGAGACTTTTTCACAATTTCTTCTTACCCATGCGTGAAATGAAATCATTCGTTTTTATCTCAAACATTATTTTGTCCAATTTTAAGTGAAACGATTAATATTGTTCTTCTGACGTCAGTGTTTTCATCTTTATTTATTACAGTTATTAAAGTGACCACATGCAATATTAATCTAACAGGTTTTTCTTTAAATAAAGTAAAACAACGGATTTTTTGTTCAATTATACCTAATCGTCTCTTTTGTTTTTAAAATGGTAAAGAAATCTTTTAGAAGTAACATAAAAATATAAACGCTCAAGTTTGGTTAATCTTATTATTATAAGGGAACGCAAAAACGTCCTTTTGCGGTAGGCACGTAATAATTTGTTTTGAACATAATTCCGTTTAAAACAAATAAGCAATACATTAAATATGGGAAAAAAGAAAATCGTTGATAAAATGGTCGAACGAATAACTTATAAACAATTCAATATCAAAATATTTTCAAAAGCACCTAAAATGTTTAGTTAGTTAAATTGGAAAAAAAAGTTGATTACTTGTACATTTTAAACCGCACTTATTTTCGGAGTGTAGGCAAATCGGACATCACAAACGTATAATAATTTATTATAAAACACACTACTATTACATAATGATGTATTACAGTCCATATATGCAACATGTTATTTAAATCATTTTGACTGAATTCGACTAGTCAATTAAGAAGTCCCACCATTTAGTGTTGGGACCGGTCAGTTGACTACTTCTTAATTGACTAGTCAAAAAATGTTTTAAATAATATCTTGCAAATGTAGAGTGTTTTCTATAATTATTTAATAATCACATGTATTTAATAATAACATTATGCTTTTGTGATATCCGATTTACCTATAACCCTCTTCGAGGATTACGACGCGATGGCGACGTAAGGCACAATATAAATAAATATAAATTTCTTTGCATTTTTGAAATTAGTTCAGTCAATTGACACAAAAAAAATTTGACCCGTCAATTCCACATCTCTACCAACACTACTGATCAGCAACAAATTCAGAAACACTAGTGTTTCATTTTCAAGAATGAACTTTGCCAACAACTGCCGAAAAGTAACTATAATTGTTAACGTAAATGGACCGTTTTCAATTTGATTGATTAGTGATGCTGCGGGGTATTTTTGAATAAGTAGAAGCGTTTAGTTATTTTAATATCAGGTGATATTAAAATAACGTTCTTAAGAGTTTAATCTAAATTGCAATATGCTCGTATATATTACGGAGGTATTTGACTGGTATATGACCCTGGGAGGCTGTTTTCACTGGATAGTTCTAAGGGTAAGGGTAACTACCTCTATCTTACAGATAAATTTAAAAATAATCATTTTTATCTTGTGTGTGTGTATTAATAAACAACAACAGTTTTTTTTTAAGAATTTAGAATTTGAAGACGAAGTGTAGATGGTAGCCGAACCTAATGACAATTTAGAAGACGAACTACCGCAGCAAATAAAAAAACGAATCCATTTCACTTCGGATGCTAAACAAATTGTTTTGAACGTTTACAATTTTATAAGAAATTCAGAAGGGGAAATCTAAGCACCAATAAAAACAAGTCACATGATCAAAGTTATGAACTCTACTGTAAGAAAAATTATTGCAAGTTTTTAATTAGGCGTATAGTCCATAAAGTAAATAGTGTTTTAACCCTAGGAGGACTGCATAAAAAAATACTGACAGACTAGAAATGTAATGAAATAGAACGTAATAAATTGTTACTTTGTTTTATTTTTTATGTACATGCTCGGCGAAAAAGATTGAAAACATACTTATATCCCTCTTGTTAGTGTAGGTAGATAAATTCCTAGGACGGTCCCCGAATGGTTACGGATGCTCGACAGGGTGTCCTATAAGGGGCTACGAGTTTGGAATAATAAACAGTAGGCAAAGTTAATGACGGAGTCGGTTGTAAAAGCACTATAATTCTGGTCTAAGTATACTACGGTACTACGGGTACGACCACCAAGTTTTACAAATCAATAATAACGTATAACACCGACGATTTAGTTGGGTTCTGCTGCAGATGCAAATTGTAAAAATTATTTAAATCTGTGTTAATTTTAATCTCAGACTCGGCGACAAGAAAAATAAGTACGTTTTTCCATTGCAGAATCTCACCTGACGGTGCGCTACAGGCACGGCAGCGGCGTCCGTCGCCAGGAGATGAAACGCGCGCGCTCCGTGGAAGCAATTTCCAGAAGGAGCGACGACGACGAATGCGGCGACGGCGGCGGCCGTCGCGACGCCGTCGCCGCTTCGTACCACGTCGCCAACAGGCAATCGCTCCACGAGGAGATGCTCGTGGCGGCGGCCGCAGCCAAAGACGACGACGAAGGCGGGAGGTTAGTGCGGAAAACATGCGGAAAAGCGCGCCTACGGGTCGTACCCCGCTCCCCCCCCCCCCTCAGGCGGTACCGCTGGCTAATTTGAATATACCGCGCTAATCGAATTCCAAACGGGTGACCTTTCTCTTTGTCGTTTTATCCGATTTCCATTTTCCGTTACGCGTTCCTTTATCAGTTTCTCTCGCGCGGCATTGTCGGCCGATAAGGAATAACGCGCGGTTACCAGATTCCCCGACCGGATGGGCGTCCGACATAAGCTCCATTGTTCGTTACGCTGACATCGAGAGTCGGCGTTTTTTTTTTTTCGACGTTTTCCGCGATTTTGTTCGAACGGAAAAACAGGTGCGCGTAAACGAGCGTCAAAGGTCGGGTGGAATTAGTGGTGGGTGGAAATAATTAGCTTCCTATGGGGAAACACGAGGGAAATATGGGAAAAGCTGTATTACAGTAGCTTTTACAAAACTTCTGGATTTCTCCTCTTAATCGAACTTGCTGACGTTTCGCCAATCATCCTGTAGACTTCTTCAGACCTTAACTGAAACTTTCTCGCGGTCTACTCTATACTTGCTTATATGTTATTTTCAGTATCTCTCGTTGCTTATAGATTTTCGAATTTTTCGTTAGTAGAAAAACTGATTACATGCAAGAATGTCCGGTTTTGTGATTGTGTTCCGCAACTGCTGAGGAGGTTATTTGTCTTAGTCTTAAGGCTCTTTCATGTTCTTTGAGCTTAGTCATATTTTTTAGGAACGTTTGATATGTGATCAGTGATTTTTTGAATATAGGGACCACAGTGGCAAGTGTGGGATTGCTTTCGACCTCATTGGAAGGTTGTGGTGAAGTGTATTTTGTGATAGAACGCTTATATTTCACCACAACCGGCACGTGATGAATCCAGAAGTTTCGTAAATAGTAAAATATGAGGGTTAGTAAAAAATATCTGAGCCGTCACAACCTAAACGATAAAGTTCAATACCTGGAGGTTCTTGAATCTGTAGAATTCAAAAATGCTAACAGCAATTTTGTCACCACTTCTGCGTGACACGCATATTGTTTATTTTAAATGGAATGCCCATTCATTTTTCCAATGAATTGTGCATGTCGAATTGAGTGAAGTATCACGATTTCAAAATTTTGTTTCTATTAATTGCTGGGCTACGGCCATTGTTTTTTCCGTAAAAAATAACCGAACGCTTAAATATCTCAAAAACTATGAAACCTGCTAGGGATTTTTTGTTAACATGCAGAATTCATAAGTGCTTATAGCAGTGTTGTCATAAATACCGGGTATTCACTGGGAACCATTGGGTATCTTTCATAATAATCATAATAAACAAGATGTTTTTATTTTGATACCTCATACAAGTCCGAAATAAATTGAAAAGAGCAAGGAGAATCCTCAAACTTTTGTTTTTTTTTTTGTTGACTTGCAAATAGAACATATGGAAACTTCAAGCATTTCAAGCGCAAGCGCACCATTGCCAGTGTTACTCAAACTCGAGATACCACAAAAAAAGAAAACGTAAGTCCTCACTAGTTTTAATAATAATAATTTTCATGCTTACATTTTTTTTATTCAAGCTACAATGGACTTTAGATAAAGCGATTTTTGTCAGTACATCACCATTATCTTTATTAGAGCATCCATAGTGAGACCTTCAAACCTGGCCGCAAATATTTGTCTACAACTCTTTTAGATTCGCAATACAATGAGATATTACATCTCATATAGTAGGTGCAGAAAATTTACACTTATAATGTGACGGTTGATAGAAAAATACTAAAAACTACTTTAAAACACGCTGGAATAGTTACGTAGATACTTTCACTACACTACTATAGACTACAGATATCGCCTGTAAATAAACAAGCCGCAGATTCGTCTTCGCAGAACGGAAAGGCCGTATTTTAGATGAAAACATTTTTTGGGTATCTTACAACCGATCGTAATGGCTGCTTAATACTACGCTATTACTGAACTCCAGATAACACTTGTTAAATTATTAACGAAATCACCCTAAAAAAGAGGAAAAAAACAATATTAGAAAAAATGAAAGAACGAAAATTAATGGGATCCTGTTTCTCTAAGTCTCGATGAAAATGTAGATGCAATAGAGTGTATCCGTAAAGTCTCAGCCGACATGAATATTGAAAAGTTAGTGTCCAAATATCTAAGTAAACCGTTCGTTTCGCGTATCCTTTGGTTAGGTGGGGGAAGGGCATCCGATGTCGCTGTGCGTTTATTATTTAGTAGTCTACAAACTTTTTTTTTTCTTTTTTTTACATGTTTAAGCTTAAACTAATATGACCGAGAATCTGCCTTTTTTGTTAGTTTTCTACTGATGAGTTTTTTTTACTATTTTCTAATAAGGCGGGAATTTAAAAAATTGTATTGTACATAACTCCATACCACATACCTACCCCAATTCTAATCTATTTATTTCCAACAAAGGGGTAAATACCAGGTATTTGCCCATCACTAAAGGTATGTTATCGTTCAAACTTTGGCAGTTTTGAAGATATTTAAGCATTTACTAACCCATATAGAAAATAAAGCGGGAATTTCTAAGCATAGTATTTTCATTCGAAATTTTGCTATACCAAGCCTAAATTTAGGTTATACAAGATAAGTGCATTTAAACACTCATGCTCTAAACGAATTACGTATTATTGGAAAAATTGTGTTAAATTCCAATTCGTCGATGACTAAGCAATTTATCGACATTGTGCATTGTATCGATCACGTCGAGCAAAAATTAAGGGGGCAGGAATTTGCGTGATTTTCGCACCTTGTAGAATTGTAAAAAAGTAAGAAAATAACCAACATTTTAAAGCTCAAACGCCTTAAATTTCTGTAGAACAGAGTCGGACTCGACGGATTACTCTCTTACGATTCTAGGGTCGGGTATACCTTCCCGGAGATGATGTTGCTCGGTTCCAGGTTATGCAAAAAGATGGCGTCCGAGAACGGGACGGAGGAGAAACCGAGCAAGTATGGCGGCCGGATCAACAGGCCGAAGAAGCTGCAACCGTTGCTGAACGAAAAGGAGAAACCGCCCTCTGACGTGGTGAAACAGGCGCGGATGATCTTCGAAAAACGGCCTGAAACGAGGACAAAGAAACCACCCCAAACCGGTGAGAGCAGTGGGACGGCAGAGGGCGGGGCGGGGGAGTAAACAATTAGATAAGGTTTTCGGGCCAGTCTACTTTACAATGAGTCAGTCGGTAATTTGTCTAAAATTTCGTTATCTTGTAAGTAAACCAAATGTTAAAAGCTTTCAACCGCAAACTCGCCCGTCGGTTATCTATAGTATTTATTGTGTGCAAATTAATTTAAATTACGAGAAAACTTTACCTTGTTTGTTACTTCCGAAAAATCGGCGAAATCGAATTTTTCGAAAGTATACGCGCATGGCAACGAAACTCATATCTCGGAAAGGGTGCGTCGTACAGCCGTACCAATGACGATGGAATTCGCGTCGAAAAAAAAAAATGTTTTCTCTTTTTTGTCTGTTCTCCGTTCTCTATTCTCTGTTCTCTGTCGACGCTCCATAAAAATGCGAATAACTTCCGAACGGTTTGAGTGAGGGAGCTGAAGTTGTGCTCCATTTAAACTGGCCACGAGACACATAAGCCCATAGGAAATGGCTGCGATTGGAAATTGGCATCTGTCTTTTTTTTGCGATTTTCGCCGGTTTTTCGTACATCCTTATGAAACACGATAAGTGTCAAGATACGCAGCTATCGATTTCAAAGTTGGCACAAATATTTAAAAATCGAATTTGCAGGGTATTGAGAAAAAAGTCATTTCTGAAAAACCAGTATACACGATCGAAAACATTCTTGAACTAGAAGACGCGCGAGATCTTGCCCAAAATCGTTCTTGATGATTTTGTAAAAATGTACAGGGTGCGCCGGCGAATTGCAAAAATCTGAAAATTGGGTCTCCCTTATAAGGATAATTGACCATAACTAGAAGGCTATATTTCGGCTGCTATTTTCTTTCACGCGACCATATAGTCCGTACGGACTACTAAAACTTTTGTATTTTAGGTGTTCATATATTGCACAGGGTGCTCGATATATTCTGTACCGTAATCAAAAATGTAATAGATGTCTCAATTTTTAACTATCGACTTCAAATTTAGCAGAGAAGCGAAAGTCCACACTCACACGTAGAAACTGGGAACAATCAAGACTTGCCTAGTATTTTTTTTTAATTTTTGACATTTTTGAATGTTTTTGTTATTTTTCTTCCAGAAAAAAATAAAAGACCCTGAAAATTGTTCTTTTTCAGAGTCGTAAATCAATATTCCCAAAAAATATGGCCAATTGGTTTAAATGGTATTGTACAATGCATCAAGAGCTACAATTGTTGTATTTACGGTCTTCGTCTATCCCATACACTGTTCGAGATATTTGAAAAAATCCATATGAAAATCAACATTTGCATGGTTTCAGAAAATAAGTATTTTTTCCAAAACCATTTGCTTTATTGGAAAAATTCATATACCATAAGAAATGGGAGATCCAGGGCTATTAACTCTATTTCGAACATTCTTTGGATTATATGCAGGGTGTGTCGTTTATGTGCAAAAAATCTAAAATATCCGAAAATTTTCCGTTTTTGTGGGTAAATTATTGGCGATAAATAAAAAACCGTTGAGAATAATTTTATCGCGGTATCGCAAACCGTGTCGACTGAGAGTTTCAGGTTTCATCATCTATCATACAGAGTTCGCGAGATATTTGAAAAAATATAATTGGAAATCGCTATTATTTGTAAAAATTTTATTATTTACGGAATGACGAAATGACGTCGATTTTGCAGTGGTCCGCAGGAGCACGATAGAAAAACAATGCTTTCCTCTAGGACACAAAGCCTTAAAAATACAAAGCTGCGTAGTGACTTTGTTGTAGAGTGCATGATATGGAACAGAGGATTCGCAATGCCACGATTTTTCGAAATTAATCTTGTTTATTTACGATCTTGTCCAAACTAATTTCCAATAAGCACCCATCTAAGTGATTTCCATATTATGTTAATTATGATCTATGCCCATTAGTGGTCCCTCTCCCCTCCTCAGCAAATGCTGAAAGACTAGAGACGAGAAGACTGCAGATTTCTAGGCATTACCTGAAGTTTTGGTTTGGTTCATTATTATTATTTTTGATCGGACAGGCGACGTAGCTGCCAAAGTCGACAGCTTCAACAATATCATCGTCAAAGCCAAAGTGGCGTCTTCGGCGGCGGCCAAGAAACCGCCGATCAAACATACCAAACCAGTTCTCCCTGATCGACACAAAAGTAATACTCACGCCAGGCCGGTGGCCAAACCGGTCATACTGAGCGAGGAGGCGGCCAAACCGCCCAGAAGTCTCGACCTGAAGGCTCCGAGGAAAACAAAACGCGACACCAACATACCGAGCCCGATACCGGACGTCTCTCGGTAAGCGCCGATGCTGCCCGAGCTTCTCCCCATCGCTCACAGGGTCGTTTACAGGGTGGATCATAAAAATTTCGACGGCTCGAGCAGTAGGACCACGTCGGTGAGCAGCCTGTGCGAGACGCCCGACCTGATCATGACCTCGAGCCCGTTGGCGATGATGTCATCGCCTACGTTCAAGCGCAACGTCACCGACAAGTTCCTGCAGGTCGAGCAGGGCAGGGCGGAAGGGACCAATAGAGTTTACGCGAGCCCCAGCCCGAACGGAAGCCTCAACTTCGGCGACGAGACGGAGACGGAGGAGGGTTTCAAGATGATCTCGCCCATCACCCAGAACAATATCACCAAATCCGTGGCAAATTCGTCCGTGTTCAATTTTACCAGCAAGCGCGAGGTGAACCAGAGCCATCTTCCGTCGGTGGTGGTGAACAAGAACGTTTCGGAGGTTAAAACGCCGGTGTCGGAACCGCTGAAGATCGAGGTTAACGGGGGACTCGGGGGCAGGACGACCGCGTTATCGGCGACGGAAATCGAGAAGAACCAGAAGAACGCCATGAAGACGGCCATAGAAACGAAGAAGAACGGCGACGTGGTGGTGAACGGTAACCGCGTTGGTGACGGTGGTGTCGCGAACAGTGAAGTGGTGAACCGGATTATCGTACCGAAACGGGGCAAGCCCAGGGTGGAGGAATCGTCTAGCACGACTGCGGTGTTTAATTTCACGTCGCGCAAAGACGTGCCGGATTATATATCGAAGGATATGAGCAGGTCGCCCAGCAAACCGACGTTGCCGAAGGTACGTGTTTTTTTTTTTTTTGGGTCAGCCGGTGAAGGTGTCGAAATTGATTTCGCCTTTGCGGGGATTTAATCCGCGACATTCGAGACGGATGCCCTAGAGAAACCCCCCCGATTTGTACGGTAAAAATCTGATTCCGGCGTCGCTATTTAGGTCGGTAAGAGGATTTTCAGTTTCGTTTGGGAATGGGAGTGCCAAACTATTGTAATATAAAATAAAAGATCTCAAAATTAATGCATCTCTCAATGTGGAGTAGTAACTTCAAGAGAAAAATAAAAGCTTTCAAAAGTAATCCGTCTGTCAATGTGGAGTAGTAGATTCAAGAGAAGAGAAATAACCTTATCCCCCACACCAGTTTAATGTAAAAAAAATATATAAAAACAACAGCCCACTCTGAGCAGAAACTAATTTGAATGGAGTAAAAAAAGCATACCAGGTTACAAAATCTTGAGCCACAATTAGTGGGTTGGAAGCAAATGATTGTAATGTTGCACTCTTCTGGGTTAAAACTTTAAATGTTTGAACATTTGACACTCCCTTGACACTTCAAATAAATCATTTTTGGCGTTAGCTGAAGATGAGCACCTGAGTGACGTCTTGGCACTCTTGGCGCTTTTTATATGAAGGAGGAGAACAAGGTTGTTTCTTTTCTCTTGAGTGAATGAGACTGAGTGGTTATAAACTCAAGTTCACTTTGTAGATACATACGCTAAATAAGACAGAGCAAACCAAAAAAAAATGTCTCATAATAACTCATAATTAACGAGTTATAATGAATTTTTGCACCTAATTTTCGACGTATAACAAAATTTAAAAGAACTTTACAAAAGAAAAAAAGCAATTCTGTATACGCTGAATCTAAAACTAGTTTGTTTAGTTTTTTGATTATACAAAGTCAGTAACCAATTAGGCGCAATTGGAGATGTCGGGTTTATTGATGACCAAAAACTGAAATATTAATTTAGTTTTCTGTTCAATATTAGAGACCGCCACATACGGCATTGTTCCTAGGAGGCCAGGCTTATGGCTATTCGACTGTTTCCAAATCAACTTCTAAATTCTAGGAAGCTCCTAGTAAAAATTTATATACAGTGCGACATAAAAATATTATGGTTAACTAAATTCAGGGACCACACTGTATGTGGCGTCCTCAAACATTAAACAAAATAGTTAACATTCCAGTTTCTCGGCATCAATACACCCAGTATTTCGAATTTCGTCTTATGGCCATCTTACTAAAGAAAAATATTATCAAAAAACAAAATAAAATAAGTTTTTGTCTCTGATTTTGTTCAAAAGTAAATTAAACATTGAAATATTTCGAAAAATGGCTACCTTAAAATTGAAATTTTGATCTTTAGAAAACATACCAGCAGATTAGTAAAAATTTTGGTTCCGTTACAAATTTTATAAACGTCTGACATGAATGTGGCAGAAAAGTCTTTGGGGGGTGTAGTTCGCTTGTTTAAATATGTAGGTATATATGGCGTTTTCGTTCCAAGTAATAATTAAAAATGAAAAGCAAATTATCTTCGGCAATACAAAAAAATATATAATGTTGCGTTTCCGTCGAAAGTGTGTGAAAGTGTTTCTTTGTCGTATCGGTTTTGTTGTACTTCGATTCCTTTCCTTTCCTATCTATCTTTCTCTCTCCGTCTAAATAACTAGGTTATCATCGGATGTGCGTTGTTGAATTCATAACACGAATTGGGAGCGTTAAACGTGTCGTTGTTTTTTGTTTACAGGCCACTCGATTGATTAGAAAGTGTCCGTGTCAAAAATGCGCGCGAACGAACAGATCTGGATGCCCGGATTTAACCCGCTTTTTCGTGTTTATTTCTTTTTAAGGTGCATTAACTAATTACCAATTATTTAAGTTCCAATAAATAATTCAAGGTGTGACACCAGGCTATTCCTTTTAAACTATGCTAAACGCACGGGAATGATCGTGACGTCATACCGCTGCTTTACGATCGATACGGCCAGATGTTATGGTGTTATTCTTAAGGTTTAGGCCGAGAATTATATTATTTATTTTTGACTCGTGTAAAGTACGTTGGTATTTAATGTACGCCAGTTCGTATTTGTGCTTAGTGTGCTTCATTGCATCACGTAAAACGCCAGACAAACTTTTTATTCGTCTACCAGAAAATAAAAGCCGTCGTTTTTTGTCAACATTATCTTTAGATGTCACTTTGGCCCCCATCCTATTGCAGTCTCCATAGGAATAGCGTTCTGATCTATATTAAATAAAGGACACTTTAAGTTATCAATACTTTAAAATCAGCATTTACGTTTCCACTAGTTCAACAAAAAAAAAACCTTTTTAATTTTTTTTGTTGAATAATTTACATTTTATTTGAATACTCTTTGATTTTGAACAAGTAGAAAACTTTAAGCTGATTACAATATATTATATTGGTTTAAAAGCAGCGGCTAAATTTTCTGTGATTATACTTTTTAACTTTAACACCTCAGCAAAAGAAAAACTTTCGGTGTTTTGTATGTAAAGTAAAAGATATCCAATAAAGGGAAATTATCAGATTCACCTTTTATAAAATCGGCTTCGGTCATTTTCGAAACCTTCTTTTTGAGACTAAACACAAGATAACAAAAGCAAGCTACAGGATCAAGCCTAAAATTAAAAATAAAACCAGCAAGACGAACGCATTGTTTCTCTAATGGCTTCTCTATGGTATCGTCCGGCTGGCGCGTAGTCTAACGAGCGAATTGACGTCACAACCGGTCACAGAGAGGATTTAAATTTTACAATTTTTAATTGCTTATATTTGTTACACAGAACTACGAAAATATGTTTTTTTTGTGAACTGTGGTTCTTTTAATAGTATAAACTTACTTTTAAAAACAAATTGAAAATTTGTTTAAATTCCCTATTAGACCTCCCCCCCACCCCTATACCGATAGATTTAATAATGTTCCTCTTGGTTAAAAAAGAAATAAAATATATTTATCTTAAATATGTATTTCTGTTGTTAGGCATAATTGTCATTCGCAGCACTATTCTCTTTTCCAAAGATATAGTTTGTATTTAAGTTTATTGGTTGTTTCAAAACACGTTCCCCTTATTAAACAGATAATTGAGATTAAATAGAATATTAAAAAATAACCTTCGTTTGGATATTAAACATGTGTCGTAAAATGCCTCCTTGAGCTCCGAATGTAGCTTCTTTTTTTAAATTTTAATATTTTATACAGGATAGTTAAAAAAAAAGATATTCCTGTGTCAAAAACAAAATGGTTTTGGAGTTATTTGAGGTTTTAGCAATTAATGCTTATCGAATTAATAAACGAACAGTCTCGAATAATGATTCTTCAGAAAGTATCATGTAAAAAAAAAATGTTCCTATTTCTGTTTCTATTCTGCTTTTACTATTCTTTTTCGGGCAAATGTTTATTAACAGAACTAACGTAATTTTTTAATATTTTATTTTGGCCCGATATTAGAGGATCTTTTTTTGATATATAAGACTACAGTGTGACCACTAGAGTCCGCATTATATAGAAACAGTTCATATTCACTTTTTAATTATATTTTGAGCCAGAATTGTATTATAATCAACCAAAACTATGTTTGGTTTTGAACCATATTAACCATATGACCATTATTAATTAATTTAAGATAAATTTAAAGAAAAACATTTTATTAAAGCATTAAGTCTACTTCATCTAAGTAGCTTGATTACTATTTCTTTAAATTAGGGTGTATCAAAGAAAGGTTAGATTGAGAAAACGTGAAAATAGAAAAAACTTGCAAATGTTTGCATACTTTCTTAAACTATCCCCATTACCAAAATTTGTATAAACTCAGATGGGATGTAATTTTTTTTTTAGTTCTGATATCACTGATATTAGACCAAAAAACATTAAAAAAAGCATATTGGAAAAATCTAACAGCTATTATCACGCTCCTCTCTCAGTATGTTTGAAGGAAACGTTATCTCTCTATTCGATAGTCGTTTTGATTTCAACAGAATTGCTCCCATTGTCCCATTCGGGACCGTTTCCCTTCCGTTACGTCCACGAGCGGCTCGTTAACTCGACCAAGCACCAAGTCCTCATTACGCGACATTTTTGTTGCATTGCGCTCCAAAATAAACATTAACAATTGCCGTTGTTTATACGGCTAGTCGAAATAATAACCGCAACGGGACAAAAGCTAGCGAAACACGCTTGTCAATTGAACGGGAAAACTCTCTACCGCGAACATTTAAAGAGTAAATGTTTGGAAAGTGACGTTTCCGCGATGTTTAACTTGAATTTATACTTGGACCAGAAATATAGTACTTTTACAACCGACCCCCTGATTAACTTTGCCTATTGCTTACTACTCCAAAACCGCAGCCCCTTATAAAACACCCTGCCCAGCAGACCCTTACCCCTAGCCATTCCAGGACCGTCCAAGGAATTTATTAGTACAAAGTAACAATTTTATTATGTTCTATTTCATTACATTTCTACATAGTTTCATTATTAATATACAAAATATTAAATATAATATTAATAAACTATCAGTCACTTAAAAAATCGTCACTATTGCATCTCAGGCAAGACCCACTTAATGCAGAATAAATATCTGTTGGGATGGGTTTTACCACGGTCCTGCGAAAATCTGCGGTTAAGGTAAAATACTTAAAACGTCAAAGCAATAAATACACTATATTTTTGGGCATGTTATACTCCCAAAGCTCAACTGACAACGTTGCCAGTTTTGGTTCGGTTAGTAATAGGAATCAGTAATTTCTCCCGATCTGGCAACGCTGTGGAAATTTGCACTGCACTTAAGTTTGTTATGAGATTTGTTCCAACCTAATCTTTCTAGAACCGTTCCAGTATAGTTTTACAATCCGTAGAACTAGTTTTATGGCACAAGTGCATGGCACAAGATATTTTTTGCTGTTTTTGTCATTTGAAATTCTAAACCTAAAAAATAGAGAGGAGAAGCAATATATTTTGTGGTAATTTTTAAACGGTTTATCTAATTCAAGATGTGTCCCTTTTACAATATATTGTTTTTTTTTTTTTAAATAAAAAAAAAACAGTACGAACTATTACAAAATTGGTTGGAACGTAAGTGGAATCCTTTGGGGATGATAACGATCAACAGAACGGTTATTGGATCGGTTAGAACAAATTTCTGGAATAGCGCGTTACCATAGCTTTCTGTTGCAGCCGGGAGAGGGCGGTATAATCATAATATCGGGTGCCACCCTGATCGAGTCGTTCGTCGACGAGGAGGAGGAGATCATGAGGTCGCTGGAGGCCCCGCCCAGTCCGTGCGACGTCGCCTTCGTCAACGACAACGTCCTGATCGACGGCAAGTCTAGTCTGAGTCAAAGTTCGAAACGGGTCAAGGTGAGTCGCTGACGTAGTTTTCGAACGGTATTAACGAGTGGAAGTGAGTGGACACATTTTGGGTAATACGAATTGCTCCTCCGTTAAAGATACGAGACAGCAAAAAAAATGAGTGCCAAATGCTTTGGAGTATGTTTTTTTTTTGTTTCGTTATACACAGGGGGTGTTCCAAAAAGCTTGTGCCAACCCTCGATTCATCAAAAAAAAAAGTTTATATAAACGAAGGTTTATTAAAAACTTGACCTTTGTAAGATGAATATCCATCATGCATTCTAAGCATTGTAAGTTTGGCTCATTAATATTTTTTTTACAACATTATATTTTTTTAATGAATATACTGGATGAAGCAAAAATAATCATACCCCAATCACACAAAACCAAATGTATCCAAATTGCGCTCAGACAAAATCACAGAAATTCATTTTAATTCTATTTTTCAAAGATTTTCTTTATTAAATCTTTTAAAAAAATTATTGTAATAAATATAATAACATAGTAAGGATAGAAAGTGCGGAATGGATTTGCCAGTAGCAAAACAGATGCTGTGTACTTTTGCTTTGATAATGAGTAACATTTATGTGCTATAAAGATAAAAAAGCAACTCAAACACCATGGCCTAGTTATTAATACAAAAAAAAGTAATGAAGATATCTCAAGGAAGAAAAAATCATAAGGCTTGCTGTTTTGGAATAAAAAAAACTACGAAAAGGACTAAACAAAGACAAAAGGCTTTGAGTTAAGATGGAGTTAACAAAACTGAACGAGGAACGATTGTTGTCTCTAGAACTGCATTACTAGAGAAGAAGCAATAGAACTTCAAGGATGGAGCACGCCAGAAACGAGCAGCAATCATCTAAATTAAAATACACACAGAAAATGAAACGGAATAGATGGCCAAAATCATTTGGAACTGGGTTCCTGCAAAAAGAAAGAAAAGATGAAGACGACCAAGAAGATGGAAAGACGATGTACAAGAAAGATAAGCGATTAGTTATTAGAACGAACGCTCCTTGAGACTGATAAAAACCAATTGGTAAAACAGTAAAAACAACATAAGAATATACCGTTGCGTCTCTATAGGAATTTCTCGATTCCTCACGAGTCTAGGATTAATCGGACGACGATCCAAATGTAGTCGAAACGAAGAGGCTTCTTCTTCTTACGTCGCCAATAGCGGTAATAATGAAATTTATCGCTAGGTTTTGCGAAACAGTGCGTTTTAAGTGACTCCGATTGGTCATAAAAATTAATTGGGTTCCGTACGCTCTAGAAGCAAACTAGCCGGTTTTGCCACAGACCTTGGCGTGCTCTTCGAGAGCGGCTTTGCCTTTAACAATTATTTGCCTTCCGGTGTCAATGATGGGCTTTCTTAGGAGGTCGTCGTAACAGTCGTCGACAGGACAAATTATGGACGTTATTCGTTCATGACAAGGGCGGCCCCGGCTAGCTAATACTACTAGCTTATCTTATCAAAGCAATAAATACACAATATCTCATCCTTATTTTTTATCTTTACATCTATCTATCTATCTATTACATCTTTATTTTACTCCTTACTTTGTATACATAAACTTCAATTTATATTTTATTTTCCATTAGTACAAAAATTGTTACCTAACCGCTGTTGAATATCAGTGAAAAATAAAAAAATATTGCCTAATTCCGACATATGTACAAAAATCTTTCGTTTAACAGCGATTCCGCGTACGGCCTTGGGCGTACGGACGAATGTGTGATACTTTCGTTACACTTTCTTATCGACGAATTCATAAACAATTATACATAAGGACCGAGTTCAACGAAATGTCTATCCCATACGTGATCCGCGTCATAAATAAAGATGGCGCACGTGCCTTCAATGCATTTTAGATGTATTGGGAAACTAACCAATGACAGAAATAGTTACAAATTGCAAAAAAAGATGGAACCGACATATAGAACGCATGTCGCTGTGCCGCCCGAAAGAAAGAAAGTTCTAAATAAAAAACAATTGACAAATATGCCTAATCCCGGAAAGACAGACGACGACCATTATCCGCACCACTGCGACAAGCACTTGGGCACTGTATTATAATTTAAATCATAAAAATAAAAATTATAGATAAATGTCCAGAACTTTGGAAACATCTTTCGTACCCATGTAATTACTAGAGATATAGAGGCCCGATAATACAGAAACAGGCACCTATGAAAAACATTAAAAAGGTAACGTCAGCAAAAGCCAGTTAAGTGTGTGGAAATCGCTGTTTAGAAAGAAAATGGCGCAAAAGACAGGTTCGTCTCGTGGGTCTCGGTTTAGGTATTTCGACCAATTAAAACACGCCGCAATCCTGGTTAAAATTCAACGGTATGCCGTATTATGTAAAACCTTGTCGTCCGCACACGCAAATTCCTCGTAAATTTGCTACGCGGAATGTTAATTACTACGAACACATTAGGCGGACAGTAATCTAGATAAGGCCTATATACGCTAACGCCCGGGCTGAAAATGCCTTTTGCCAAACATACCGAACAATTTTTACCTATTTGTTTCCTTCCACAGGATACAGTAATACTTTTTACAAAACTTCTGGATTGCTCATGTGTCGATTTTTGTTGAGTCGAAGTTGCTAACGTTTCGCCAATCATCCTGTTGCCTTCTTCGGTCAAGTTCTGGAGAAGCCAACAGGATGATTGGCGAACCGTTATGTAACCATATCCTCAATTGTCTTAAAATATCCCATCATGTCAAAATCTCATCCGTAAATTTAGTTTCGCTTTACTTCGAGAAAGAATTCATCATACCCGTATTGAAATAGACCAAATGAATAAGACTCTTCTGTCTTTACATCTCTTCAAATGTCGAGTCTATCCTAAAGAAACTGCCATCTAGGGATATTCCGATACTAGTAAATACGAGTAGGTACTGTACTCGATACTTTTGATTCGATACCAAGTATTTATAGCATCGAATCAATCTTGCGATACTTACTCGGTTTCGAAACAAAAGTACTTGGTATCAAATCGAATCAGCCTCACCATTAAAAAAAAACCGAACGCATCAGACAAACATAATCTCTATCTGATCTATGGTGACACGTTGTCTGACGCCAGCCAAGCCGAACTCGTCCGACTTCACTCGACCGAGCCCGAGCCAAAAGCGAGAAAGACGTCCGCCCTTCATTTTTTTTCATTGTCAACCAACATAAATTGTCTCAAACATACAAGAGATTGCTTACGAATAATTGTATTTATTGTAATCATCGGCTTATTATTCCAATGTTATCATGGAGTTTTTTGTCTAAAGTACGTGCTTAACGTGACGCAAACCTTTATTCTTTTCCTTCTTAATTTTGTTTTAATTATTGTCCTTCAACGTTCATTGTTAGTTTCCTTAAAATAAATAAAAACATAATAAAGTACTAAAAGTATCGATATGAGTAAGTATCGATACTTTAGGACCATTTATTTGAGTAGTATCGAAAAAAGATTTGAGTACAATCGAAATGAGTAGGTATCGACACTTTAATGGTATCGGAACATCCCTACTGCCATCTCGAACACAATCACGAAACCGGACATAAAATTTTATTCCACAAAACTAAAATTCTTGCATGCAATCAATTCTTCTACCAACGAAAAATCTGAGAGTCTATAGAAATCTATAAGCAACCTTACAATCGTAACCGCGACTCAGGTCTTACCGATCAAGTTGCCAGAAATAAAAGTGACATCGATTCCCGTGTGCGTCGCACCAAAACAATAGTCTAAAAAAGGACACCCGACCTAGAAGTACGTACGCGGCGTGACGTCACCCGGCGCATTATCAACGAACTCCAATGGAAACATATCGAAATTAATGTGCCATTGTGCCATCATCCTTTTTCGCAACAGGAAGCGAGCGTTCGTGTACGACCTTCCGATCCGTGCGAGCGGCCACACGAATTCAACGAATGCCGAAACACTTTCCACTTCCGTTTATGTAGAGAAAAAGATTGTTGTTTGTTTTGTCCGGCAGTTTTGCGATCGAAGAGAATACCGATAGACACGATAGACAATAATTTTAGTCACCTCAAATTCCTTCCGTGCATGTCGACAAGTCCCCATTAGACCGCTTCGTTATGCAACCCTCAATACTCGCGGAACAAAAACGTCGTTAAACAAAATAGCCATCCTTTCGCAAAACTAGAGATGATTATACAACGATTGATTGCACGAATGGAAAGCCGAACTTTTCGAAACAAAGCGAAAATCTCGAACTGTAACGTGCAATTTTAGCTTGTGTTGATAAAACCCGACATGGAAATCGCAATTACAATTAATCCTCGGTTTCGTCGGAAATGTATAGGCCTTACCGCAACGAGAGCAAATTATTCTTTCACCGTCGCGCATAGTTGGGTTTTGTTTCGTTTCATCGAGCGCTTTATTGGTACAATTGGATTAAAACATAACGAAACTTTTGGAACAATAAAAGCAATGGAAGCTTACCGGTGATTCTTTCGGTGTTGTCGGTGCAGCCGAAATCGCAGATTTTTCTGTTTGCACATGATGCACTCACTTATTTTACCTGTTACACAAGTCACCACTTTTGCGTTTTCAATCGGATTTTTAAAAATATCGGACCGTTAATTTTTTTTACTCTTTGGAGTCGACGCGGGACGCGTAGAACTGTCATCGCAGGTGGCGCTGTCGCTGCATAAAATTTTAAGCGCCAAATTTGATTAATTAATTAATTTAAATTAGTGTTCGTTTCAGATGAAAATATCCTTTTTGGAAACGGCAGACGTCTTCGAATACCCATCGGAAGATTCCCTGTTGCTAGATTCGCCAATTTCGCCCCAAGTTGCTCAAGTCGGTCATTCAGTTCCTATTCTAGGGGGTTAGTACTTATCTTAGGTGTGAATTAAATGCACCAGATACCCAACGTTGCTTTTTCAGGGTCGTCCCTTGCGAATTACACGCCGAGGACGATGGAAGAGTTCCATTTGGGAATAACGAGGTCTGTGCCACATCATCAACCGGTAATCAGCAAACCCGACGTTTTGGGGCAATCCTCGGACCTGCTTCTCGAAGAGGTGGACAACCCGATTCTGTTCAGTGCCGGGACGAATTCGGATATGTTGTTTTGATCGCCGATTTCCATATTAAGTCTGAATAACTTATATAACGCCTTATATTATAAAGGACCATTGAATTTTGTGAATTAAACGTGTAACGCATGGCTGCCTTTACGTCAAAGCATACAATTTTACAGGGAGTTTTGTAATTCCATGGGAAACATTCCATACTGTATTAGAAAATTCTTTTTTTTTCTTGTAAATATATAAGTTCCATTTCTTTTAATTTGCCCTTTAGGCAATTTTAATGTAAAAAAAACTGTGATTGAAGTAAATCGTATTGCTAAGCTATTGTTTAATGTGTAATTATGATTTTTTTGTGCATAATTTGCGTGGGAACTTAACGCAACGCATTCCATGTAAGACTTGTACATCAAATTTGATACTGTGGTAATTTGCTATAGCTTTCAGTTGTCTTGATAAAATATGTATACAATTTGTATAATTGATTTTTAAATATACTTATTATTATATTCACCGGGTTTTATGTTTTAAGATTAAGTTAACAAAGCCCAAGGAAAATATCCACTCGTTTACTCCTGAATTTCCTATTAGAATTGAGGATTTTTGCGCAACTGGCCACAAAAAACGCAATAAACACTGCCTGTATAAGAGACTATATTATTTACAGCAATATCACAGCACATTGATGAAGACTGGATATTTCTCTCCCCTAGTTATCTCGATCTCAAAAATGCCGTCCAGGTCCACTAATCTCTCTTTTATATTTTTTAAAACCTAAAAAGGATATTTCATTAAAGGAATACATTAAATTAAAAGAGAGGTCACCATCAAAAGTTTGGCCTTTGCCTCATCATCGTTCTCCATTATTTTCTCTTTCAGTCCGGCGGCGCTTTCCGGATCTAACTGCGCAAAACTAGCCACTAAATTTGAATGCACCAGCACGGAGACATCACCGGAAGTGTCCGCCAAACTTATTACCATATGGTAACTGTTGTCAGTCAAAGTCATTTTCTCTACAACCCTGCTAAACTTTGCTTTCACTTTAAACTTGCCCTTCCCTATATTTGGCTGCAAATGTTTCAGTTTCTTAATGGTTATTACATTTGGCTTTGACTGTGCAGGTGATTCTTTGGGGTTTGTGCTTAAAATCTGGGTGGAACTAGGCCGTTTATTCATCTCGGCATCTAGTTGTGAGAAATTAGTCTCATTAAAATTATCTCGCACAGTGGGCGACGATACGTTTGCATCTCTGTGAGCCTCAATGGGCCTTAAATTGTTAGATATATTGTCTAGATCAATATTATGGAAGACTTCCTCATCTACTTCCATTTCATCAAACAAATCTGGCGATTTTGCAGGAGAAGAAATATCATTTTCTTCAAAATTAGCTTCAAATTCTTTCAACAACTCTTCATCTATTTCATACTCTTCAGGCCCATTCACAGGAAGTGTTTTTCTATTACAATGAGTCGATTGAGTTTCTTCTAATCCAGTTTCGAACTCTCTCAACAAATCCTCATCGATTTCAAACTGCTCTTGCATTTGCGCCGTTGGTTGTTTAATAGCAGATACAGATTTAACATTGGGTTTAAAAACATCAACATTTGCATTTAAGAGTGATTCATCTATTACAAAAGGATTGGGATTTTCTTTTAACCCTAGAGCTCTGGCCAGCACATTCTCTACAGCGTTGGGTACCTTAATTTCCTCTACTTCACCCCCAATAACTTTAATATGGCTACTTTCCAACATGAGTCTACCTTGACGCACCATAATCGGCCCCATAAGCAGCACTTTAATGCCGGGTGTCAGGTTGATGTTTAAACAACTGATGGGTTTAAATTCCATTGCTTCTATTTCTTGAACCCCGTCTGTTAAAGTCAACTGCAATACTCTTTTCCCGAATTCTCCGTCGGGATCGACATTTTTAGCGGCGTTATCTTTTCGAATCCGTTGTAACTGCCACAGTTTGGGCTTTGAAATATCTATCACCTGCATTACCTGTAAAGAATAGGTACCGTGCAGGGTGTATTTCACCTTTGTGGATAAAGCTACAGGTAAAGAAGGTACCTCGACGTCTCTGAGGTCTAACAGCAACCACTGTTCATATACCTTGAGCTGCAAATCCTTTTCCCCATAATCTTGAGGCAAACTGTTTTCTTTACACCACTCTATACAACTTTCTAGCCATTCCAATGATAACGGGATCTGGTGACCTGCGAAATAATCTTTCACGCGCTGCGACTCGGTCATCACATTGAATGAGACAAGACATAAGCCCGAGGCAATATAAAAATGTCTTCTTAAATAAATTGAGGTTAGGGTGCATCTCTTCTTACTCTAACTATTTTCAACAAAGTCCCACAAAACTATACACGCAATGTAATCAGCATTGTGCTGTATAATATATAGAAAATTCACCTATTCTATTAATGACTTTGCTAGCTAGTAAAATCATTTGACTCCACTAATTATTTGGCCCTATTTGACAAAGCGAAACGGAAAATGGAAATCATGTTTATATCACCCGGTATTTTAAAACTTGTTTGCGTAAATTTTGAGTTTGTTTTACGTCAACGCAAAGACATAAACACGCTCCTGTTCGACTCTGAACTTAATCGAACAATAAGCCATTATAATCGTATGCAGTACATCGGAGATTTTCCTACGCACAAGACACATCCTTTGCATCCTCTAATCGATCGCTATCATTGAAAACGTAATAATGATTAAATTAATTTAATACGTATGACGAGTGCAGCCAACCTAAAAACTATTGGCTAGGTGCACACAACGTTAAAGTTGTCACGCAACAAGCAATAATCGAAGAAACTTACGTTTTTTCCCGTACTTTGTTATGGTTAGTTTGACCTAACTCGCCAAAACCGCTAGATTACCATATAAATGTCATTAGAAAAATACTGCGTTTTGTTCCGTTCACGACCAAGGAAAAAAAAGCACAAATTAATTCAAAAGTAGGCAGACTCTTCCATTAACGACATTTGGGAAATTACCCATACAATACGCACGTTAAAATAACCTACCGGCGTAAAAAAATTATTGCTTGCGTTGGGTAATGGACTTCTAATGACTTCCGACATTTTTGAGAATAAAAACAACCATATTTGCTTAGAGGAAAAAAATATTAATGAAAATTAAGGGCAGTCGCCTTGCCAAAATATCGTGTGGGTGAACCATCGCGAATTATGACGGCAGAGAGCAGGTAGTTGTTTTAATTTGGGTATACCTGGGACGGAAATTTTCCACGGTATTCGGATTTTCGTCAACGGCAAGCCAAAAAGGGGCCGAAGACCTTCTCAAAAAATAAACAAAAATAGAAGTACCTTTTTCGTAGTCCGCCTCAGACGGAATTACCTTTTTTTGACATAAGGATGACAGATATCACGTTTGACGTTTTGAATGGGGAAGTGGCGTTGCCAATGTAAAATTTAAAAATAACCAAAACTAAGACCAACCGAATTATTTGTCGGCATTTAGAAATTCGTAATCGATACATCAACTCGTTCGCTATTTAACTCTCTAAATACTCGTTTGCGGACAATACCTGACTCTCCATTAAAATTCGATAAACCGGCCGCTTTCCCGAATTCAATGAAAACGAGCACCCTGTAGCTGACGCGGCAGTCGCCACCGGTAGGCGGACGAGTCAAAGGTGCAAGTCGCCCCCACCACTTTTCCCGAAAATATCATATAAAAGTACCCGGTGCCGTCTGAAACGGGTTTAGAACTTTTCGCGGGTGATACTATTTCCTCCATGGTCAAGTGTGTGATATTTCTCACTCTGTTTGCGGGGGTGAGGTGCGTCGACGAAATTTTGAGGGCCCAGCAACCTTTGTATGGCATGGCGACCATGGTCGACGCGTTAGTCAACGCAACCCGGTGCTTCAAGGATTTGAAGCAGTTTGCCGCAGCTGTGGAAGATAGGGAAGTTTGGGCACTGAAAAGTAAGTTGAACTTGTGTTGTACCTGTATATAATTGTTATTTACGCTATAGATGGAATAAAAGACCTTGCGAAAACGTTTTAATGATGGTCGTCAAGAAGATGGTATTGTATCGCGTTTGCTTCGTGACTATAACGACCATTTGATTATAGGCTCTCGCTTTGCAGTAAAACAAACAACGTCAGGAAGTGGTAGTAACTTTTGCGAATTTTAAATGGTACCCTGTATATTTTTAGATACCACCAAAACCAACCAAAAGTTCGGATTGGTTGTTAAATTAACGGTGTTGAGTTATCAATCTCAAAATCAATTTGGCCGTCATACACAGATATTATTGAACCCCATTTTTTTTCGAAATATTCCATTCCAGAAATTCCCATCTTCAAACAGCATTTTTTTTCTTATTTGGCGAACTTATTTTTGAAATTAATTTTAATTTGTTTACGTATGTCTATAAAATTAATTGCAATATAAATAACTAATTAATAAATTTTTTCCGAAAAATCTTAATAAATAATAAATAAATAACACGTCACTTGCGCAAAAAAAAATTGCTATAGACGAACTCCACCGCACAAACAAATAGCCATGGCTAATTGAGATTTAAAATAACATTATGATTTCTACTAATGTGCATCGATTATGAAAACCCTTTATGACTTTTACAAATTTTCCGCTTTACCTGAAATATTGCTTATAGGCTATAAGAATAATGTAGTCCTCCTATATTTTGTTAAGTTAGGTACATTTATATTGAAACTGATTAAAAAATTGTTCATCAAAATTTCAAATTCTATTGGAAGCTATTTCATCTTAGTTCTCGACGCGAGCGGCCGACCACCATCAGGTTTCCTATACGGTAACAACTTCTGGCTTGGTTCACATTCCCAGTGCGTCGACATAGCCAACACAAAGCCTCTAGAGGTCCGAAATGACAAAATACCCCGCCCCCGAACCCCTCACGACTATCCTCCCTTCCCCCTAGCGTTCGGCAGCGTCTCGATGGTCCACAACAGCACTTTGCAACTTCACACCAGGATGCCGATGGAGGTAAGCTTGGCGCCACTGCCCGATCTAAATCCATTTGACCATATTTTCAGTGGACTGTACACTTGGGACTTTGCGTGCCGGCTTCTTGCTCGGAGGAGGATATATTTGACACGTCCCAGGCATATTTTGAGGGCCGTTACCTCGAATTTCAGCGAGTCTATGAGGTCAATATGAACGTCACGAAAGTTAGGCGCTTGAAGGAAGACGTGTTTTGGCTGTTGAGGTTGCCCAAGACAATAGTGTTCATGTAAGGCACCTTTTGGGAGGAAGTGCGTCGCTCTAGAATCTTCTTATACACGTTTTAGGGCTTTGATGGGTACGATTATGGTACTAACGGTGGCTGGGACGGTGTATGACGTTAGAGAGCACAACAGGGAGAAAAACATCGTTAGAGGTCACAACTGCGGGGTCTCCGAAAACGGAAAGGTCTTGTCCCAGGCGTGTAAGTACCTTACGCAACCTCGGTACTTCCTCCATATCTTTTTCTTAGTTTCCTCAGCAGAACTAGTGACTTCGTCGACGTCTACTTTAAACCTCAACAACCAGAACGTTTGGGGCGAGATCCTGAAGTGTTTCTCTTACTACACCAATGTCAAACGATTCACCAAGACCAAGGTAGGATCCGATTCCGTACCCGTTATTCACGGTCTTCGGTTCTTGGGCATGGGTAAGTGCAATCTGGTCCGTTGGGCGGGCACCACGTGAGGAGCGGTTACAGGGTGGGTGATTCTGGTCCACACGACTTTTTACCAAGCGGATTTCGTGGCGAACGTCCCGTACGCGTTCAGGCTGACTGAGAACTTCATGGCGCAGATATTCTCCAACTCCACGTACGCGGTGGACACGTATCTGTTTTTGAGCGGTTTCCTGTTGGCCTATTTGTTTTTCAAGAAGACCAACCCCCACGCGACGCACCACCATACGGACTACGCGAAAAAGGGAAGGCAGTTTGTAATGATGTTGTCGAATAGATTTTTCAGGTAACGTTCTTAATGATTGCAGTGTTAGCGCGATCTACATGCTTTTGTGCTTCTCTAAACTCAGACTAACACCCACCTACGTGCTGGTGATGATGCTCTGTGACGTTGTACACACGTACTACAGCGAAACGTCCACTTTAACAACCAGCGAAAAGCCCGAGGTGTTGTGCGACAGGTTTTGGTGGCGGAATTTGCTTTACATTAACAACCTATATCCGAGATCGGAAATGTGTCTAAGCTGGTCGTGGTACCTATCCCTGGACACCCAATTTTTCGCGATCGGAGCCTTCCTCCTCCTGCTCTCGACGGTCTGCTTCAAAGCGTCGGCCATAATCGTCGTCGGGCTAGTTCTCACCAATATCGTCGCTACCGCTTACAAGTCGTACTCTATTGGATATATTCCAACGTAAGTCTAAGGGCGGGAGCCTAACGACGTCAATTTGACGATCTTCCGATCGCCGAGACACAGCTACAGCTGAAAGGGGGTTATTTTTCAAGCATGGACGATCAGCTGCAGCAACTAGACGCTATCTACGACTTGCCTTGGAACCGAATAGGGGCGTACCTCGTGGGCATCGTCGGCGCTTACCTGTTGGTGATCAGACTCGACGGAAAGTTCGTTTTGAGGGAGGTTAGTAAGACTAAATTCGAAAGTGTTTTTTGAACAAAACTGTCCCCACCAGAGGACTCGGCTGCTGCTTTGGACGGGGTTCCCGTTGATCAATTTGTGGATCCTCTTCACCCTCTACACCAGGCAAGTGTCGGTGGAGTTTTCCGCGTTTTACATGGGCGTGTCCCGCACTCTGTGGGCGGTCGGGATAGCTTGGCTGGTGGTGGCTTGTTCCACCAGGAACGCCAGTGAGTTTTTGACGCTTTTTAGTTTACTCCAACTAATAGTGCCCCCTCCCACCCCCCAGGGCTGCTGGAGAAGGTGTTATCGTTCAAGGGGTTCGTGCCTCTCAGCAGGCTCACGTACTGCTCGTACCTTCTTAATCCGCTGGTGGTTAACATGATATCGTTAGGCTCGGAGGACCGCATCTACGCGTCGATACCCCAATTCGTAAGTGATTCCCAAATATCTGACGGGACATAGCGTATATACTAGGGCAGTGGTGGGGAAATTTTTTTTTTGGCGGGCTATTTGTACCAACTAGACGATCGTAGCGGGCCAATTGTTAAAAAATATATGTGTTTTATAAACATATACATATATAATTACATACAGTTATTATTTTAATAGTAAAAAAGCAAATGGTAAGAAAACTATAAGCACAAAATGTAAAATGAATTTAGTGTAGTTCTCGATGTGCAGTATTATCACTTTATTTTCTGGTGTCATTACTGGTTGATGGTGCATGAGAAAAATGAAACTGAGACTGTTTTATCGAAATTGCATCATAGTCCGGTTCCATTTGCGAAGCAGAAATTCTTAAAACTGATGAAAGGTGCTCATCTGCAATTCCGTTTCTTAAAGAAGTTTGTTGAAGATTTGTTCGCATATATAAGATGAGTCGAACATTGAAATTATCTTCATTGCATGAGTAATTAGATTTGGGAGGTTTTCTGGACTTAAATTTTTATAAAATTCTAGTAATGGTACTGTATGAAAAGTTTGTTTCAGGAGAGTATTACAGTTAACTGAAGTTGAAATGTTGCGTCAACTTCTTCGTAATTAACATTGGATGGGGTCGCAAAAATACTAAACTCCGGTTCCATTTTTCTAAAGTCCTGAAATCTCCTTTCAAATTCTGAAGATAGTTTTCTCAAATTAATTTCGAACTTTAAAGACTGTATTCTTGGAAAATGAGAAAAATCAGATTTAGAGAGCTGTTTAGCAAACACTAATAACTGTAATTTGAAACTCTTCAGGTGTTGCCAAATATCGTGAAGAAACTGATTTTTCCCTTGCAATTTGAGATAAAGTTTATTCATGTGTACGAGGAGGTCTGTGAAAAAAGCGAAATCAGAGAGCCACGTTTCGTTTTCTAAGACGTCAAATTGATTATAAATGTCTTTATCAAGAAGAAAATTCACAATATCGTCTTTTAAATCCCAAACTCCACAAACTGTTGAAACTGGCGATGTAATAATCCTCTGGAACGAATCATATTTACTAGTTTTAACAACAGTATCAAGTATATAGTCAATATCTAAAGCCGATTTACAGAAAGCATCCTGATGTATAAGGCAATGCAAAAAACTACATCATTTTCCGGATACTTAGAATTAAAGTTCCCAACAAATGCTTGGTTGATCCAACCATATTAGGAGCACCATCTGTAGTTACATTACATAACTTATCAATAGGTAAACGAAGTTTATCGATGAAATTTTCAAATTCAGAAAATATATCGGCACTAGTTGTTGTTCCTTTCATTGAGTACAGCCCTGTAAGTTCTTCTGTAATTTCAAAGTGGGCGTTGATTCCTCTTACAAATATGAGTAACATGCGCAGTATCGCTGATATCTGCACTTTCATCCATGGTAACTAAATAAAAAAGGTTTTTTTGGGCTTTTGTAGTCGTGAAATTAGATTTTTATCAATATTTTCAATTCTCTCGGCGATTGTTCTTCTTGAGAGAGACAGTGACTGAAAATCATGCATCCATTAATGAAACACATTTTGTACACATCTGATTATTTTCTATTGCAGATATGAAAAAATTGTAGGTATATAATATAGAAAAAATATGGAACAACCTAACCTACAGTATCTTAAAAAAAGAGTAAGATACTCTAAAGAATAACTAATATTTGACAGGTTTTTTGTCATTCCTTGATGAAAGTAGCTTTTTTCAGCCAAGCAGCTATTGAATTCTCACATTCGTTTGATGTTTGTGATGTGTTTTCCTTCTTATCTTATCTTATATTTTAGTTTTGAGAAAGACAGGTTTTACATATCTGTACTTTATTAAAAAAAATAAAAAGAACGAAACTGGTATCTTATATGTTTAAAAAACAGATTTAAAAAAACCCTACATCCCCCTTTTAAGTAAAGGCTTGATTTGATGCTGATAGTAAGTAATCTTAGACGCTAATCTCCACGATGATGTAGGTATACATTTATGTATTACATTTCATTAAATACAAACCTCATTAAACTTTCATCGGTAAGATCTCTTTCACGAGAGTAGACAACAAATATGACTTTTTAGTTTGACAGTAAACAACCTAACAATTTTCTTAGTTTTTTTTGCTCACCATGAAAATAAGCCTTAAAAAATAGGAAAAACGTTTTAGTGAATTAACCCAACAACCATTTTAATCTGAAAATTGTACTTCATGAAGGGTGATTCCTAAAATTAATACTTTGTTTTTGTGGAGTGATTCTTGCATCCGTTTTAAGAAAAAAATATACTACCTATACTATATAACTAAAAATATAATTTTGTTCTGGGGGATTTTCTCTAACATTGCTTACTTAAATAAAGGATTAGTTAAGTTTTGTATGCCTAAATTTAACTGCTCAAAAAACATGAAGAGAAAGTGGATTTTATTTTTGTTTTCAACTAAGATAAGTAATATAAAACGTATATAGGTTACAAAAAAGTAAGTTTTATCTTAACTCGAAATCACTAAAGCAATCACTTCTTAAAAACACTATCAACTAAGCAATCACTATAATCTATATTGTATTAAATTATATTTCTTATACTTTAATTATATTACGTTTACGTCCTATTTATTTGTAAAAAACATAATTATTTATTATTAAAAGGATACTAAATGGTTAAAAAATAAATTTGAGTCATTAAGAAATTTGAATTTTGGAACTTCAGATTGGTTGCAGCCGAACGATGTTGATGGTATCTTATAAACAAATACATTATTTTTGCGGTTTTGTAATTTTCATTAAAATAGCGTTTCTCGTCTCGTTCGTGCCCAAAAATAATAAAAGCAAGTTGATTGTAATGGTTTCATTCCGGTTTTTTTAGGACTTGCCGCGATGTAGACGTGTACAAAAACGTTGCCAATAAAATGTCTCCCAAAACAGCACAAATCTTAAAAAACTAAGTATTTTCCTTCTCAATTGTTCAAAATTTAACTTTTTAGGTTTCTATTTTAATGTTCTCATTATGGCGCAAGGGGATATCCTCAGGCCATCTATTTGGAGGATATCTGTGGTATATCGTGTACAGTAAATCCGCAAGCTATCCGTGGGATGTATTTTATAGTATATCCTTAGTATATATACGCATATCCTAAGAATATCCTCCACACGTCCCGGGGACATGCGACTTAAATAGGACATTGACCGGATATACTGGGGATATTGTGCGCTATCTGGGTTTGGGGTTCAGCGGGTGCGCTCGAGGTGAAATTGTTAATTTTCAGGCGATCGGATCCCTCGGGATCACAATGATCACATTTATGATGGCGTTCCTGTTCTCGATGCTGTTCGAGTCGCCGTTCATCCTCTTGACGAAACTGGCACTGAACAGATTCACTCCGAAGGTGGAGGGACCTAAGGAGGAAACGCAACGTTGTTAGCGAAGTATCGTCGTATTGAGTATCTCGGGGAGACCAGTCGTTTAAAAAATGAGGAGAAACCTCTGGGCAACGCAAACGAAGGGGAATGCAAACTGTTCCGGTCAGCCTATTCGTTTCTCAATAATAAGTTTAGGTGGTAAAACTCACAAGCCACAATCAAATTATCGACATTTTGTTCCAAGCTATATTAAAAAAGTGACCAAGGGTCAAGGGGTTTCAAAGTTTTATTTTTGATTTTTTCCGTATAATTCTAAACTTACCTGTTCGATTTTGAAACACGTTTATTTTTAAAAAAGCGAAACGCCTTTGTTTATCGACCCTAATTATTTTTAAACAGCGTGAACCGACTAGCACTAAATTAAAACGGAACGAAAGAAAAAAAAAACGATAAAAATTACAATAAAAGACAGAGATCTCCACTGGAGAAATAATAATAAAATTTTGATATCGTGCATGTCAAAAACGATTCTTTGAGAAATCACCCAGCCTTATATTAAATAACACCCTGTATGGGAGATTATAATTCTCTTGATGTACACCGTGTGCCAAATAAAACGATCCACTATGCGATCTGGAAACCTATAGGAGATGCGAAAAAAAGTTTCGTACAAAAGTTTCTTGATACAGGGTGTCCCAAAAGTGTCCCCAAACCCCCCGACATAATCTTTGTTATTTTAAACAGAACACCTTGTATCTTTCGTCATTTTTTGAATCCTTAGTTAAAATAAAGGTCACTTTGTTAAGAAATTGCTATTCGAATTTTGCATAGTTGTGACGCTACTGATCCAGGTATACTAATGCTAATCAGTTTGACAGATGCGCCTCAGCTTGTACAGGGTGTTCCAAATAGGTGGTGCCGTTTTGGCGAATTCAATTAACAAAATCTCAAGATTTTCAACTGGAACACACTATATTTTTATTCAGATATCAATTCTAGGATAAAAAATAATAATACACTTGCTTACTTTTTGAGATATTCGAGGTTTAAGATAACACCCGTATGAATTGTTGATTTTAAAGCTGCCCCCATTAGGTCACTTGTTGACAATATTAGGTATTAGCAAGGACATGATATAAGATATAATTCTCCAGATATACGAATAAAACCTATTGCTAATAATACAGATTTAATAAAACTTCAAATTCATATTTGAAGAAACACTATCTAGATCGATTGAAAATGCCTAACAACAAAAATAAATAATTGAAGTTTATAGGCTAATTAACCAAGCTAACAAATTTGAATAAATAAATCTATAAAAAACAGTTAACTAACAAGGGTTCGTTAATTCGGTCCATAAAGTTTAGTAAAAAATCTTCCTCTTAAAATGCTCGTTTCATCTGGCATCAAAACAACAAAGAAATATCAAAATGTAGTTGCCTATGACATGACACATTAAGGTATAAACAAACTATGACATTTCGGTTTGTTTTTGTTGTTTTTTATATTTCTATTTTAAAAGTTCATAGTTGTCAAGTTTTTTGTTAGTATATATTTTATTTGTATTTTAAAATGTTATAGTTTTTTGGTTAACCTATAAAATTTAATTATTTATTTTTGTTATTTGGTATTTTCAATCAAGCTAGATTAAACATTTCTTTAAATATGAATTCTGAAGTTTTATTAAATCTGTTAAAGCGTTAAAGTATAGGGTCGATTTTTTTCAAGATTTTCACGTATTAATGGACACCCTGTATTGTTAGCGATAGGTTTTTTCGATCTTTAAAAAAAGTGGTATCATATCTTTGCTATTTAAAAAATACCTAATATGCCAACAATGTGGGCAGCTTTAAATTTAACAAGAATTTATACGGGTGTTATCTTAAACCCCGAACCTCAAAACCTCAAAAAAGTAAGTAAAATTTAAATATCAGATAAATTACAAACTCATCTTATTTTTTGTCCTAGAACTGATATCTGAATAAAAATATCTTAAGATTTTGTTAATTGAATTCCCTGTATAAGCTGTCCCCTGTGGTTAAATTTTCGTTGCAATACCTGGACCAGTAGCGCCACAACACAATTTTATATGGGCCAATTAAAATATAAAAAAAACACGGGATTCAAAAAATGACGAAAGATACAAGGTGTTCCGCTTAAAATAACAAAGATGACGCCGGTGGGGCCACTTTTGTGACACCAAATCAACAAAATTATAATAGTTTCAATCTTTATTAGAGTCCAAGAAACTTTTGAACGAAACTTGGATCGTTTTCTTTGGCCCACGGTGTACTTGAGTTTTTCAACCATGAAGTGCTCCCCCCCCCCCCTTGCTTCACTCCCTTGTATTTTTCCTTGTATTGTTAGTTGTAGCATGCGGTACCTTTTTCCGCGCAAGCAAGTTTTCTTGTCTTTATAGTCTCTGCTATCTCCGTTGTTTTATCCATTCTTCTTGATATCTCTGCATTTGTCGAAGAAACTCTAAGCACGCATCTGTTTACCTACATTTCAAAAGCCTGGAGTCTTTTTAAGTCGTCTTTGTTCATTGTCCACGACTCCATTCCATAAACAAGGATTGAAGAAATATATCTCGATAATCCGATCTTAAGTTTGGTGGTTAAATCTCTTGCGCAGAAGACTTTCCGCATTCTGGATCTTATTTCTCGGGAGTAGAGTTTAACATGGTACTCAGATATTTCTATTCACTTACTCTCTCGACTAAGACCAACTTCTTTACTTCTATTGACAATATTGTCCATCATTCTTTGTGGGTGGCTCTTACCAAGGTGTGATCGGCAAAATAAGTTCACCGTTTATCGTTATTCCTGCTGATTCTTCGGATATAGCCTCTTGCATGATTTTCTCCGAGTAGAGGTTAAAAAGTATAGGTGAGAGCACGTATCCCTGCCCTACTCCTCTTTCTATTAATACCTCGTTCAGTGCTAATGAGTACTCTATCCGCAAAAGTACGCTATTAAACAAAACACAAAAATAGTTATGTAGGTACTTACATATTTTTCTTTTATATAAAAATAGAAAACTTATAAACACTAATATAGGTATTAAAAAGCGAAAGAAACTAAACTACCTAAACTAAAAACCCACCTATCTATATAAACTTTACAACATACAAGTAAAAATACATACTTTATTCTTTTGTTTATTGATTTTTTCTCAATACAAATTTCATATTCCCGATGTGGTTCTCAACTATCCAGCACGCTTGTATAATATTACCAGTTACATAATCAGTAGTATTGGTACTGCGTCAAGTTGAACAACATCTGCTTTCGTTACCAGAGCTTTGAGGATTATTTGGCTGTAAAATTTTAGTAATAATATCATTATCCATTAATAACTCTGTTGTCATTAAATTATCAACAACAGTTGGGAAGCTATCCAGCTCAGGAGGACGCATTTTAATCCATTGGTTGGACGACTGGGGTGTTATTTGGAAACTCTAATATGATATTTGAGAGGATTAGATTTTTTGGATGATCCGCACAAATGTCAACCAGAAGCAATATTTTTCTATTCTGACTTTGTAGTTTTTCATCCCAATCCCAATCCATCCACTCTCGCTGGTTTGACTTATACATGACAGGTAGATTTGTCACATTTGCATCTCAGTGGCACTTTTCTCCACACCACGCTTCCTTAGCGAATCTGACCTTATTTCTAATTAGTTTGTGTTCCTTTATATTTGTTTTATTGTTTTCCCTTGAATTTCCGCCGTTCCTCCATAAAATCCAATATTTCTTTGGTTATCCATCGTTTTTGCCTGTGCTGTCTTGTTTTGGTGGCTTGTTTCTCTTATTGTGGTTTTTAGCCTTATACTTTTCAATAATTTAAGACAAAAGATTACGTAACAAACATTATTATTTAAAAAAAATCCTATCAAATGATTTGTCAAATATCTAAAAAGGGAAGTTTAAAAAAGATTGCCTTTAAATAAATTATTACTTGATTTTGTTTTTTCGGGTCTCCTTTAGATATATCAGTGGCCGGAAGGTGATCGCTGTAGATCGAAAAAAATTTCGGAAATATTTTTTTAACCGAAAAAAAAGTACGAATTATACTATACGTTCGTCTAATATTTCCATTTTTTTAAAACGTAAAAAAAATGTAAATGATTATTTTGCCAAAAACAACAATCAACCCATTTCGTTAAAAATTTTATTATGCAAAATTTGTTTTTACCGTCGAATATTTCGTAACGAAACTCAAGGTGGCAGCAGAGAAATGAGCCGCTCCATCGAGATAGTATTAATTGATCGCACGGCTGTGATAAGTTTATCTGTTTGTATTTAATTCGATTTTAAATAAAATAACATTAAGGGAAAATCATTTTTTCAATTCCGTTTCCTGCGGGCAAACTAACCAAGATAAATCTATAACTCCAGCATTTTCAATTATCATTGAATGCTGGATACCATAAAATTTTAGAACCCAACAGATGGCGCCAAAAATTTGGTAAGTTAATTTCATTAATTATTATTAACATTATTTTCATAAATTCGTATTAGATTACAATATATTTTTCGACACTCTATTTAAAATGGTTAGTTCTTATAATCGATATTTGAAATCTGTTTTTTTCAAATTTCAAAAATTAGGTGACATTTCGTAAATTTATTTAAAAAAACCTTATTGAAATGTATACTGATTTTCACCGGACAATCCAAGTATGCCATAATATACAGATTGTTCCATTTTAAAAATACAATTTTGATAATGTTAGCACTTTTGGGACAACCTGCATAATGTGAAAGTAATTTTAAGAAGTAACCTTGTCTCGTTGCACTTAACCATTGGCGGAAAACCCGTTAATCTGATTGGATAGTAAAATTCGAAATGGATGATGGATGCCACCCAAGAAAAATTGTATTTGAACCGACTTGGGCACATTTTAGGAGTACTGGCCATTTGCAAGATTTAACTGACCCTAAATTTCATAGCGAATGATTATGCTGCTTTCGAAGCACGATTAAAAAATTTCCTATGTTGTTTATTTAATAATGCTTCTTCAAAACACCGGCTTTCCACATTACAATTTAAATACGATAAAATTGCGCCATTTTCCACAAACGGTAAGCCGCAAAAACTGTTAGCGGAGCCACGAATGGATACTGTGCCTTAATGGGTAACCATTAAGAAATACTTCCGTACCGCCACGGTTGCCGACAGCGCCACCAACGGAGAATATATTCACCAATAAGGAACGAATTAAAAGTTAAGCATGAAGGCAGACGCTTTTATTCTGCACGTAAACACTTAAAACGACAAGCAACGCACGGATACAATTAGGACAATAAATAGTGGTAACTTATACATATACGCAAACATTCAATAAATAAACACTAAGCTAGCTTCGAAACGGTAGAGCCTTGTTGGTTTTACTTAGTAGTGGTGGTAGAAGGGCACAGGATGATGCTTGAAGAACCTACGAGCATGACAAAACAAGTGTTAACCTTCATTCGTCGAAGAGAGGGAAAACGTTTTCCACATTCAATTTCTATGAAGTTGTTTAATTAAAAATGCCCAGTTTAATTATCAACAATCCAACATTAAATCTCATCAAACTCGTCACTCGATGACATCTAGTAAAACATTCGCATTCTGTTAAATGTTCCAACAATTTTTAAATTAATTTTTAAGTTTGAACCCAATGTCGATTTTCCCTTCTAATAAAAAATTTTAAATTGTTACACCGCAAAAAGTTTACACCAAGACACTGTCGGAGGGTCCAAAATGCTCACCTACGTTAATTAAAATCCGTTAATAATAATATTGATAAACTCACCGACTCTCCTCTTGGTGTCCGAGCAAACTCTGCTGATCTATTCCGTTGTTAGCCCCATAAACCGACCCCGTCCCGTGGTACTTATTCTCCCCGTACTTGCCAGCATCGGCGTTGGCCTTCTTCGCCTCGTACTCGTTACCATAGTGACCCGATTTCTTCTTTTCTTCGCTGTTAAACTTGCCGTCCTCGTGGCCACCCTGCAAATCGAAACATTAAGCCCCGTCCACACTACGCGGCACGCGTCTAAACGCACCTTAAACGATGACGCGCCCTTCTCTCCGAAAGCGCCGGATTGCCCGTTGAAAGCGTAGTTGTCTCCTTCGTCGTTGGCTTCGTCGTAGTACTCTTCCGTTTTGCCAGACTCGTCCTTGTGGTGCGACGTTTTGAAACCCTTGATCTTGTGTCCCTTCCTATGGCCCTGTTTTACGTTTTTCTCTTCCCCGTTTTTACCCTCCTTGTTGAAATGCTGACCTCCCTCGTACTGCTTTCCGTCGTTGACGATTTTTTTGCCGCCGGCCACGTCTTGGTAGTACCCGTCCTCTCCTTTGATGTCTTTCACCGCTACGTTACCTTCGGAATAGCCCTCTTGGCCGCGTTTCGCTTCTTCCTCCTTCTTGCCGTGCTCCTTGGAGTACTGTCCTCCGTTCAGGTTCTTCTTTTCGCCGCTGTACTCTTTCTTGTCGATCTCTTCACCACCTACGTCACGAAAGTTAGAACCTACTCCACACGGTCGGTCAAGTACCCTAACCGTATCCGTGATGGTGACCTATACCGCCTCCCAACCCGATGGCGCCTATTCCAGGACCTATTCCGCCTCCGATGAATTGAGGTCCGTATCCTCCTCCACCGAGGCCGATAGCTCCACCTCCCAGCCCGATGCCGCCTCCCACGCCTCCCAATCCTACTCCGGAGTAACCTATAGGTCCTACGCCAGCACCTACGGGCCCCACGTAGCCACCACCGAACCCGGCGCCTCCACCGATCCCCAAACCCGTCGACGTGAATTTGCCGGTGAGCTCCGAAGGGTAGTACCCGCCCTCGACTACATGGTACCCTCTAAGGGGGACGGAGGAGGCGGCACTATTCATGACGTCTTCGGTTTCGTAGCGGTACTTGTACATGGGATGGCGGTACTCGTCGCAGAGTACCTGAGAGACGCGTAATTAAGAGTAGTCGGGTATAATCCTTGCGCACTAACCTGCAGAGTACTGAAGAGGGCACAGAGAACTACCGCGGACACCCTAAACATTTTCGCACCGGTGGTGGTTACCGAACTGTCTTTCGAGCAGCGATCGGTAAGTATATATAGGGATAAAATTTTTGTGTTGTAACGATACACTCGATTGGTTTTCTAATGGCACTCAAACCGACCTTTGGTTGACAATCGAGCGACCTTGGTTACGCGGTACGCCGATCATCAGGAAGTACCGTACCATTCCTTGAGGCAATAGGGTTACCGAGACTTTTGCTGGTGTTGAGAAAGAGGCGGGGTTCGGCGATTGGTCTCGCCGCTAATCGACAATGGGCTTTTAATCGGATTACGGAGAATGGTGCCAACGAACTTCTAATTAACTGGGTAATTAGGCGAAATTGATGCGGCCTGTTGGATTCGTGAAAAATGACATGGTCACTTTAACAGTATGATAATTGCACGATATTAGAAAAGAAGTAGATGAAAGAAGCAAGGAATAAATAGTTTCCACCGCCTTTTCGAGGAGAGGTCGTGAAAAGCAAAGAATTTAATGGATGGAAAAGTACTTGTTAGGGCATAATTTCAATTATTTAAATTTTTGCAATGTTTTAATTTACAATTTGTGGTTAACTTTTCGGTAGTTAATAGAATTTTTAACTCGTCCTTTCAAATTCCGATGTTGTCATAGCAGCGCAGCATTTTGCGAAATGTTTCCAAAATACAGATCACCTTTCTTGCCTTCTATACGCTCCCCGAACATCATAAAAAATAAAGCGTAAACAAGTTGTTTTGTTTATTATCGGGAGACCAGAAGGGGGTAGAAGGGCTACCAAGAAAATAAACGGACTTTCGATCTGTCGCCGTCTCTTTTCGTTTGTAAGCCAAAACAAGACAGTTATCTGTGGTATATCTTTTGTTGGCGAAACAATTCGACGCGCGTGTGGAACACGCCCTATTTGCCGCGATCCTTTTGTCCTGTTGCTATCCGACGGGACAGCCGCTACGGAATTTATTAGCAGGAAAGCAGAAAAACGGGATAAAGTTAGCCACTTTCGATGCCAGCAAGGGTAGAAGCCTTCGCACTTGACGCGCCGGTGACGCATTTATAAACTGTTGATCATGTCTAATACCACCTACCAATACACTATCTGTGCGCTGAGATGGCGGCCCGCCGTCATTATTTAAGGCAAAACTCCTAACTAAAAGTTATACTTTCAAAAAGTTCCGATGGCGATTAAGATGGGATACAGAAATTACCTTGATATAATGTCATGTACCGTGTGTTCAATTTATTTTGATAACGTTTTAATTGGATGTAACTTTTTTGTTTTTAGAGATATCAAGGTAAACAAAAAACAAAATGTAGGGTAAGAAGCTACGTTTTTTCCAAGTGACGTATAAAACAAAACGCAATCAATTTTTTGATATATAAGCCTCCATAACATATTTTTAAATGGAACACCCTGTATATTATATATAATATATGATTACATTCATGTAACACACTTTATATTTTGGTCCACTCGTTTTTGGCAAATCGGCAAAAGTAGGAAATTTTTATATAATTGCAAAAAGTGACGTGACTAACTGCAACAACAATATATTTACAAATTAAAATAGAACAAAACACACTAAAGTAAAAAAATGTTTAAGTATTCTAAATTCTGCTGTATGTGACCACCATTTCCTAAACACATTTCTCATACAATCTAATTGTATGATGTCTTGCATTTAGTAACGTTTCCGGATTGTCGCTTAATCTCCTTAATCCTTTGCCGAAGTTCCACAACATGATTGCACGGGGCTTTTGACTGGCCAATACATAATAATTGATTGGTACCCCGGGCTTTTTATTTCGTGTATTTGTCTAGGATTATTTAAAGACCAATGTCGCGTATTTTGTCTTTTATAACCCATTCTTGTAATGAAAAAACTTTCATCAGTCCACGACATTAATACAAGGAGTTGTGATTTTTTATGTGTCTCCAAAAAAAAAAATCAATTAAAGTAAATGTTGACTGGCCAATACATAGTTCCGCCGTTCCCTATCCAACCCCTGGGATATCCCATGTTAAGAACATTTTTAAGGTCTGGCTGCCATATAATAAGCGCTGTGTTGTTGCTATATATTGTTCTATTTGGTTAGTTGCAGATAATATTTTTTTATTCTTTAAAGACCAATATCGCCTATTTTGTCTAATACAACCCATTCTTGTAATGAAGGAACTTTCATCAGTCCATAAAATGTTTTTCAAAAAATTGTTATTATCATTATGTCTATTTCAAAAATCCAAACAAAACTGCATCCTCCTTTGATATTGTTCTACACTTAGCGTTTGAGTTTTACGAAATTTAAATGCATTATATTTATTTTCTCTTAAAACTGAGTCAATTGATTCATATACTCTAGTAATAGAGGAAACTGGATGTCCTTCATAGAATCCTAATATGTTTGGCTTATTTTCTTCATTTAAAACATTATGATTCCGGCACACCATTTAATACGTTACCGTTTTCTGTAAGTTTCTTTGCCAACATTGGAAATATCTGTTTTGAAGGAGCTCGGTGCATAAAGTCTAGTATACTGACCAAGAGCTGCGGTTTCGCTCTTATTATTCGCGAAAAAGCATTTTAACAATAATGACTTGGACAATAGTTCAACCATCAACATTGTTTATGAATATGTCAAAAATAAACATATTTTTATTTGTCAGTCACGGCACTCTTTGAAATAATATAAAAATTTCTTACTTTTGCCTATTTGTCAAAAACGGCAGGACTAAAATATAAAATGTGTTACATCATTGTAATCGAAATAAGATATTCTATTAAACACATATATAATATACATTTTAAAAAATATGATGTAGGCTTATATGTCAGAAAATTGATAGTGTTTTGTTTTATACGTCACTTGGAAAAATACTTGGCTACTAACCCTACATTTTGTATTTTTTGTTTACCTTGATATATCTAAAAACCAAAAGTTAAAACCAATTTATATGTTATAAAGATAAATTTATCGCAAGGTACATATGTGTATATGTTTTGATTTAAGTTTTGGTCGAGTTGCATATATTAATAGATTTTGCCAAAGGAATTTTTTAATACTATAATAATAATTGAGACAGCACCATTATACCCTATTTTCATCGCTGAAAATCACTATGTTTTCGCCTCAGTCGGGTAAGATGAGAATTAGAGATTTTGGGATATATCCATCTTTTGAGTATGAAATAATGAAAACAAACTAGTGATATCAATAATTGTGTATATTTTAGTGCAAATCCAAAATTAATAGTAACATTTAATGCGAAAGGGGGATAGAAGCCACATAAACCTTATGGCTTCTAGTGACCATCAGAATATTCGAAATAATCTCTTTAATAAAAATGAACAATATAAAGATTATGAGCGCAAAAATACATGTTTCATGCAGGAATGTTTTAAAGTTATAAATATTACAGAAAAGAACGACACTAGCGAATAGGAAATATTTTCCTCATGGCAGCGTAGAACAAACTACCGAATATGCGAAGTAATAAAAACGAAGACCTAGTAATGACACTTTGATGCCTTCTTTAGGTCGTTATCGACTAATCCAGACGACTTTATTTTGATCAATTAATAGTTAACAGTTTGGACATTCAAACATAATGTAAATTGATCGGTTGATCGGTTAAAGTCAACAACCAAATGAAAATGCTTTGCAACAGCATACTCTGAGAAGGCGATATATAAAAAATGACAATTTTTTAAATGCCGCTGCTGACATCATAAGTATTGCGGCTTTGTCTAGTTGTTTCCAGTCAGCTGAAGCCGTTTAAACAGAAGTTTCACGTGAATCACTTATGAAACAACAAATTTTCCACAACAGTTGCGAGCTTATCTCGCCACGAGTGTGGCGAATATCTTTTGTGACGTCACGTCCGCGACTCGCTGAGCAGGCCCGCGAGCCAAACCAACCCTCTTTCGAGAGGGTCGATTCCGTGTCAGTGCGCGTTCGTTTCCCTTCGAGCATCGTTCGATAGAAGTCTTGCTTTGTGCGCTGCCCTCATAGCAGGGTGTGTTTTTGGTGTGCGTGCTATCGAAAGGCTTCAAAATAGTCCTCACGGACGTCTTCAATTTTTCCTCCTCGACCAGAATGTCGGTCTCGGACGAGGAGAGAGACGAGTGAGTACGAAAATCAATCCCCCTTTCCTCTGTAACCACCCTCGCGCCCTGGGAGGCTTGTTTTATTAAAAGGGAAGGGTAATAACAACAATGACGTCTTTATTGCCAATCAAATCAATACACGATAAAAGTGCGGAGTCGCGATGTACGTAAATTTTGTATAAATAAAATAAGTAGAAGTAGAAAACTACCTTTTTACCAAACCCTTAAACCCAAATATTTCAAAATCCCCTAGTAGCTCATACGCTACACTATGCATGCATGATGTAGTTGTACAGTTTGAAATAATTGTGGAGGTCAAATCAGAAAGTTGGGAGTGGGGCTTTTTATACTCCTAGATTTCGTAGCGGATCTCACGGAAACACCGGTAGAAGATGCTAGTTACACGCAAGAACTTCGGATATAAGTTTTTTCCCATTCCTGAAAAGTCGAACAACAGAATGGTGTATTTATCATTTAGATAATATATGCACTGAATAAAAATTCATGATATAAACAAAATATTACTAGCAAAAACCTTGTCGAGGCGCTACTTCGTCCCTTCCAAGTTGCTTTTTGAAATTATGAGTTAAAGTTCTATCATTTGTAGCTCTATAAATAAAATGTGGAGAAACGTGGAGTTATGTGTAGAGATATTTGGGTTAAACCTACCCGTTTGAGCACAAAGAACGACTCCTGCAGCAGTAAATGTAGCCTTTACGTACGTGAGTGGCTTGTACGTCGTGGAACTGCGACGTGTGAACGCAGCTTAAGTGGTGTGCCCGCCTCCTGCGTGTAATAGAATTGATTGCACGGGTGATTGCTGAAGAAACCGCAAAGGACAAAAAATAACGCGATATATATGAAGTGTAGTGGAAGAAACGACTTCAAAGTCTGCCGTTTATGGGTTTTTGCAGAGGCCGTTCCACGGTTACGGACGGTCGGGTTTAGAAGGGGCAAGGTCAGGGGAAAATTTTAATCGAATATTACAAAACGTTAGCGAAGAAGGATATCGATTAAATAACTGCGACCCGTTCAAACGGTTACGAAACATTTTGGAGTGCGTTTCTTAAACGCAACGTTCAAAATGGCCGCCGACGAGTGTTGTGTAGTGTTGGTCCTTGTTTAAATCAAACGAACAATTATAATTTGCATTAGCTCTTGTCTGGCAGCACTCGTTGTAATCCGATTTGGACATCACTAAGTTCGCATTTGTTTATACAAATTAATATTTAACTGCGCGATAATATTGTTATTGGCCATTTGCGAAATAAAGGATTATTTTTCGGTACATCCGCCATTGCGTCAAGAAAATAACTTCTTCGTGGATGCGAGAATCGGAAGTTTGTTTATTTGGAACTGACAATTGTAAACTAAATTTTCTACATTTGAACTGAGATGAATTTTACTTGATGAAAATCCATTTAACAAAATAAATAAGAACTAAAAGTTAAGATTTTCACGAAATTATATATACATTTGATAAAGACACGGTACTGTCGAAACAATTATCATGTGAATAAATATAATTTCGTGAAAATCAAAACTTCTAGTTCTAGTTTATTATAGTTCTTATTTATTTTGTCACTGAATGGGCCAAAATATGTAATAAATATTTTCAACCCCAGCAGTTGAGTTTATTGCATTTATTGCATTCATTACATTGCAATTTGCAGCAATTTATTTAACAATGATGTTACATCGGGATTCTGTTTGATGATCTCTGGTGTTCCTATTCTACGGTCTTAAGAGGTTAGAAAATCGGACTCTTAGTCATATATCGCGCGCGCTTATGTCTAGATCTCATGTTGTGGAGTTCTCTTTTATTAGAAAAAAGCTCCGACACGACTAAATACGACGATATTTTAGAGTATGAAATACTAATTTACTCTATAGTTGGCCATGTCATTTGGCGGGCACGGCGGTCAGTAACGAAACGTGTTTATTGACAATTTGGCGGATGCAATAACAATGAAGAGTTTTTTACGTGGATTGATTTTCCTAATTAAATTTATTATACTTGCAAGACTTTTTATCAGATACTTAAGGAACAATTTATGCCTTATGTATTACATAACATCACAGTCCGAATATTTTGAAACTAGCATTAGCGCGAGAAATATAAATAAAAAAAAAACGATCGTCATATGTACAGTGCGTTCAATTTATCTTGATAACATTTGAACTGGCTGTATTGTAATTGTGCAAATTGTGAAAGTAACAGCAAATATATTTGAAAGCTTCAATAATAACAAAAGAGGAAAATGACATAGCAGAAAAAAATGTAAACACTAAACTGAATTAAAACCCCCGAAGCCCAAAGAACTAAGGACAAAAACATTATTTTCATTTTAACTTTAAAGACCAATCGCACAACACAAAAGTAAACTTAGAAACTAATCCTTTTCATCTCACAAGCCTACATTACGTAGTCGCGCTTTGATATTGTTAAAAGTATCAGCTTTCAAAATTTTGAAATATTATTTCTTGTGAAGGCACTTTTTGCGAAATGGATCATACCAACCCGTCGCAGAACAAGCACAACTTAATAATTTCATGGCATTCGATCGCTGTGTGTCACACTCGACTTAAACCGAAAATACTACTTGACATGGCGTCATTAACTAAACATTTTGCGGACATAAACTGACCAAAACTGGCAGTGACAGCTTTTGTGTGCCTGTACAGAATACGACCCTGTCTTAAAGCTTAAAAATTCAGGTTAATCGCGTTTGTTGAAAAGGAGAGACGCTAGTCTATCGAATTTACGGGTAGATTAAAAAAAGGCCGCTATTGTTGCATTCGCCGTTGCAGCCGGATGCCGCAATTGTTAATTTTCTAACCGACAGTGTACGTTCACCTTTCATGTGGCCTGGAGCTGCATCAGACAGCTGTCACCATAGTGCGCGTGAGAAAGTCATTCTTTGATCGCATTCTGGGTAAGTTGCATCAACAGACGCGTTCTGAGTTCCATTTTTCGATTCATTTAAGAATATTTCGGAAGGTTAGTCTTTGCACCCTCAAGTTGCATCTTCATATGTCAGTGTCACTTAATTGCGGCATTTACAACGAAAAAATTGTGACGATAAGTTTCAAATAATAAAATTAATTAAAATAATAAAAATGCCGCGTAAAGTGTATGTCGAAACAAAATATCTATAAATTACTGGTTACTGTTGGGCCACCCCGTATAAATAACAATTTGGAGGGGTTTACTCACCCGAAATGTTAATATTATTTAAATAGAAACGTTGATTTCTTTCATTATGCTTTTTTTTTACAAGTCAATTTATACTGCCCGAGAAAAACAGCTGCAGTTAAAACAAGTAAAGAAAATTTGCCACGGGCATGCGTCGAATTGAAGGTCTTGTAGTCCATAGGCGTACCGAAATAATTTTACAAGGTGCTCAAAGATATCCTTTCAAAAAACGCTCTCGGAGTTTAAACCAAAAAAAATTTTTGATCGTATTGTAGAATATTACACACCCGGTATATCGTAAATAAACTATTGTATCAAATTTTGTGTAACTCCGGACACCTATAGAAGTTAAACCAGTAATCGTTTTATTTTTATATTGACTTGTCGTTTTGAGACAGCGCTGAACTTTGGAAAAAGCAATGGCGTACCCTGCTCTTTCTAAATTTAAAACGATATGTTTTATACTTTTTATAAAACGTCTGGATTGCTCATGCGTCGGTTTTTGTTGAATCGAATTAGATAACGTTTCGCCAATCATCCTGTTGGCTTCTTCAGAGCTTAACTGAAACTGGCTCGCATTTTACTCTGTACCGGCTTATATGTTGTTTGAGGGGGCATAATCACCGTCTTGCATGACTGATTCCCATATTGGTGACAGGTAGAGACCTGAGTCGCGGTCAAGATTATTGCCGAACACACTCATGACACCGGACATAAAATTTTATTCGAAAAAATCAATTGTTCTACCAACGAAAAATCCGAGAGTCTATAGAAATCTATAAGCAACCTAACAATTTTAACCCCGACGCAGGTCTCTACCCACCGTCACCAAACAATATAAAAGCAGGTACAGAGTAAAATGCGAGCCAGTTTTAGTCAAGCTCTGAAGAAGGCAACAGGATGATTGGCAGCAAGTTCGACTCAGCAAAAACCGGCGCAGGAGAAACCCAAAAGTTTTATAAAAAGTATTACAGTAGCCTGTGGAAGCTTCTTCGAAGAAAGATATCTTTTGTAATTAGTTTTGCCTCATTTTAACGTGGTGGTGTTAATTTGTTAAATTGGTACACGCTGTACAATAAAAAAGGTTATCAGCTGTATAATTGATTGTTTTTTCACGCGGTCAAGGAATCGCGATTAGAAATTACGTTTTTCCCATTGCAGAACTGACGAGACCGCGTGTGCGATAGGTTGATAATTGTTACACAATTTCGTTTTATTTTTATTTCTTCGCTCCATGTTATCAAACGGTCCCGCGAGAACCACCGGGCAACGCGATGACGTATGCGACTACTACGACCACCCGGAAAATACCGCAAATTGCGGGAAAGAGAACTGCATCTTAACGAAAACGAGGTATATATAGTCTTTACAGTTATCCGCCAGCAATTACCATTATTTTTTGGGTCCAGAATTCGTCTAGAACATTCATGCTCGATACCTCTGAAAAACTCGTACTTTTACAAATTAAAAATGCATTTTCTCGTAGTTTCGAAGATATTTTTAAAATACATATTTTTTTAAATTTTAATTACATATTACCATAGTGACAAACGGTTTTACTTTTGTGGATCATTTTTGTTTAACAACGTTTTTGCAAAAACTAACGAAATATTCAGAAATTTCGAAATTTTATTTTGTCCGTGCAACTATTCTTCCACTAACAGTTTCCCAAATTGCCGTACCGTATCTTATAAATATTTATTTTGTTATGTATTAGAGCGTGCCTACTATAAAGCTTGATACGCAATTTTCAAACGCAGCTCTAATTGTGGTGATTAGACCAGCGTTAGAGCGTTTAATATTTTATAATCTTGTAAGTCGCTAAATATTGCAACAAAACTGCATACTGATAATTTGCTTTATCTGGTTGCTCGTTCCTTAGAAATCGTCTTATCTTAGCGGATTAGCAGCGGTATTCTTATAGATTTTGATTTATTGCGGGGACTATAATCTAATATTGCGTGTATAGAACAAAAAATAAATAATACAACAAAAACAAGTGTTCGTTCGCATTAAAAATTACCCAGCAATAATATCATAATAGGAGTTTCACTCACCACCTAACGTTGTCGATTTTTTGTATACTACATCGGTTTAACACATCCGCAACGACTGCGCCAATTACGACCCACGACTCGCTCTAATGTTGCGCAGCTATATTACTTATCACTAGAAGTGAGGGTTTGTTGATGGCGTTGTTTGTATTTAGATACCCCGATGGAACAGTTAAACTCAGAAATCCCCACATTGAGCTCATGGACCAGGATATCTTGTACCACTTGGCTCTGGGCAGCGAGTCGCACGACCTCGTCGAGATGTTTGGGGATACCAAGGTACGTGGCAATGAAAGGTATTTTGATTTAATTTCCGGTTCCCTTATCAGTTCGTGTGCATGGGAGGCACCCCCAAGCGGATGGAGACCTTTGCCCATTACATAATGAAAGAGATCGGGTACAAGTTGCCCACAGGCACCGCGCTGATGGACATCAGCCAGTACTCGTACCGGTACAGCATGTACAAAGTGGGTCCGGTACTGTCGGTCAGCGTGAGTACACACCAGCTCTACCAAATCCGCAAACGTGAAACTACCGATCTTGCAGCACGGCATGGGCGTACCCTCCATAGGTATCCTCCTCCACGAGATCATCAAGCTCATGTATCACGCCAAAGTCAAGGATCCGATCTTCTTCCGAATCGGTACCTGCGGAGGTATCGGCATCGAAGCCGGCACGGTAGTAATATCCGACGACACCGTCGACGGCATGGGTAACCACCACTACGAGGTGCCCATGTTGGGCAAATTGGTCAAGAGGCCGGCGAAATTGGACAAGCGCTTGGTGAGGGAGCTGAAAGCGTTGGCCGACCCCGAGGACCCCTACGAAACCGTCACCGGGACAACCATGTGTGCCGACGACTTTTACGAAGGTATCGTCTGGTATTAATTATATTTTATTTATTTTTATTTATTATAACAAGGTACCCTAACATGACAAACTAACGTCACAATTTACGAAGGTACACTAAAACTAAGTACACCGTTTGCCAAATAAAACGATTCACTATACGATCTGGAAACCCATAGGAGATGCGAAAAAAGTTTCGTACCAAAATTTCCTGGATTTAAAATATTATAATTTTGTTGATACAGGGTGTCCCAAAAATGTCCACACCGACATCTACTTTGTTATTTTAAATGGACCATCCTGTATATTTCGGCATTTTTAAAATAAAGGTCATTTTCTTAAGAAATTCCCATTCGAATTTTGCATAGTTTTGGTTAGTTTTGTTCATATGTTTTTTTTCATATTTTGATCGCCCCATATAAAATTCTGTTGTGACGCTACTGATCCAGGTGTTGCAACGAAGATTTAACCACAGACTTTGGAGATGATGCACTACTCAATTATAAGGTTGTTCGGAAAGTCATTTCGTTTTTTCCCGTCACAGGACTTAATTACGTTTTTTCGAAACCAACTTCACACTTAAGCCGCATAACCATTATATGTCTTGAGAGCTGATATTGCAAGGCTTGTGTGTGAAAATGTTCTATTAATTCTACGCAGTAGTTTTTGGTTGGTGCCCTTTTAAATATGGAGAGCAATAAGCAGCATTTTCGTCATATTTTACTTTTTTACTTCAGAAAAGGTAAAAATGCTGTCCAAGCGAGAAAAAAATTGACGGATGTGTATGGAGAAGGCGTGTTAACAGTACGCCAGTGCCAGAACTGGTTTGCAAAATTTCGATCAGGCAATTTTGATGTCGAAGATGCACCACGGTCTAAAAGGCCGGTCGAAGCTGACAAAGATGCGATAAAGGCATTAGTTGATGCAAATCGGCGAATAACCACACGAGAAATCGGTGAGAGATTAAATTTGTCGAATTCGACTGTTTATGGCCATTTGAAAGGCATGGGCTTAACCTCGAAGCTCGATGTGTGGGTGCCCCATGTCCTTACGGAGCGAAATTTGTGTCGTCGCGTTGACGTGTGTGATTCGCTCCTCAAACGTCAAGAAAATGATCCATTTTTGAAGCGGATTATTACTCGGGACGAAAAATGGGTTGTATACAACAATGTTAAACGCAAGAGGTCATGGAGCAGAAAAGATGAACCGGCTCAAAGCGTGTCAAAAGCCAACATTCACCAAAAAAAGGTGATGCTCTCCGTTTGGTGGGATGTCAAAGGAATCGTTTTTTTTGAGCTTTTGCGGGACAATACAACGATTAATTCAGAAGTCTATTGTCATCAACTGGACAAATTGAATGATTCACTTAAAGAGAAGAGAGAAGGGTGTAGTGTTCCACCAGGATAATGCGAGACCTCACACAAGTTTGGTCACTCGCCAAAAACTTTTACAGCTTGAATGGGACGTACTGCAACATCCACCATATTCTCCAGATCTGGCGCCTTCCGACTACTATTTGTTCCGGTCCCTGCAAAATTTTTTGGATGGCAAAATCTTTACCTCAAATGAAGATGTCAAAAACCACCTGAACCAGTTTTTTACCAGCAAGGACCAAAACTTTTATGAGAGGGGAATTATGCTACTGCCAATATATAATTTAATAAAATATTTATTCATTATACGAAAACCGTCTTTCATGTTCCCCAAAAAAAACGAAATGACTTTCCGAACAACCCAATAGTTTGACAGATGCGCGTCAGCTTATACATGGTGTCCCAAATAGGTGGTGCCGTTTTGGCGAATTCAATTAACTAAACCTCAAAATTTTCAAATGGAACACCCTACATTTTTATTCAGATATCAATTCTAGGACAAAAAATAAGGTAAGTTTGTTTATATCTAATGGTTTATAAAGGTTGGCGTTACTCTAATGCTCGAAGACGCCGATTTTGACTAGTATTTGAAAGATATTGACATGAACATGTAACTGTTTGTATCAAACAATGATAGTTTAACAAGATATTTGCAGTTTTGATGCGGTTTTAGGTAAGTTATGTGTCGGAAAAGCAGGTTTTGACTGGAATCTGTTTGAAATGAGGAAGAAAAACCTACTGTCAATCCAAGAAAGTGGGTTTTTAAGTAGTCGTCTGCAGTTCTGATGTAGATTTCAACTGTTTGAAAATTTATATTTTACATAATGCATGAGGCAGCAGCAGTTCTGGATCGTTTATGGCAACGATTAGAGTATTATTACTTTTCATTAACCTTTGTATGCAAAAGCTCGAGAAATTGTATCCGAACATCATAGCAAGACTTTGAGGTTTTCATTTTCTTATGTCCTTTTTTGGAGCAAGTGGTTACATAACAAGGAAGTGGTATAAAAGAAGTACTTATGCACCTAATTCATTAGAAAAAATGCTCAATGATTGCATAGACATTTGTCAAATCTGCATGGAACAATAAAATAGTACAGTTGTCTTGTTCTACCTCCAACCTCTGCTTCTGCCTGTCAGCATTTGCATCGTGTGTATTGCCACGTTCAAGTGTGACTAGGCAATGAGCCAATTCAATTCAAACTCTACTCCCACCTGTTCCAGAAAAACTGCTCAATAATATTTTCTGCAACCCCAAGACGGGTTGTATTAAGAATTGTGGCTGTCAAAAAGTGGGATTATTTTGTTCGCCAGTATGCATCAATTGTCAGGGCCAGACTTGCTCCAATATTGAATCAAATACAATACAAGAAATTATTTGTGATTCTTATTATGCAGGAAGAAGAAAATGAAGATGAAGAAATAATTGTTGAAGTGGAAGTAGAAAATTATCTATTGTAACAACATTTAGAAAATTATCAATATTTCCCATACTTCCAATCAATAGGATACGATCTGGTCAAATTTTCTTCATTACAATAGATCGTGGGGAAACCATGTTAAAAAAATGCGCCAAGTAGCGTGCGTTCAATTTATCTTGATAACATTTTAATTGGCTGTAACTTTTTTGTTTTTAAAGAATCAGAGTAAAGAAAAAAATAAAATGTGGGGCTAGTAGCCAAGTTTTTATCCAAGTGACGTATAAAACAAAACACTATCAATTTTCTGACATATAAGCCTACATCATTTTTTTTAAAATGAAACACTATGTATATGATATATGTGTTTAATAGAGTATCTTATTCCGATTACAATGATGTAACATACTTTATATTTTAGTCCACTCGTTTTTGACAAATCGGCAAAAATAGTACATTTTTATCTAATTTCAAAGAGTGCCGTGACTGACTGCAACAACAATAATTATTTATAAATTAAAGTATAACAAAAAAAAATGACAAGACACACTAAAGTAAAAAAATCTTTATTCTAAATACTAATACATTTTCCTGAACACATTTCTCATACACTCTAATCATGTGATGTCTTGCATTTAGTGACGTTTCCGGATTGTCTCTTAATCTGTGAAATCCTTTGCCGAAGTTCCACGACATTATTACAAGTGCACGTGGTTTTTTATATGTCCCCAAAAGAAAAAATCCATTAAAGTTAAGTCGGGGCTATATATAATATATAATGGTATGTTTAACGTCTCTGTCAATTTTCAGCTCTATTTTCGTCTATTTCGACTGGATTATGTAACTCAAAAAGGCTAGACAAGAGTCCATGTTTAATATTGTTCTCTAAATTACTTAAAAATTAAAAGAAACGAGAATTTTACGCGTACTTCTTTATCAAACATGACATTTTCTATCGCCTTCTTAAGTTTGGACAATAAATTACATAACACCGTGTATACATACTCCGGCTCTACCGATGGTCTTCTTCTTCTTTACTTTTATTGGCCAAGATCATTCGGACACTTACAACTATAGTTTAATATTTTCTTTATAACTTGAAGGGTGTCTAGACGAATCCATCACCCTACAAGGGGAACAAACTATTGGAAAATTCTTCTCTCTTCGAAACATTCGACTTCCCCCGCTCCCGCCTCGATTAATCCGGCACCATCCGGCCTCCAATCGGCGTGGAAGACAAGTAACAGGAGGGCCGACAACGATTACACACATTATAACATTCACTAAATACTTAGAACTCTAAATCCACACAATGGACCCAATTTCAAATTTTTGGGGGCGATTACAGAGGATTTTGCCTGCGAATGGTATAATTTCAACAGAACTATTTTTTTTTGGGGCAAAGGTCAAGGTCGCACGGACGGCGCGTTCTGCGACTACTCGGAAAATGAAAAGCTCGAATACTTGGAGTCGCTCCAACGCAACGGCGTGAAAAACATAGAAATGGAGGCGGTACCGTTCGCCGCCCTCACCCATCACGCGGGTATCAGAGCGGCGATTGTCTGCGTGGCGCTGCTGAACCGATTGAAAGGCGATCAGGTGCGTCACCTAGGTGGAGCCGTAATCGCCGATTTTGGACTTTTAACGGTATTCTGTTAAAGGTGTGCTCTCCGAAGGAAGTGATCAACGAATACCAGCAAAGGCCTCAAGCGTTAGTGGCGCGTTACATCAAAAAGTACCTGCAGACCAAGGGACGCCTCTCTTCGTTCGAGGGACACGGTTCAATCGCGGTGAAGAGCCCCAGGAGGTTCAAGCTGGTGCAGCAGGAATCGCAGACGTTCGAATAATACCGTATACCGTTGATTTTTATTGTTTTTTGTTAAGGGCAATATCAAAAACGGCAGATGGCAGAGCTGCGGATTTCGTTTCTTAGTAAATTATTTTAATTATGGGGTTTTAAGTAGCTGGGGCAGGGAACAGCACAAAAGTATGCGCGTCTACACCGTCGTATATCCGTGCAATCTGCCACGTTTCGTTTCACCTAACCTCATTCTTTTCTTTCATGGATGATATCATTAATTTTTAGGAAAAAGCCACTAGCTTGGCAACACCGCCATTTATTAATTTTTGAAGCGTTTCTATATTTTGCGTGTTTTAATAGAAATGCGATGTTGCCAAGCGTGCGGTGCGTTAAAATTTATCATTAATAAATTGTTGGGGGGGCATCGGCGTGGATATACGGCCGGTACGTCACGCTCACTATTTTAAATTTTGTATTTTTAGGCAAAAAAAAAGTTGTTGTCTATACAGTTATCGTTAACCGTACGTAAGGATTTTTAGGTACATAAGGGCTATCTAGGAACTTTTTCCGATACTGTAGCGTGTTGTTTTTGTTATCTAGACGTTGTAAAATATGGCGCCCATTAACCGATCCCGGCGCGCGGAACCACTGTGTACATTTTCATCCAAACATATCAAAAAAAAAATTCTAGGTTTGGAACGCAAAATTGGTATTTGGTTACCTCAGGAAGCGACAATACAGAGCAACAAAGCTTTAGTGAAATCCAAACAACGACCCCGTGTTGACACGTCGTTAAGAAATTAAATGTTTCGTCGATGTTTGTTACCTGTTGCGATTGTATATCTTTTTGTATTGGCCGGCCGACGAAGAAAATTGTCACCGGATCGCAGAGATAAGCAAAATCAGAAGCGATACTTTCCGTATGACGCGTAGGGGTCAGCGGACAATAGACCACCTGCACATTTGTAATTAAAATAAAAAATCTACGAAAATAAGTGAAAATTTTAAGTTAAAACGCAACAAAGCACAATTTTTTACTGTTCAAAAATCTAATTTATGACGGTTGACGGAAAGTTCCCGACTTTCGAATCCCGCTTCTGATCTGATCTTATTCTGCGACCGTATTAACGATCTGAACTGAACTATTCCCAACGTTTATGACTATTTTCGTACTATCGGTGTTAACATAAGATACGAAGCTTACAATAGTTGATAATTTCTCAAATATATGACTATATAGCCGTTTTTATATAATTTTCTAATATTGTGCATTATCTGGCCATTGTTATAGCCTTCGATGTAAACGTGAAAAATAGGATTAATCCGACATATGTTTGCCTTTAAAAAAAAAAGAAAAATTTAACTTCGCATTAACATTTCTTCGTTTTTTCTCTCCCCACCTCCCCTAACCACCGCAAAAATAAAACAAGTCGTTGTCTGTACATAACATGTTATATATTTATTCACGATACATGCACACACCCTACATATAATCGGACATCTAACCTTATTGTACTAAGCACAGTATTTGAAGATATTTTTCATTTTGAGCAGCAGAACGTACATCACCAACGACCGAGAGACGGCAAAGGGAAAAAGCCCCTCCCATCGACATGACCAGAAGCGTTTGTACAAAAAAATATATCACACCTAGGAATGCTTAAAAATAACAGGACACCTTCGAAATATACAAAGCGTTTCAGAATTCATTCAAGCACGGCCTATAGATAGATCTCAACGAACCAAATTTGCTCTGGCCTGAATTTTATTCGAATTTAATTAAAAAATAAGATGCTGTTTATTCTTCTTCATAATAAACGCATTTGAGTTTTTAAAAAATATATACAGTCAGTGGCGTCAGTGGATATGAAGTATTAAATAAACTATAATGTTAAAGATGCACCAATTCGGTCCTGTATCACAAAAACGAGACCGCCTAGACCCGTGTTTTCTAACGTGGGGCCCACATTCCACAAGGGGGCAATTTGTAAAATTTGCAAAATTGCCATTTTTGTTATGTCTATAGCATGTAGATTACATCGCAGAAAACATACATTGGAAATTGATTATGCTTTACTTTTTGTGGTGCGTGAATGCACCACTGGTTTTATCTGTCAAACAAAACTTTGTTATTACAAGTCTAGACAAGTCAGCGCATGTAGAATAAACATCCAACAATTAGCGTGTTCTTTAGTTTTAGTTTGTGCCTTGTGCAGTGAACGTTACAGTTCGTAAAATTTCTGAGGTATTTGACTCAAAAGAAATTAGAGGCGGCTATGGAAGAGATCGTTATGAATGAAGACAATAACAATGAAAGTCGTAAATATTATTTGGATTTACGTACACACGTTACACACATTGCTTGTAAATTTATGCTAAAAATAACGTGAAAAAATATTTACAGAACATATAGACGCGGTTTATATTCCTCCCGACGTGGATATCATGACTGACGAAGAAGATATGAACTATAACATAAATCTAACCAACTGATATAGTTGGAACTTTCGAGTTACATACACCGAATGATAAAGCTGTCCTTCAACAGTCCTGTAATTCATCAACTACTGAACCTGAATGTCACTCATTAGATGATGAATCTCTGGAATTCAGAAGAAAATGTATGCTTTCTGCAAACGACAGGCTTGCTTCTACTGTCAAATGGAAGAAAGGTCAGATTGAGTACACTCACACACCTATATCCGAATGAATTTAGGTCATGTGAGAAATTAAAAAATAGGTTTTCCGAAAAGACTCCGTTTGAAATATTTTTTTGTTCTTTGATGACGAAGTGATTTGATTTTAAAATTTTCGGTAAAATATACTCAAGACAATAACCGCCGGGTCATCATTCATTGCCACATATTTAGCATCAGACAATTTGATTCGCTTCGAGCCGCGCTTGGAACTGAACGCGCCTTGAGTTTTGACCCATACACATTCGCGTGTCTCGACCTGTACAGGTAAGTGTTAGCACTTGCCTGCATGTGTATAGACCGCTTAATGTGCATTTACATACTTCATGCTTTGTAAAATATCACAAAAAATGAAACCGGGTGTTACCAGTGCGCTTTTTATGCATTTTTTTTTTGTATCAAATCTGGTTCTATTTGGAAAACAATCTAGTTGTTTTCTATCGAATTTGAACTTTGTTTTGTATATTTATGTATAAATTATATGTTACATCCTACGTGCCCCAAAACATTATTTAATGTTTTTTCACAGTGATTCGTTTACGCGCCAGTATTTTTTGTACGTTTCGAGTTTTCATTTTTTTTTTATACATGTAATGCATTCTTAAGTGCAACAAAATAAATAATTTCTGAGCAAAAAAGCATTTTTTTTATGCTTGGAATAATATGGGTTAAAATTATTTTCAATTTGAATTTCACTTTTTTATTATATTTCATAGGGATACCTTCCTAAAACCTATCATTTATGTTTCTTTTTTTAGAAATGTTACGGTGGGGCATGGCACAAAAAAGGTAGGGCTGGACCCACGTGGTCTATAAAGCAAATTTTATTCATTTGTCGAGTTCTATCCACCGGCCGAGTTCGAAACACCCTATACAGTTGAGACGACTTGTCTTGGCTAGTAATCTAGGATTCTATTTTACAACGGCACCCCGATAGATCGCTAGAAACTTCAACCTCGAATAGCAAAAATAGCCAATGTCTAGCATTTCAAGGTTTTTACGAGGAGAACGTATAACAGATCCAGGAATTGCTTCTTTATCTAAGGGAAGACTAAAAAACTACTCGTACATCGATAGATTTGGAAACACAACCTCTTTTGTTCGAGAAACGTAAGCTTGAAGGCTTAAAAATATAAAACAAAGGTACTAGTGATTAGTATTGACCGCCATAAACAAAAGCACCGGCGCTGCTTAAATAGACTTTTTTTTCATTAAATCGGAACATGTCGCATGCAGCAAGATCTACAAATTGATGAGCGGTTACGAAATCAATGCTAAAACATCACAGCTTGTCAGTCAAAAATAACTCTTAGACCGGGATTATCCAATTCATATTATTTTTATATCTGAAAATATGACCTTGAGAGTTTGTCACACCTGCCTAGGCAACCGTCTGAAACATTTCTACCGTTTTTATTTTAACACGATTCAATTGATCAATTGGCTTTAAAATTATAGACAACAAAAAAAAGTGAAACAAAGTAACTTGAACAATTACGATTAATTCGATAATCCCGAGTATGCCATCCGTTTGCGAAAAAGGTAATGGCAACCATATTGGGTCTTTGGTACGAGCTGGTTATGGTTTAAATTAAACGCTGAACCTTAACACGAAGACTAGAATAAATCTTTACAGTTAATAGGTGAAATTGTGTCTGGGAAAAATAGCGGTCGCTTTCAGCTGTTGGTCGGGATCTTGCTGATTACGATACCGTCGCGTCAACACCACGCCCAAAATCTAAAGGCAAATTCGATGTCAGCCAACTGTTTCCGCTAAAGTCAATGTTAAATGCAAGAAAAAACGACACCCAAAGCTCAAGCAAGAAGTTGAAAGGTAAAGCCAGCAAACCAGCAAATGAAAGAAAACAAAAGCGAGATTCGCAAAAAAAGGGGTACAAAATTATACAACAAGCTAGTTCATCTAATACACCCACCGTGTGTAAACATTGGACGTTACGCGACTAGAGGAAAGCGCTTGGGTTAGCCCTGGGGTCTTTTTGGTTACGGTACCGCACTGTTAACAGCACGCCCATAAACTGAAAACATGCCATTAGACCATTACCTGTGCTATAAGGACACCACACAATATACAAGGCTTTTACTTTAATCAATACATATAATTATTTTAGTGGAACAGCTTTGTCTTCTCGTCTGTTGATTGGGAAGAAATGTACACAAGATTTTAACCAGATTCCTAATCTATGCAATAATCAAGACCCATGGTTTTTTAGTAAATACTTTTCAAAAAATGTGTTGATATTTTGTATGTTTATGCAATTTTCCATTAATAGCATAATTATATATGGTGGTGTTCCTGTTTATGAATGACTTTACTATTTATCTATCTATATTACTATCTTTCATTTCATTGATCTAGATTCCAGATAGTATATGTACTGATTTAAATAAGGGTTCTCATATTAAATTGAAAAACAGTTAACATATGGATAAACACTCCCTGTTAAAAGATCCAGGCCAATTCCCCCCACCAGCTGAAAATAAAAAAAAAACTCCTACCTCAGTAAAACTGAAGAACAGTCCAATCCAGCCGCATAATTTGAATGCGTAATTTATGGTGCTCTGGAGCTTATCTAGGCAGCCATCACATGCACAACTCCGATCACTAGGATTGGGACAGCATTTCAACTAAAACGGCGATTTCAGGTCGATGTTCTTGTCTGTTTTTGCGACAATTTACCTCGACTTCATCACAAGGTGGATGCCAAACTACCTCGTCAACTTGCTTGTCAAAACCGCAACACATGAAAGTCTTCTGGACATTTTCTTTAGTTGTGTTCTTTACCCGGACCCATCCCTGCTCAGCAAGTTGTTCTTGCTGTGATTGATTGACACCCAAACAGGCGCACGCAACAGAAAATTGGATTAAGAACAACAGGAAGAGTATCAACATGTACTAATAATAGGGATAAGGATATAACAAGATAATTGGAATGAATTAACACCCACACATGTAAGGATACAAAAAAAAGCATGACCTGGTGATGTTTGACGGCCCCCATCAGTCCCAGCACTGATATAGTTATCAATATAATCCCGCATGCTAATATACCGCCCACGATGGGCAAATTCGTCACCAGAGACGCTGCTCTCCCGTAGACTGCAACCCCTATAAGGATAAAGGCGACGACCTAAAAGGGAAAGATCTGTACCTGATTCGTTTCATCGTCGAGGGAATTGCTTACGATATATAGTACATTCAGAGTTATTAGCGCGTTCTTCGAACATGTAAACCCACCGCACATTTTATACTTTCCAGCGTAGAATTCTACTACTTTTCCTTCGCATAAGCAATTGACATCATCTGTCAGAATGCAAAAGTGGTTTCACTCACAGACCAAATTGACACGGTTATGCCACGGACCATAAGTACCCAGTATTTCTTTTAGCATGGGTAAAATAAACAGGGAAAACTTTTAAAATATTAAATTTAACACGTTTTATAAAAAAGATGTCTTATTTTATAAATCTTAATTACCAATTTAGAAAGAAATTGCCTCGGTTCATTTTGGTTAGAGAAATCTAATTTTTCAAAGAATATTGAAAAGGTGGGCTAAAAGGGCTCGAGATAAAATGTTGGGCTAATTAACTCTCCAAACATAGAAAAGCAAAACCTCATTTTTAAACTCATGAGAAAAAAATATGTGACCTTATCTTAAAAAAAAAAAAAAACGAAAAATGAAAAAGATCGATTTTGTTTTTGCCAAGGTTTGGTAATGGAAAACTTGAAAAAATTGTGCATTTCTTTTTCCATCCTTATCCTTTTTAATTTATGCCCAATTAAAGGAAAAATACGTATCCAAAACAAAATTCGTTTTATTCATCTGCAATATTTACAGATCCACACTCCTAGATGATAAATATAATACAATATTAACAAAATAAATAGCCTTATCCTTTCTACGTAAAATAATTTACAAGAAATAATATTGTCTTAGGTTAACCGGCGACGAAAGCCGCATATTGTGGAGTGGGGGAGGCTCCGCCCCACGTCGATGACCACCCGCATCGACCGCTAGAGGGCGCTCTGCGCCCCACCCCCTTATTACAAAATTAATACCGGGAAGCGTTTCGTGTTAACCGCGTGCGTGGCCAGAGGAGACGCGCGGTCCTGCGTATTGTCTCATTGTACGACGTTCGACGACCATCGGTGGCTCCGCCCCTTACCCGACCGGAGGTTACCTGTTGTCCATGACGACCTGCTTGAAGCCCTGGACGCCTGTCGACATTTGTGACTTGACCTCGTGGCTACCCACCGCCGCGGTCCCGTCTTTAGCAATATAAAGCTGCAGCCCCGACGCTGAAACAGTCGCCGCTAAGTCGCCACGCCCTTTCGCACCCGCATAGCGCAGAAACAATATTCATATGCTTATGCCCAGAATGTGCTTGATTTTAGGAAGTACAGGGGATGGAGCCAAAAGTTAAATTGGGGTATTACAAACCTTCAATTTACTTAAATGTTGTACATACAGGGTATATTAAATATAATATATACATATTATGTGCATAATCTATTACTGAGTCTAACCGTTTTTGACATTTTTATGACATTTGGAAGACGTAAAATATCTACGAAATTTCTTCTTTTGGAAGCATTTATTGTTTCAGTTGTGTAAGTTTTGTTGTAGCCAAAGACTCGAATAACGGATTTCATAAGAAATTTCGAGACATATTAATACAAATAATAAAAATTAGATTAATAATGAAATTTAAAAAACCGCCAAAAAACTTTTTTTTTATGCTCACATGCATCCCAATGGAGAAATTGGCAGATATTTTAAGTCTTGAAAACGTAATTTTTCGCATAAAAAATTAAAAATTTCAAAAAAGGTTAGACTTAGCTATGGGACATTAAACACAAAATTTGTCTAGAATTTTCTATAGAATAAAATTTGAAAGTTGGTATTCGCCCACGAAAAATTAAACGGATATACAAAATTAAAATAAATTAAAGGTTTGTAATACCTCGATTGGCTTTTGTATTTAATTTTGGCTCTATCCCCTAGAGTTTTTGAGTGTCTAGAGTGCCCCACCTTCAACCTAAATTCTTAAATTCTTAAAGCAACTGTAAAACTAAATGACCCGCGAATAAATACCTCACACATGTATATATAATTTGTCTGCATTTTGTTTTTTATGGTTTATATGTGTAAAACTGAAGTAAAAAATCTGAATTTACGAAACTGCACCACTTCACTGCAATGCAGTCAGCCATATCAGCTGCAAATGGGGTAATGAATAAAGCGAGTGGCCACTTGGGAGACGAAATTTTATAGATGCTATGAGATGTAATAAAAAAGGGATCCCTGTGATGATAAAATTATCAGAAAGAAAATGGTTCAAAATGAGGATAAAAAAGGGAGAAGGATTGAATTCAATCATCATTATAACATTTTCGTTTTTTTTTTAATTAGATTGGCGGAGAAACCAGAGGACATGTTCTAATCATTATACAAATGAAAATATGTAAAATATTAGGAAATATTAATATATATAATATAAGCAATAAAATTGTTTTTCTACTCCAGTCTGTAAAATACCTAATTACGCACCGATCTAGCGTGCGGGAAGCGTCGCTTTACCACGTCAGTTTCGTTTCCCACGAATTCGAGCCACTTCGTACATTTCCGGGATTTTACCGGAAATGTCGGAGATATTTCCCACGCTTTGAATTTTGACGTTTGTCAATTCTGACGGTCATGTCAGTGAATGTATTCGTGTTGTTTTGCGAAGATGTACCCAAAAACTAACGGTCGTAGAAAAAGTATATGATGCAACACGTTCGGTAAACTTTTTAACTCACTGTTTTATTAAACACTCGCTCCGCTGGTGTCAAATAAACTCGTGAGTCAAATGCCGTTTACAGCACTTGTTGCATAATATACTATACCAACATAAGTAAGCATTGGTTTTAATTTTAAGTCAAATGTACCAGCTACAATTAATATTATTCTCTAGTATATTCAAAAATATGGTGTTTGCGTATTCCGAGAATGTTGTACTGAGCATGTCCACAGCATACATAAATATGTTGAGAATAGCACAGGCTAGGTATGTATATTATTTTGCTATGTGGGCGATCACCGTCGCTAGCGCTTAGCTTACTCTCCGCCGAGTCGTCGGGCTGCTCAAGGTTCGTGCTCTTCAGCAGTTCCTCGATGAAATCCTCGGGATTGACCCTGGTGATTTCGACCCGACCCGAGACTCCGCCCCCCGCGTCTTCCGACGCGCTCGGGTTCTTTTTCCGTCGCTCGTAGGCCGCCTTCGCCCTGTCGAGCGAGCCCGTGTCGCTGACCGCCAAGCTGCCAGCGCTTGGGTTCCTGCGAACACGACGGAGAGGCCCCCGCGCGGTATGATTATTAGTCCAGAGTGTGCGCGGGGTAGCAAAATTACGAAAATGCGACGAAAAAAAAAAAAATGGAGCGAAGCGAACAAAAAAACAAGGGAGAGAGAGACAGAGGAAAACACTAACGCTCCGGCGCAGCTGGGTCTCCGCTGCTGCCCGTCCGGCGGGGCCATGAGCTGGTCCTCCGACGTCGGCGCCGCGACTTCGACCACAGATTGCGAGTCGTCGGGGCTGGTGGCGGCGACCGGCGCCAGCTTGCCCGCCGCCGCGCCGAGCATCTTGCGGTGATGGTGGTGGTACTGCGTCAACCCCCTGGAACCGCCCGGGCCCGAAAGACAGACAAAGGCAAACCGTAGTAGGACGGACGTACACACACTCAAACACACACACAGCGTTGCGAATACACGGGCGCGCTCTGACGTGTAAGTGTGAAAATGGCGGCGTTAATCGAAGCGGACCAAAAACTAAAAGCGACACGGCCGGGGTGTGTTGGTTAGTTCGCCCCCCACCTAAATCCCAAACGAGGGGATCTGCCTACCTGCCAAGCGCCTGCCGCTGCACCGAGAGGAGGAGACCGTCGTTGCCTAACCTCAAACTACTGAGGGACGTCGCCCGCGCCTCCGGTGGCGCGAAGGGGAGAGACGAGGAGGGAGAGGGTGGGGTGTGGCGACGCGCGCGCGTCGCCTGATCCGGCGCGTGTTTGCGATAGGGGCGGGGCGTGAGAAACGAGAACACGCTATTCGACTTGAATATGCGGCTAGAAAACGACGACCGGTGGTCGTGGGGCGGGGTGGGGCTCACGCGGGGGATGACGAACTCGCTCTTGGACCGCACCACCCCGTCGTTGGGGTTCGGGTCGTCGTCGTCGACGCCCATTCCGACGGCGGACGCGGATTTTTGCAATGCCGCATGGAAGTGCTTGCCGAAACAGTCGGGCGTCTCGAACAATTCGTCATCCGCCCCCTTCGTGGTGAAAAACTCGCCTCGGGGCGTGTGAAACGTCTCGCCGTTGGCGAGCGAGAAGTCGGGAGGGGTGGGCGGGCAAGATTGGGGCGTCAGGAAGACGTCGGGGATGCCGGGTGACGATTCGGCGACGATCGTCGTGGGTATGTTGACCCGGTGCTTGGGGTAAGTGTAAGTGCGTAGGAATTTGGAGGTCGGTTTCCGGAGCGAGTAGTGCTGGGAGGCCCTGTTTGCAAGACGGAAAAAAATAACTGTTTTTTGTCGCGACGAGGACAGAAATAAACGAGAGTAAGCGTAAAATGGCGCTAAAGGGAAGCGCGAGTGTCTAGTGTGTATAGTGGACGTGATATTTTCGAAATAGAATAAAGTGGCGCGAGCTGGGCGTGGCCTTACCCGACCGCACGTCAATATTACTTTATTCAAAAGACCGTGCAGTTTATAATAAAAATCGGAGGCTATTTAAATCCAGCCGAGTCATAAGCAAGGTTAAAAGCGATCAGAATAGTGTCCGCCTGCAACCAATTCATTTTCTTTGCTCAGCCAAAAATGAATGAAAATAATTTTAACGGCAAAAGTGCGAAATCGTAACTAAGGAAATCCTGGACGTTATAACCTTAAACCCGCAAAATTATATTTGTCCTTTTTAAGCCAGATTATTGTAACCAATTGTATGCCTATTATTAAAAGCGTAAACAAAATTTATTTTGATTTTTTATTTAAAAACCAACCAATACACTATCAAATGGGCATAATTCTTAAATTTTTCTCCCTGAATTGTTTATTAAGGCTTTATTTTTTAATTAATTGCTTTTGTGTCTCATGACCCACAATAAAAAGTTGCACCATAGCTCAAAAATAGTGAAAAATTGACTTTTCTATTATTAATTGAACTGAGGAGGCTTTTACTTGATGAAAATCCATTTATCAAAATAAATAAGAACTAAAAGTTCAGATTTTTACGAAATTATATATTTTGACATGACAAATGTTTCCACAACACCGTGTCTTTATCAAATGTTATTTATCACATTTCAAGTCAAGTGTTTCGTTGTATATTTATATATAGTTTATTTTAAAGTTTTTTCAGCAAGCAAAGGTGCTGTTTTATTTAAAAAATTTATTCGATGTTTTTTATTATCAATGGATACATTTTTTGAAAACCGTGACTTAAGCAGAAATGCACCTATTTTACAAACAAAAAGTGGTAAAGGGGACGTTCAAGTAGAAGAAAGTTCACTTAGTTTGAACTCTACATACAGAAATCAGTTTTAGCGTTGCCACTCATTGGAACGTGGCAGCACAGTTTAAATTTTACGCATATAGTATATTAGTTACGTATGTACAGCGTCTCAACCTTTAAGAACTTGTTTAATGGTAAAATTGAATAATTTGACGGGGGTATATTACGAATAAAGGATTTAATTTACTAGACCTAAAGTCCCAAGTTCTGCACCTACAATGCAATCATAAAAAAATAAAAAATATATATTGAAACAAAAGACCAAAGGTACTAATTTCCTTCGGTCGCGACGCAAGGTTTATAACCCTTGGCCACGCCCCTCTCGCGCGACAGATGCGCACAACTCTCACCGCTCTCAACGGGAACGTCCCATCTCACCTGATGTGCCCCGCCGAGTCTCCGCTGCTGCTCTGCCGACTGTGGCTGTGCGAATGGATGCTGCTGTAACCGGACGCCTTTGACAGCTGACTAGTGTTGGAGGAGTTACGCGAATGCCCCGTTTCTCCTGACGGTTGCTGCTGTTGCTCGCCCTGACCGGCGTCCAACCGCTCGCCGACAGAGGACGCTAGGGTAGAGTGATCGGAGGGTTGGTCGGCGATAGAGGACGCCGACGTCGGATTCGACGACGACTCGGGCAAAGTTTGGCCGATTACCAATTCGGAGGACAAGAGAGGGGGCCGTTTTTTGGGCAAACTGCCGAAACCGGAACTGCCGCTCGCTATCGAGCCGGCCAGCGAGCCGCTAGAGAATTCGTCGGACCGTTGGTCGGATATCGCATCGTCGATCGTTATCTGTTTGTGTTTCAGCGACGGCGACGGGCTAGAAACATACAATTAACTACCGGAACCATTAAAACATTATGACCGTTGACCTAGCGACGCCGATGTTCTTCGCTTTTGTTAGTTTTGGGTATGCCGCTTAAATGTATGGCACAATCTGGCCGTCCAACGCACAATAATGTTTTTTAACAAGGGCAGTCGTCAGTTACCAGTAACAATTTCAAATAGTTTTTCCAAAGTGTTTAAATATGCTTTCTTAGAGAGATTAATGTTTTGTTGTAGAAAAACATCATATTTTTATAGATAACCAACGTGGTTTCAGAAAAAATAGAAGCAAATATGCAGGACCTAAAAAAAATAAGAGAATTAAAAAATGTGACTGGTGACGAGTGTGGTATCTCAAAGAGTGTATTGACTGATGCCTGTGCAGTTGTTGAAAATCGATTGTTGGACATTGTGAACACCTCCCTTATGAGTGGAATTTTTCCGGAGGCATGGAAGACATCTGTACAGAAGGTTCCCAACACCAATCTATGTTAAGAATTTAGGCCAATTAATACCGTTGACGTTGTGGTTAAACAGCAACTGGAAAGTCATGTGAATCAGTCGTTGTTACTGTCTGTGATGATTTCATGAGGGCTTTGGAGGATGGTAAATTTGTATTGGCTGTATTTTTGGATTTTAAGCGTGCTTTCGAAACAATAAGTAGAACTAGACTGTTAAGAAAATTGTACAAAATGGGTGTTAAGGGAACAGCGTGTAAATGGCTTTGTTCGTATTTAACAGATAGGGTACAAAAAACGAAATATAAAAATTGCATATCTGATTGCATAACTGTAGAACATGGTGTTCCTCAGGGGACAGTTTTGGAACCATTGTTGTTTCTTATGTATATAAACGATATGGTAAATATTTTAGATGATACACACTTTTGTTCAATTTGGAAATGACGATGACCTCTCAGAGAAGTGTTGTGGGATACTGGATAGATTGATGATATGGTTTGGCAAAGTTAATCTATATTTCAGCGCAAACAAAACCAAAAATATCAGGTTTCATAATTATTAGCTAATGACACTATCGCATTGGGGATAAGATTTTTATAGACAACCAACATTAGTTCAGAAAAAATAGAAGCACTTCAACTGCTGCTTATTCATATTTCCGTAGGATAATATCTTTTATCGAAGATGATTTTACGGAACTTGGGGAAGCTCCGCACGCATGGGGTATAAGGGGCAAGCTTCTAGACTGGACCAGTAGTTTTTTTATTTGTAAATTGTATCCCTTAAGTCTTATAACGGTAAGAGACTGGGAAGTATAAATTCAGCTAGTCAACGCATAGGGATGGGTGTCCCTCGAGGATCAGTTTTAGGCCCTGTACTCTTCATATTATGTGTAAATTGTATATTGAAAATTTTACCTGGTACGTTTTGTCACGTATGCGAATGATCTTCCTTGGTGTTGTATGGAAATGACGATGACCTCTCAGAGAAGTGCTGTGGGGTACTCGATAGATTGATGACATGGTTTGGAAAAATTAATCTATATTTCAGCGCAAGCAAAACCAAAAATATCAGGTTTCATAATTTCTAGAATTGGGTTTGGATGAATTTTTAAAGTGGAAGTCTCACCGTGATACTCTTATTGAAACTCTAAATAGTATAAACATAAATCTTCCTGAGATTTTAACTAGGCAACAGTTGCTTAATTTATAATATGCGAAGTTGGAGTCGCGATTAAGGGATAAATTTGTGGGGAGCATTTGTAAATGCCGATAAAGTATTTTTGGCTCAAAAACGTAGGGAGTATTGCGCACATTTCCAAGTTTACATCTTGTAGGGGTTTATTTGCCCAGTACAGAATTCTCACACTGGCCCGTCTTTTCATTTTTGAAATGTCATTGTATGTCTTTAACAATTTATCGAATTTTAAGTTAGTCAGTGATGTACTTTCTAAGTACACATGACAGAGAAGTAACAATCTGCCATTGGAGTTAAGAGACAAGTGTTTAATACCTTAAATTAAAAATATTTTTGTTATCCAAAACATTCTATAGTAAAGACGAATTTTTTGAGCAAATGTTTTATATATGTCTATGTCTATTGCACGTATTATGTATTTTGACTATTCCTATACAAATTTTGTAGTTGAATTTGGGAAAATAAATATTATTATTATTATTATTATTATTAAATAAAAAAAATAACTTTTAGAACACACGTGAATAACTTAAATCTAAGATTTAAAGGTGTCATAATTCCTAGTCACCGATCTGATATATTTGAAAGATCCATCCGTTATGACTGGGCTAATGTAATGAATATAATGACCTGCCCCATTCCGTTCAGAACGCGATAATAAATTCTTTTTCAAATAAACTAAAAACGTGGTTATGTTCTAGAATTTAAAGAGAAAAAAAAAGAAAAAACATCGAGCAGTTACAGAACGTTCGCGTCTGAATATTTATTTGTCAGCAAATTTGGTATGTTTCCGTTATTTTGCGTAAATTGATTATTCAATTGACAAAGCAAAAAAATTTTAAATAGATATAAAAATGTCTTTTTTATCATTTTTTACATCGTCCAAACATTTAGTTGTTAGGGCTCGTATTAATTAAAACAATGGTGTGATGTTATGTGTAAGGGATAAGTGTAGAAATCAGCAAGCAGATAAGTCTGGGCGCTGCACTCTTGCCTCTTCTTGTAATTTTCCTTTTCGAAAATACCCGAATAAAGTATATATTATTATTATCATTATTATTATTATTCGCGCTATGGCTAGATCAAAGGTCAAAATGTTTTAATGCCGGTAGAGCGCCCACTTACGCCTTGAACAGGATATCTCCGGATATCATGTTCAGCTGTATGCGAAACTTGAGCATGCTGTTGTCTTGGCGATGGCGCGCGTCGTACCCCTCGAGGAGGGCCTTTTTGTGGATAAGACCCGCCCCCGCGTACTCGGCCAGGTTGAGGTCGACGAAACCCAACTAGAAAAAACGAACAAGAGCGGGGATTTTTTGGAGATCATTCCGATGGACAGTACGGCTACTTACTTTTGCGAAACTGCGGCCGCCCTTGCTCTCCTTGCGAATCGATATGCGCATGATGCACTTTTCCATCACGCCGGTCGACGCGTTCGCCATCATTTTGCACGGAAACGAAAAGTTCGCGTCCCATTGCACCTTGTGATCCGTCACCTCCTGTCTGCAATAACGAACCGCCCATCATTTTAACAGACCATCTAGCCACCGACGCGGAAATATTTATTATTTTATTCACATTTGAAGCGGTTTATCCATATAGCTATAAGATAATATAGTGACCCTACTGCGGTAAAAAGCGATTCGCCGCATGCATCACCCCAAAAATAACCACATCGTCGTAATTTTTCTGAAAAAATTGATTAATTTTCATAAAAAGACAAAATCAGTCTCTGAAATCCGAATATAATTGGCAACGCCGAGCTAGGAATTGCTACTACCAAAGAATACTAACAGTCTGTGCCATTGTTGTTCACAATTTTGGTGGTTATGATTCTCTCCGTACCTCTTTCGTGTTTTTGTGAAAAACTTGTGTTTGTGATCGAAACTGCAAGGAGAAGAATGTGCCTATATATAAGTGTTGCCTTATGTACAAGTAAATAAAGTACATAGGAAATACGTTTGGGTAATATGTTGTAGTGTACAAGAATTACAGGAAATATAAGAAAACCAGTTAATAAAACACTATATAAAATGCTATCATAATTAAAGGTAATTCGTAGTTGTGGCATAAACCACAATCTTGTCTACAAAACAGGACTGGAATGTGTATCTGCAAAAAATATTTCTTAAGACTTTTAGATTGTTCCATGCGAGCTTACACTTTTAAAAAACTCCGAGCATTTCTGGAACAGTAACTTTTGGTTATTTACATTTGAATCCAGATGGCAATCAAATATAGGTAAATTATTATTGAATGAATTGATACTAGTATTTAAAGCCCGGTAGACACAATGCAATTTCTACTTGTTTTTTATCATTTAACAATTGCTGTTGAATATTTTTGATGGGGAATTTTTTGCGGTACCCACCATGAAATTTTTGCTAGCAAAATGAGACAATAAACATTTTAATCTTATTGTTTAGTGACTTGTTTTATGGTAGTCTTAATTTTCTTGGTTACATTTTCCAATACCTACAGTTTTTTAACAAAATAACCAAATTGTCCATTGGTAATGACACTTTCTGCAATTACTAGACTTGCGATGAAATAATAAGCGTTCTGTCTATACGAGGTGCTTGTTGAACATTTTCTCCACTGCAGTGCGATATCTAGTACCTCAAAGTTATATTTACACTTTTAGAGTCGCATTTAGTGAATTCGACGTTATTTACATTTTCAATAGAGGTCAAACCAATAAGTTTATAAAAACAAACCGTTTGTGCCGATCTACGGGCACAACTTGGGGAAAAATTAGCTGTTGGTTGTTGGAAGCCGCAAGGCCTTATGGTTCGAACGTCAGAAAATGCAATTAGACCTGTCATTGGTTAAAAACGAAATCTCAAATCTCGCGCATGCACATATTGAACAGACCTCAAAATTTTGTTACATAGCTGCTTCACGAGATCCTGCAGGGCCTCTATATGTCTCGTAGCTATATGGGTCCACGACACCTGCACGCAAATGAGCAGAAATAGGATTTACAGAATGCGCAAACTCGGCAGTCGACGTCAACAACAAAAGATTAATTTTTATCCATCATTATTCTAATTTTAACAAACAAGAAGTTAACCAACCAATACGAAGTGCCTCCTGCTGATATTCGAAACTCTATTTTGCGCGTATGCAATTATTGTTAATAAATTCGAACTTCAATATGGATCGAATTGTAAATTTGGCAACGCGAAATGTTGGCCGTAAAATATTTGTTGGCTCTTCTTCAGGCGTAACGTCACGACAATGACACAGCTACTTAAAATACTAACACACGATTCATTTCAACTAGCGCTGTGGCTTAAACATTTTTTTATTTCTTTAATACATTTGTTTACGTATATAAATAACGCATGCCAAATATCAAAACTCAAAACCCGATATTTAAGTTATAATAAACAATTCTTAACGCGCGGGAATGATCGTGACGTCATACCGCTGCTTTTCGATCGATTTTTTGGCTGGTGTAAAGTGTATTTAATCTACGCCGGTTTGTATTCGTGCTTAGTGTGCTTTACATGATAATAATGGAAGCAACACAAAAACAATATTACAAATCGTGCCATCCTGTTCCAGTACAACCCTTAAAACGCCAGATAAACTTTTTATTCGTCTACCAGAAAATAAAGGCTTTAGTTCTTTGTTAACATTATGCTCAGGCGTAACACATTTTCAACTCTTCAAACTTGCACCCATCCTATGCCAGTCTCCATAGAATGGTTTCCTGATCTATATAAAATAAAGAACACTTCAAGTAATTAATGCCAATATCAGTATTTAGGTGTCCACTAGTTTAAAAAAAATCCTTTTTGCTTTTTTTTGTTAAATAATTTACATGTTATTTGATATAACATATTTATTTTAAAAACTAGCTGAATACAATATTATATTACATATTACCGTCCGGCTGGCGCGTAATCTGACGAGCGAATTGACGTCACAACTGGTCACGGCCAATAACAGCCCGTTTCAATGAGGATTTATTTATTTATTTATTTAATTGCTTATATTTGTTTTTGTATTTTAATAGTACAACCTTACTTTCATAAGCAATATTTTTCAAATGAAAATTTTGTTCAAGTTACCTATATTGTTTGCTCAAAAAAAAGAAGCAAACGCACCTTAAAGTTACGAGTGTCCAAACTATCGATTTAACCGTCAGAAACCAAACGGAAGACCTAGGAAGCGGAAAACCGTCCGTCTAATCGAGCTCGAAAGCTTATTAGCGCATCACGCTATCTCGTTATTTTTCTAACCCTTAATCGATATTTTTTCATTCGTTGGTTTTTGTTTCTCATACCGAACGTAAAAAAAACTCACAAATTTGCATAGTGAAAAAAAAACAACGAGCTACTACAGATAAAAAAAATGTACATGTCATTGTCGTCAACGCCCGCTACGACTTTGGGATACCCGCGACAAGGCGGTGGGCCGTGATCCCTACATGACGTAACGCACATCCCGCGTCAACGTAAACATTCAACTTGAAATTCTGCGTCTGTATCGTGTATGAAATCTTTGCGCGGTTTTTATATTTCCGATCCGAAAGTTATGATGTCACGCCGCGGCCGATGAAAACCAGATGGCGAATTTTGCACCGCTCTTGTTACGTTCGAAAATCGATGAAATCGAATTTTTCGAATGTATACGCGCGCTTGGCACCGAAACCTATATCTCGGCAACGGAGTATCGTACAACCGTTGGTACCGATGGAATCAGCCTCGACAAATAAACGTTATTATCTTTTGTCTTTTGTCTCTCGAAGCTCCATTTTTTAAAAATGTACAGGGTGCGTCGGCAATTTACAAAAAATGAACTGAGGTGGCTTTTACTTGATGAAAATCCATTTATCAAAATAAACAAGAACGAAATTTCGTAAAAATTTGAACTTTTAGTTCTTATTTATTTTGAATTCACAAAAAACTAAAAAATGGGTTCTTCTTTTATAGATAATTGGCTATAACTACAAGGTTGTGTTTCAGTTGTCAGTTTTTTGACATGGCCATAAAAAAAAAATCAAAATTCGTGAAAAATATGGCCAATCGGTTTAAACGGTGTTTTAGGCCACCTCGAGAGCTACAATTTTTGTATTTACGGTTTTCTTCTATCATATGCGCCGGGGACTACAATTCTTGTATTTATAGCTGGTGGAGATATTTGAAAAAATCCTAATGAAAATTACCATTTCTCGTCCTCAATCTAGCCGCGATGACGTCACTTACTATTACCACGTACTGCGTGGTTTCAGAAAAAAAGTATTTTCTTGAAAACCACTAACTCGATTGGAAAAAATCATATACCAATTATACAGGGCGTCCGAGAAATTTAAAAAACTTCATTCGACAACGTTATTATTTGTACAAATTTGAATATTGAGTATTGCCATTTTTGTTAAGTCTATAGCATGTAGAAGACATACATTGGAAACACTAAATTGATTATGCTTTATTTTTTGAAAATATTTACTGGTGCGTGAATGCACGACTGTTTTTATCCGTGAAACAAAACTTTGTTATTGCAAGTCTAGACAAGTCGGCGCATGTAGAATAAAGATCCAACAATTAACGTGTTCTTTAGTATTAGTTTGTGCCTTGTGCAGTGAACGTTACAGTTCCAAGGTATTTGACTCAAAAGAAATTAGAGGCGGCTATGGAGGAGATCGTGATGGATGAAGACAATAACAATGAAAGTCGTAAGTATTATTTGGATTTACGTATTCTTATATATTCCATTGCTTGTAAATTTATGCAAAAATAACGTGAAAAAATATTTACAGAACATATAGACGCGGTTTATATTCCTCCCGACGTGGATACCTTGACTGACGAAAAAGATATGAACGATAACATAAATCTACAAGGGGGAACCAACTGATATAGTTGGAACTTTCGAGTTACATACACCGAATGATACATCCGTCCTTCAACAGTCCTGTAATTCATCAACCACTGAACCTGAATCAGACTTATCAGATGATGAAACCCTGGAATTCAAAAAATAGGCTTTCTGGAAAAACTCCGCTTGAAATATTTTTTATGTTTTTTGATGACGAAGTGATTGATTTTATTTTAAATCTTACATTTCTTTGCGACTTTTAAAAACTGAAAAAACAATTTATCAAAGAAATCTTGCAACTGCCATAGATGAAGTGCGACATGATAATCACAGTCACCTCATGATTGTTCATGCTAATAAAGCCCGAAGGAGATGTAGAATCTGCCACAGCCACACAATTTACGTTTGTAATAAGTGTAATTTTGCATTTACACACTTCATGCTTTGTAAAATATCACCAAAAATGAAACCGGGTGTTACCAGTGGTTCGCTGACGCACCATAAAATATTATGCGTTTTTTTTTATTAAATCAGGTTCTATTTGGAAAACAATCTACTTTTAGTTGTTTGTTGTTGTATAATGACGTATAAATTATATGTGACATCTTATGTGTCCCAAAACATTATTTAATGTTTTTTCTCAGTGGTTCGTTTACGCATTTTTTTGTATGTTTCGAGTTTTTATTTATTTATTTTTTTGACACTTAAGTGCAACAAAATAAATAATTCCAGAGCAAAAAAGTATTTTTTTATTTTTTTTATGCTTGGGATAATATGGGATAAAATACAAAGCCGCTTCACGCTACGAACTGGCCCCGCCCGGCGACGATTTTTCGAAAGCAATCTTGTTCACATTAGACAATTTCGAACGACTTCCGTTCGACGTAACGGCCGGATATAAATTCGCGACGACGAACTTGACCTTTCGCGTGCCGTCGTGGCGTTTGGCAACGCCGCCGATAAAAATTGCGGACGTCGAAAAACTAAATATTACATATGCCGATGTTGATAAACAAAATCGCGTCGAGCACAGTTATCTCGTCGTCTACTTTTACCGGGCACAGCCTTGCAAGGCCGCCAATCGCTCTCTCTCACTCGTTCGTAGCCAGCCGCGGATTTTACGGGTAAAATTTCCCGGAAGTCTTTGCGCCCGCGCTCCGGATCGCACGGAAATTTTTCACGCGGTACGATATGAATTTATATCGTCGTTTCCGTTGCAGGTCCGCTTCCGGATGTGCACGTTAATATTCGTCGCGATATATGCGTGGGAAGGGGGACCGATTGTGCGTGAGTTTTTTTAATTAATTGGACCAAACGGCGTATCAATTTTCAAGTTAACGCCATCAGTAGAGTTGGGATTTTATTATTATTAGGAATATCAACCCGATATTTTGGATATACCCGTTTTAGAATGAAATAATTAGATTAACAATATAAAAAATATATATATTTCGCATAAAATGAAACTTTAGCACATATTTTTATGTGTTGTACATAAAGTAAATATTTTCTATTTTTCGAGCAGAAAACCGGAATTTTCGGAAAACTCGGATTTTCCGAACGGATAAGATTAAAATGGAATGTATCTTCAATATCGTGGACTTTCTTTCACGCCATGTGACTTCACTAAGCCTTTTCCACTGCGTCTCTCATGACCTGCTCATGAAGAAGCTTGGCAGATGTGGTGTCCGTGATCACCCTCAGCATCTTATCCGGTCATATTTAACTGACAGAAGACGGTGTGTCTTTAACAATAACAATCAGAGTTGAGGGTCGTGAACAGGGCTCCGTCTTGGGTACGTTATTTATGCACAATGTTGATAACGTTGAGCGGATGGCGGAACTTTGGTTCACCAACAATAACCTTAATCTAAACACAGATAAGACACAACGTCTTGTTTTCCCAACTATTGGAAGGCAAGAATGTAAGGTTCTTGGGAGTAACGCTTGAAGTACAAAACAGTTGGAAAAAAGTAACAGTTTAGAGATTGTTCGATTTGTAAATGAAAGCTTACATGCTTTTATTGCTCCAAACATACTACCAACTGATAAAATACTTCCCTTAGTCACCGACGCAGCAGCGTATATGATGAAAGCGGGGTTAAATTTAAAAAAAATATATAAAAATTGAATAAGAATTGAAAATGGAATAAATAGAGTTTCCGAGCAAATTAGATGCCGGTTTCCATTAGTTAATTCGAGTTCAAGTTTATAGAGAAACATTGTCCCCTGAACCCGTAATTACTCGATGGGGAACGCGAATCACTTTAATAAAATAAAAAAACATTGTATTAGACTTTTCAAGCTGATTCGATTAAAAAAAATACAAATTTGTATGACAAATATGAACTTATAGATCAGTTGACATATATCAAAGCTAATTTTAGTTTTTTAAGTGAGGGGAGGGAGACAATGTGATAAAGTTTTTGTATGTTGTATTATATTGGCCAGTACTTTTTACATACTCTGCGACAGACTACGTCTTGTTGTCAAATTTTGAAGAATATCGTTCTCTGAACAGATTGTTTGTTAACTCTCGACAAATATCACTGTATTTTGTTTACAAAAAAATTACCACCACTGCAAATTAAAGGTGACCTCTACCTAGGTAACTACAAGCTGAACTTTTCGGGGGTAACGCATTGGATCCGGAGGTTCTTTTCAAGTGCACGTAGAAAACATTGTTCAAAAGGCTCTAAAAAGTCTTGGTTTTATTTTACGGGGGACTAATGGGTTTAACATTAAAAAAATCTTTAATAATATTTTTTTACAGTCTTGTTGGTGTTAGTCTGAAATCCAATGTATTTTAAATATATCGAACGGCTGGGGAGTGTACAACGAAATGCTATAAATTATAAATTATGTAAGTGCACGTAGAAAACATTGTTCAAAAGGCTCTAAAAAGTCTTGGTTTTATTTTACGGGGGGCTAATGGGTTTAACATTAAAAAAATCTTTAATAATATTTTTTTACAGTCTTGTTGGTGTTAGTCTGAAATCCAATGTATTTTAAATATATCGAACGGCTGGGGAGTGTACAACGAAATGCTATAAATTATAAATTATGTAAATGCTATACATTATAGATCTAATAGGCAGAGAAATTTTTTTAGTTATAGTGAAAACCTAGTAATCTCAACATAGTTCGAAACAGGCTTAGATATTATTCAAACTACTCTTCTAGCTCTCTTATAAGAGGGTAGAGAATAAGTTTCCGGATCTTGACCTATGTGCTCTGAGTTTTGAAGCCTTTAAATGACACTTAAGACGGTATACCAATTAACATAGTGCAATAAAAAACAGTAATTAATACATAATTAGATTTAGCTTGTAAAAAAATAATTCAACAATTTAAACTGGCCCACTGACAGTATCTTTTTTTTCTGACATTTTTTGGGTTCGTTTTATTGGACAGCTGCATCTGTCTGTAGGAAAGACTTGTTTATAAATGAATAAGCGTATTGGGAAAACGAGTTAAGTTTGTTTATAAATAAAATGGCGCAAAGTGAAGGTTAAAAGTGGAGGCACTAGGACCGCTGTATTCTCTAATATCCATATGACAATCACACCTAGCCGTTTGTGTGCCGTCGATACCGTTAAACTTTACGTGTGCCTAAACCGGTTTACGAAAATATCCTTCCGTTCGTTTTAATGGTGTTCAACATGATTTTTTTCCGTTTATGTTAAGATTCTTCTTTTTCCGCCTCACCTGCTACTGTGGTCCTGAAAGTTGCCGCCGTCGAGCAGGCGCAGTTTGGCAAAAAGGACCGCCGACACGAACGGCACCTCCATCAGCTCCTCGAGGCAGATGTCCACCTGAAACTTGTACTTCTTCTTCTTGGTCATGAACGACGCCATGTTGGCGGCGGCGGCCCCGCGTCCGTTTGTCATGCGGGGCGGTCGTTCAGATCGCCATCGCCGGCGGCGGCGCGGAAGAACTTTGGGACGGACCCTCGTAAATAGGAAAGCCGGGAAGATCGTCGGGAAGCTCTGGAAACACGATCAACACTCGATAATAAAAACGCCTTCCAAGGTCGAGAATCGGCAAAATCTAATTATAAATCAAGTTGCCCGGTGGCCAGACACGAAAAATAATAACAAACGAGCATCGCTTAGAAAGATTCGTCCTCGTACGTACTTGCGTGTGACGAGACTTACCAACTCCAGACGGTCGTATTTAATAAATAAACGGGAGGTCAAGTTCCTGACAGCGCGTCCCCCTCAAATCGTCCGAATAGATTTAATTTAGCGGCCTTTTTAACACGCCCGATCGTTCCAATCGATTTTGTTTAGAACATTCCCAACGGCCTTTCGACATTAAGGCCAGCCATCAGAAAAGACGAGCCTAGCCGCAGCCTACACGGTTAAGTTTACTCATTTTTTCTGTTAACCAAACAGGAAACGGCTAGCGAAGAAAAAGAGCCGTTTTATTTCTCTCGGTTTCGCGTGCGACCGCGAAGCGAGCAAGATTCGACGCAAAAAAAAAAGCAAAACGAATTTTCTATTTGTTGCGTCACAGCCCCAAAAGCGGTAAACTACTTTAGACAGTTTCGTTAACAGACGCGGCCTACGCTGTTTAAACGCTTTGAAAAGAGCATATTTTAACTGCCAACCAATTAGGAATGTAGCTTTTTTTTGACCAAGTTTCACGCACCGCTCAAAAGCAAAAGTTAATAACGCTAACGATAGTTGCCGGGAACTTTAGTTGAAACAACGCAACTCGATTCGTATGTTTAACAATAATGAGAGATAATTAATAATTGCTTTTTATCTAACAAAATTGCGAAACCTTGACTTTCGATGTTTACCTGCCTAATATTTAAGTAATTACAGTTTTTTTTAATAACGGCGGTATTGTTAGCGGGATAACTTGATAGTGTTTTATAAATACAGCTTAATTTTGACGGCAAAAGATTATGGCGTCCGCTAGAACAACGTTGACTTTTTATAATGGATATAAATCTAAAAAACATAAAAAATTGAGCCCCAACACGCTCGTAGATAAGGTCGGTTTATCTGACAATTTGAAATGCAACTTGGATTAATTTTTAAAGTGGGCAGATATTTGCCGTCTGTATTTTTACAAGCAATCAAAGGCATAAATATTTTTTTCAACGTTACATGACTCATATTGTTCACTACCTAAAAATACAAAAGTCGCAGAAACAACAGACGCGAATGTGAACATCTGCATGACATCTTTGCCTCTATTAACGATGATTTAAAAACGGAACTTTGTGTTATTCGTAGGATAGATACGTCAAAGTATCATTCTCTGTACTTTGAATTGGATCCCAACGGCAAAATGCTGATATTTTCCGCGCAAAAAAAAAACTTGGCGACATTCTCGTCTTGTAAAAACACTTTGCATCGCGTTTAATGAAAGCCTTTAACATCGATTAACGAAAACGAAATTAAATCGCTGGGGGCTGGAATAGGACCTTTTGAACTAATTAGATCAAATAAGCCGTTGGTTCGCATTCAGAATAACTTGAATACGGACGCAGCTGCACTTACCTTAGAACTTTGGAGCAGTTTGGCGTTGTTATAATCGCATTGCCTGCACAAAATCCGCTTACCACTAACAACAACCGTCCATAAAAAAGATTGCCTTCAAGCTACAACTATGACACGTACGCCATTACGATTCAAAACAGACTGAGGGGATGACAACGAGAATGACAGTTGTCGCCTTCTGCTTCACAGACCACGGATATAGTAGTTGTGATCTGCCAATATATCATTTAAATAATTTGTATCTCCTTTAATAAGGTAATTCAAATTATTGTTGCTATCATAAGTATATGTGGACCAGACAGCTATAAAATCTATTAACGAATTCATTTATGAGATGTGGTAAAAATTGAATGGTATCTACAATTGCTTGTTTAGCGGATGTCAAATTTTGATGTAATACCGTTTGAATTATACATAACCTAACAAAAGTTTGAAACGTTTAATTATTGTTTTTAATTTTTTTACCAGACAAGAATTATGGTCCTCTCATTTAAGGTATGATAAAACCCCCTCAACATTGCATTTTCTCACAAATATGTTTTTGAAGAAAAAGATGAAATCTCTACTTTACGTTACTGCCGGGGCTGCAACGGTTTTCGGAGGAATTTGTCTATACAAAGAAGACGGAGCGTTCTATAGAAACATAATTATGCCTATCATACATCTTTTAGACGCGGAAACTGCTCATAACTTAGGTATTTTTGTAAGCGAGCATCGCCTGCTACCGAAAACTAAGTATAAAGACCCCGCGGTGTTGGTAAATTTGTCTCTTTGCAGAGCGTATGTTCATATGTAGCTGCTATCCATTTTTAGAGGGTGGAGGTTTTGGGAAAAGTATTTCCAAATCCAATTGGGATCGCTGCTGGATTTGATAAGGATGGAAGAGCGATCCCGGGTCTAAAGGACATGGGATTTGGGTTTGTGGAAATAGGCTCAGTTACTCCGCAACCTCAGCCTGGCAACCCTAAGCCCAGGCTGTTTAGATTAACAGAAGATGGGGCTGTGATTAACAGGTGAGGCTACAGAGAAATTATGGATTAGTGTAAAACTTGAAAAAAATTTAGATATGGATTTAACAGCGAGGGTCACAATCAAGTATTGCCGAGAATTAAATATGCAAAAAACAATGAGTCTGTCATTGTGGGTGTAAATTTGGGCAAAAATAAGATTTCAGTGGATCCTGTTAAGGACTATGTGGAAGGTGTTGAGAAATTTGGTCCCATAGCAGATTATTTGGTAATAAATATCAGTAGTCCAAATACACCAAACTTACGGTCTTTGCAAAGTAAAGAAAACCTGAAAATGTTATTACAACCAATAATAAGCTCCAGGGATAAACTGGGGGTCACCAAAAAGCCACTGATTTTTCTCAAACTAGCACCAGATTTGTCTACTGAAGAAAGAAAAGATATCTCCGAGGTTTTGAAACAGAAAGACTGTAAAGTTGATGGGTTAATCATTTCAAACACCACCATTCACAGACCATCTTTAGTCAGTCAGCACAAAAATGAAATTGGAGGCTTGAGTGGAGAACCTTTAAGGGATACATCCACAGAGATGATCAGGGAACTTAGTAGGCTGACAAATGGCATGCCCATTATTGGTGTGGGAGGTATCACATCTGGAAAAGATGCTTATGACAAAATTAAAGCAGGTGCAAGTCTAATTCAAATTTATTCTGCATTAGTATATGAGGGTCCACCTATAGTTCGAAAAATTAAGGCGGAACTGGCAGACCTTTTAGAACAAGATGGGCATAAAAGTATCAATGAAGCAGTGGGGAAAAATGCTAGACAGTGAAGCATATATTTTTTTAAAGTAAAGAATTAATATTTTTTTATTAATAATCAAATACATTTTTCAAATATCACAGGTTGTACAATTTCTACAGTACCTAATTTGTAAGTCTCAGACATGTCAAACATATGGATTCCAGTTACTACCATCCTCAGGTACTAAATTGTTTGTTACCAGCAATACTATATCCACCAACCACCACACTCCCACCCCACCGAGAGTCAACAGCTTGCCAACTGCTGTACCAGTCTGACCCAAACAAAACCTGTCCATGCCTAAAAATCCTAATAGAATACTATACAGTAGGGTGGTTGTGAAGTAATGATTGGAATATTTAATGCAAGGGATCCCGTCTCTCAAAAAAGTTCTATCGCCATAGCATTCAATTTTATCCAACACTTTACACAAAACTTTGGTCTTTTCCACATCTTCATACTTCATGCCACCAAATTTTACGCAACCATAACCCAGCTCTTCCATAGCGGTTTGGTTACCTTTGTGGTCGACTGGGTCGTCACAGTGGATGAATTCCCAAGATAAATAGGAACAGTTAACAAGGGGACCCAAGGGATCGAACTTCGGTAAGGAATTATTGGCTAAGACTTCTTCGGTAGTTGTTAATTTGACAACACCGAGTAGAAGTAACAAAATAATCGATAAATTCATTTTCTCGGTGCTCTATTGTCCTTTAAAACCAAACAATTCATCTCAATTATTTTCACGCACTATAAAAGTAAGGTAAACTAAATATTACCATGCACCATAGAACAAACATAATAGTGTGAGACATTTGAACTACTGATCATGTGCTTTAATTCTATGCCTCATTATTTCATTTCACTATTAAGCTTATGATGACAACTTTTACGTTTTAAGCAATCGCATTTGTGGAGAGAAACACATTTCGAGATTACATCCATGGGCAAATCATTTATTATTGTTTCATAACAAGTTCAAGTTAGTTTACTCCATTTCCATCATTAGAGTTTTTTATTTCAAACCAAAAACAACACATATAAAGTTGTATTACAACTGCAAAATGAAGATATAAAAACGCAAATTATCAACTTCTACATTACTGATCAACAAATATTTCAATAGAATTCTAGAAAGCTTTTAGCTTGCCACTGACTTTACTTGCGACAAAACGTCACTAGAAGATAAATCTTTCAAAAGGATAGCCTTCTCTTTACCATGCTCTGCAACAAATCAAATAAAAAATATAATATATATTTATTTATACCCTTTATTTATTATTTACTTACCGAATCTCGCCCAAAGCTTTGGTTCCACTCCGGAACATTCCCTAATTAAAATCGGAAATCTCGGATTGTTAGACTTTAGTTCCACATAATATTTTTCGATAAATTCTCTAAAACCTCTTGTTACATAACCTTATCCTACGTAAAATTAAACGGTGTTTTTACCTTACGCCTTTGCTAGTCGCACTACTTTGGCATAAATGTAACCTCAATTCTTTTAGGGCTCCGGAAAACTTAAAAGCTGCGGACATTTTGAATTCAAAAGGAAAATATTGTTTGAAATTATATTTTGCAATATAGGTTAGCCCCTACAGAAACTTTTTTGGTTGGTTTATAACCCATGAGTAAGTTGCGTCATATACACATTTCTTTTCTCTGAGCTTCATGAAAATTCCGTGCCTTAACTTTAGATCGGATAAGTTTTTAAACAAATTTAAAAAAACTTCCATTTTTCAGAATTTAAAAATCGTTAACCAGCATGTAATTTTGAAGTAAGTTCGTTACTCCTACAAACTAACTAAAACTATCTATGTGTGTTTGCTTCCTGCAATCAAAACAAAACAAAAAAGTCACTACTCAAATCCTAATTTATTTTGACTCTTATAATAAACGTGCTTTTCAATCCCAGTTCCATAGCTTTCCTGGAGTAATAAGTGTCCTTCCTTCACCTCTTTCTTGAATCTGTTTTGGACTTGGTACAATCACTTCTGGGGGTGTTACTTCTCGTCTAGGGTCTCTTGTGAAATAATAATTGTTATTTAGACGATGTGCAGGTCCATCTGGTAGAACTGGCGGTGGTGGATCTCTAATCAACTACATAATTAGGATTGACAAGACATCTTTTTAAATACAAACCTAGTGGACAACAAATCTTGAAACCTTAATGCTTTGGTGTGTTTTCTGCCTAACAGGATCTCTCTAAGATTTTGAAGAAACGGGCTCACATCATGGTGTTGGATTTTGGGCCTGGGAGGCATTTTGTTGATCTACTATGAATTTTGTTTTGCAGTTGTGTAATTTTTACATAACCTAGCACTGTGTAGTCATAGATCGACGACCTTGAGTTTTTTGGTTAGTCGAAAGAAACTAAGGTAAGAGAATTTCTTTTAGGAAAAGGCAGTTTAAAAAAAAATTTAATACTTTTTTCTTACATTCGCTATAAATAATAACGGAAATATTTTCCATGGTCTCTGTTGTAATCCTATATCAAAAACGTTATAATTAACTTTTTGTAACCTATTCAAATAAATACCAACAGGTACTGCAGGCAATAATGAAGGCCTAGCCTCTAAAGGGACAGTTTCCAAGAGATTCCTCGCTTTTGTCAAATGTTGGTGAGCTCTGCTGGCAATTTCATATACACACTCTCGCAAATGTTCAGAGTTTCTTCCTCTAATGATCTGTTCTTGACTAATTTTATTTCTTAACAACAAATCTTGAGGAATTGGAAGAAAGTTTAACCTTTTACTATGGGGTATACTTCTGAAATGAGCAACAATTGTAGAAAACTTCTTAATCATTATGAAATAATATGTACCTAATTTGTTGAGCAATGCCTTGCGCCTTCCCGAGATGGGATGCTGCATGATCTGCATGTAAATTCTTGAGCCCAGCCCCTTCCAAAATCAAATAATAAGCATTTGAGACTGACTGTTCAGAGTAACTCTCCATGTGTTGCATGTCTTTAAAGCCATTTAATCGCATAAATTCTCTCCTGGAGCTTATGAGATTATTAAAATACCTCTTACTTAATTTGGCTTTTGTTAAAGCCTGAATTAACAAACAAATTAGCCTCAAGCATTGTTGTTTGACTTAGTTAAATACCTTATATAACTCAATTGCCACGGGATGCTTAGGAACTTGTTTTAAATCCATCAGAAAGCATTTATTCAAAGTTTCCTCCCAGAATTTCAGTCTCATTAATCCGATACTTTCCTGAGATACTTTATCTGCCACTTTAGATACTTCAATGTTAAACCCACGCACAGCGAAAGCTATCGCCCGGACATTATTCCGAAGAAGTATTGAGCATAAAAAGTTTTCATAATCTTGACTTCTGCGAACCGCCCGATAAGTAGAAAATCAACACTAAACAGGAACGACTTACTTTACCAAATTGAGGCAGTATTCCGCAGAAGATTGGCTCCTTAGTCTGTGAAAAATTTGAAGTGGCGAAAGTGGAACTACACGCTTTGACCGTTTTAGAAAATTCATCGCACAGAGAGGAAAAGTGTAAACTTGTTCATTTAAATCATATTAGTTGACAAAGTTCTTCCAAATTTAAGATGCTTGTAGTTAAAACCTTTTAACCTCAAATCCTTTAAGTTTCAAAACATTGCAACTCTATTTTATACCATAGTATCAATAAATGTTAAAATTGGCGGTTGGCCAATCGGTAAAAATGAAGAAGATTGTTTTTTGTCGTTCCCCTTTTTGTGATACGAGTGCATTTTTTGTTCTATTTTTAAGCGTATAATTGGCATCGATAATCCGTAAGTACTTTTCCACATAAACCTCGAGCGAGCAAGTTTACAAACAGTTGTCATTACATTATTTACTTTAATTATAGCATAAATGATAAAACCCGCGACGAAAACAAGATAATAGGGAACCTTATCAAAGGCCAACACAAAGGGGCACTGTGGTAGTTTAGAAGGCGCCTGCTTCACAAAACGAAGTACCATCTCGATCGTGCCACAAAAAAAAAGCGCGCGCCCAAAAGAAGTAAGTATCAGCTTTCGTTCTCCGTCGAGAAATGTGCGGAGAAAAGCAGCTACCCGTCGACGGTATCATGGTCGGTGTGTTAAAAACGGTTATCGAACAGTGCAATAAAAGGACTATGTGTCGTAAAAGTCTGTGACGGTAACCCAACAAACAACTAATGCGACTAATGGCTACATCATTTAAAAGAAACCACTCAAGACGCCGCATCGCCGCCGTCACCTTCTTATCCAACATATCCTTGGACGGCAGTTACAGGGACACGCGTTTAGCGCTACTTCCACGTATTGGGGTCATCGCCAAAGCCCCGTGTTTCAACAATGACAACATTCTCGAAGAGTCTGACGACGATTTTAGCGAATCGGAATGCAAGTCTCTGTGTAGAAAAGGCACAATTAATAAGAGCGCCATCGATACCGAAGAAGCTCTAATACAACAGGAAAAAGTTGATACTTTGAAGGAAACTCCGGAAGTGCAAATGAGAACAAGGTTGCGCAAACGTCTGCCATACCAAAGCTCGGTCGTGCACAGCGATACGGAAAAGAACCCTTACGGGAGCAGTTCCGAAAGTTTGGGGCCCCCGCGTACCCGTAGCAGCACGTCGCCGGCGCCTATACTCGAACAGGCCACCAGACAAGTGAGAGTGCTCAAGCCCACCCAACATACAAAGTTTGGCAACGAGCGGATAATTATGGTGACTTCGAAACACGTGCCCTTTATGGTGTGTTCTTTTATCCCGTATAATAAAAAAAATCGGTCAGAACACAAGCAGGAAAAACGCAAACGTACGGTGTCAGGTAATAGACCCCTGTCTTCGGTGGGTGACTCTTTGGATCCCTTTGATTTATTGGGTATCGAAAGGCCCCCCGACGGCCAAGAAGTATCTTACGGTTACCTGCTCACACCGTCTCAAGTAGACATTAGCAGAAAGGGGGTTAACGTAGAGGAAATGAATGATCACAAAAGGCACATTGTGAGCATCCAACCGGAATATAGGTGGTGCTTTTCTTACGATCAGCCTGGTCAGTCGCCACCCGATCCTAAGGTGGATACTTCGGGGGTGTATCATCCTTATTTATTAGACGACCCGGAGCTTATAGCGGGCAAACACAGAACTTTGCTGACCTTCGCCTCCTACATGACGTCGGTCATAAACTACGTCAAACCTTCCGATTTGAAACGCGAAATCAACGACAAGTTCAAAGCGAAATTCCCGCACATTAACCTCACTTTGAGCAAGCTGCGCAGCATCAAGCGCGAAATGAAGAAAATCGTCAAACACGAGTGCAACATCGACCTGCTAACGGTCGCCCAGGCTTACGTCTACTTTGAAAAGCTCATCCTTAAAGGGTGCATCAACAAACAAAATCGTAAATTGTGTGCGGGGGCCAGTCTGATACTGTCAGCGAAATTAAACGACGTCAAAGGGGACACTTTGAAATTACTTATCGAGAAAACGGAATCGACATTCAGGGTGGCGAGGAAGGAACTTATGGCTTGCGAGTTCGCCGTTCTGGTAGCCCTCGAGTTCGGGCTGCATCTCCCTACGTCCGAGGTTTATCCACACTACCAACGTTTACTTTACGATTCATGACCCGCGGCCGTCATAGGCGGTTCCATGGTTTCTTGCATTAATTTGCCTCTCCCTTTTAGCAAAAAACTTCTCTTTTAAATGTCCACTTCGTAACGGGCACTCTACACAGCGCAACTTCGTATTTTTAATTATTTAATCGGCATTTTTTTAAAGTCGATTGGTATGATACAGACTCAAGCATACGTACCGTAAATTTACATGACAGTTACTATTGTTGCCAACAATAGACAACTATCTTATATTGGTTGGTTAGTTTTTGCCGACTTGAAAAACAACTTTATATTTAGTGAATTCACTTATACGATTATAAATTAAGAATACGAAATTGTAAATCCGCATTTGGGTTTGTGTCATTAATCGGTGTGATTCATCTCCTTTGTGTACCTGAAAACTGTTTTTGAAACTTGCACGAGTACTTAATCGTCACAGGTGTTCAAGTTTTTATTGTCTATAATTTCCGTTAAAGGCATTAAAAACAGGTGGCGTTACAATGTCCCATAATTCCGGAGGGTTAATGTGATTTAGATTTAATTATGATTTATTATTTTACAACGTAAAAGGGTTTAGCTTTACTTTTTGGCGTTCCTGTAAATCTGTCTAATTTTGATTGCTCAATTGTTCAGTTCCTTAACGTTTTTGCTAGAACCTGGTGCGTACTTACATTGTTTTGGACGTTTGTTGTTTTATTTACGTGAACCGCTTAAAGCTGTTTAATTTAAAAATATTTTTTTTATAATTGTTTTGTTATATTTTATATATTTTTATTTACTGTCGGTGGTTTTTTCTAAACAATGGCCTTATATTCCTTCAAAGGTCTCGGTCCGTCAAAGGACTCGATGTAATGTAAATGTATACATATACATGTTTTAAAACATAATATTAATTGCTATATTCTAGAAACAAGTTGTATTGAGCTTGCGTTTAATATAATATAGCTACTTAATTTTCGTAATGAACGACTTGTATATTTACGGATTTGAATGTACATTTATATAAACAAAATGCACTGTTTAATGATTATTAATTTACAGCTTTTATTTAAAATAAACGGTTTGTTGGTTACAAAGATGTTTTTCTTCAGCTCCGAATTGCACTGTCATTAATTTTGCCGGAAGACAAAATCAATCAATCGAACGATTATGTTAATTAAGTCGACAGTCCATATTAGATAACTCCATTTAAATTAATTTTTTTTTGCTCGTGCCCTTGACGGCTATTATTTTCTTCTTCTTTTTAAATTCCCGGTTCCTTCCAGCTTGTTCGAACGGCCTTGCATAGTACGCCCATCATTACAGCATGGAAGCAGCGGTAATAATACGTCATCGGCCGGCTCGAGACCAATATATAAATGTTGTGGATGTTTGTTATTTTTTAGTTCGTGTTTTTAAGAGCGCGGGTTTGTGGTTTGTTGACGGATATTTTTAACCGGCTTTGAAGATGAGGCTTTTGCAAGTTGCTCGGACCGCCGCCAAGAACGCGAACAAATTGCAAAAATGTGCCAATTACTCCCAAGCAGCCGCCAAACCCGTCGAGTCTCCGAACGTACTGTATTCTGGGGTACGCAATAACCAAATTTGTGGGGGTTTTCTTTTCTTGTAATATCTGTTAAAAAATACTATTGGTTGATGCCACTGCTGACCTTGGACAAATGTTTCTATTTATAATTGTTTATCGCCGAGTTGCTTCGATACGCCGGTGTTACAAACCGAGTTTTAAACAGTCCGTTTGTTGTGAATATGAGTTTCAGCTCGCGATTTAATAAACCACGTGCAAAAAATGATTAACGATGCATGCGACTTCGAGATCGAAATTGTATATTCATCAACATGTTTTTTTCTCAGTTTGTTATAATTAATTCACGTTGCTAACTATGAATATGTCTTTTGCGTGTCATGCTAGTTTTTCTTCCTTCCTATGACTTGCTAATCTGCCGGAAAAAATGCATGGTAACAATGCAATTCGAATAATCGAATCACTTATGAAATATTTCAGTTGATCCCGATCAAAGGCATGTTTCGGGTTATCGGGCAGAGTTTATCGCCCCTTAGGTGATCCAAAAATATTATCTCATACAATCAGTTGCTTTTAAGCATTAAGTTATCGCAATCACATACCACCCATTGCAATTTCAAGGTTAAATAATGTGACCCCTACCGGTTTGTGACAACTTCACATCTAATTTGACAGCGGTAAACTTAAAACGATCTGGAAAAAAACTGGTAATCTCCTTTACAGATTTTTATTAATAACGAATGGCACCGGTCGAGATCTGGGGCCACGTTCCCCACCATAAACCCGACCAATGGCAAAGTCATCGCGGAAGTGCAACGCGGCTCCAAAGAGGACATAGACCACGCCGTGGAAGCGGCCAACGAGGCGTTCCGCTTCGGTTCGAAATGGAGAACGACCGATGCCTCCCAAAGGGGCCGGTTACTCTATAAACTGGCCGATCTGCTAGAACGAGACGCCGCTTATGTCGCGGTAAATCCACCAGCAACCATTAACGTTCCTTTCGATTATGAACGCCGTTTTCGCAGAGTCTCGAGACGCTCGACAACGGCAAACCGTTCACCCAATCCCACCCCATCGATGTCCAGGGCTCGATCAAAGTCTTGCGGTACATGGCCGGCTGGGCCGATAAATACCACGGCAAAACTATCCCGCTGGATGGGAACTATATGGCGTACACTCGACATGAACCCGTGGGCGTCTGCGGCCAGATCACCCCCTGGAACTTTCCCTTGCTGATGATGACGTGGAAGATCGCCCCGGCCCTTGCCATGGGCAACACGGTCGTGTTGAAGCCTGCGGAGCAAACGCCTCTGACCTCCCTATATATGGCGGAGCTTTGCAAGGAGGCGGGGTTCCCTCCGGGCGTAGTAAACGTGGTGCCTGGATTTGGAGACGCTGGTGCTGCCTTGGTGGCCAACACAAATGTGAGTAGCTTCCTGGGAGGGTTGGGGAGTTGTGATGGCTTCTAGAGGGCGGAAACGCCTCGGAAATCGCGAGGATTTTTCGGTATTGGAAATAAATTATACCCTAGGGGGGCAAATGTGTATTTGAGAGGCAGTGCTTAGGGAGCTCCCCAGAGCGCTCAATGTGTTTGATAAAATCCTTATCTTGTTGTTATTTTTTTGTAATAACTATTTATTTGCGAAAGTCGTCTTATCCTTATCGCTAAGACCTAAACAAATATTTAAACAAATATTTACTGACGTCGGCGCGATAGGTTTTAAAATTCTTCTAAAGGATCTTGGAGTGTTACTCAAAATTAAATTGACTTACACCATGTTTCTTCACTGGTGTCTAAATCACTTCAAATTTTGGGCTTTATTAAGCGTTGTACTTCCATAATATTCTGTCTGTGGATTATTCTTCCTGTGTGTGGTAACACCTTCATGCTTAGGGAACTCACCATTTTTTATAATCTACCGCATTGAAATTATCATGGTTCTGAGCTGTTATCTAAGATTGGGTGTCGCGTTCCCCTCTGCCAGATCAGAATAAACCACCTCCTCCAAGTAGAGTTCCGTCATACTAACTATGGGCAGAGTTCTTTACTTACTAGATCAGCCGCATTAGCAAATCGCTTTTTGGACCAACTTGACTGCTTCCAGAGTGCAATAATAATATTTAAGACAGAACTAAAAGACTGTTAGTGAAACTTTTCCATTGTCTGAGTTCTGAATAGTGTTGTATAACAATATGTTGATGCCTTGCTACTGTTTTATGTGTTCTTACTGTGGTAATATTTTGGAAAACCAATGTTTGTCATACTAGAGTTGGGTCTTTATCTATTTTATTTTATTTTCTTTTTTACTATTTTATGCGAATCGCATTTTATATTGGGTGGTTGGCCCATTGATTAATAGGTGGACAAGGTGGCGTTCACCGGCTCGACGGAAGTGGGTAAATTGATTCAGCAAAACTCGGGGGTGGGCAATCTGAAACGGGTCACCCTCGAACTGGGAGGCAAGAGTCCCAACATCATCCTTGCCGATGTGGACATCGAAAAGGCTGTCGAGGCCGCCCATTCGGCCGTCTATTTCAACCAAGGTATTATTTAACTTACAAAAAATCTCCTATAACGGCGTTGTTGTTGCTTCTCAAGGTCAGGTGTGCTGCGCCGGCTCGAGGACCTTTGTCGAGGACGCCATCTACGACGAGTTCATCGAGCGGTCGGTAGAGCGCGCTAAAAAACGTAAGGTGGGCGACCCATTCCACCCGGACACCGAGCAGGGCCCCCAGGTGGACGAGGAGCAGATGAACAAGATCCTCTCGCTGATCAAGGAGGGCGTCGGTCAGGGGGCGAAACTGGTGCACGGGGGGGAGCGTCACGGCAGCGAGGGCTACTTCGTGCAGCCCACGGTGTTCGTAGACGTCGAGGACCACCACGTAATCGCGAGGGAAGAGATCTTCGGACCGGTTCAGCAGATTTTGCGTTTCAAAGACCTGGACGAGATCATCGCCCGCGCCAACAAGACTAACTACGGACTGGCGTCCGCCATCTTCTCAAAGGACATTGACAAGATCAATTACTTGTCGCAGGGCATCAAGGCGGGCACCGTGTGGGTCAACTGCTACAACGTGCTGACGGCGCACACCCCCTTTGGAGGCTACAAGGACTCCGGTCACGGACGAGAGATGGGGGAGAACGGCTTGCACCAATATACCGAGGTGAAGACCATCATTACGTCGGTACTGCAAAAGAACTCTTAGGTGCCCTACACTCTCTCTTTTTTGTCGTTATTAATAAATCGGCTATGTATTTTTTTATGTTTGTAAAATAAATTTGTTTTTTTATTGGGTTGTTTAATTTGCGTATTTGAGTGGGGAAGGTGATACAAGGAGAAAAATCGTATGTCGCGGTTACGAAACTATCTACGATCGAATAAAAGGTTTGTTGAAATCAATGGGCAATAAAAAAAAAATAATTTTGAACGGATGCAGGTAACACTCCACAGCTCTCGCAGGGTAATTGAAAATAACCGTGATTTACCTCGCCGGCCAACTTTTGACAATTTTCCCCAGTTTTTCGGTCATCCCTATGAAACAAAGTAACTGTCAGAGATTTGAACTACTTGAAATTTGGAAGCGTACATACCAAGATAAAACCTATCAAAATGGGAGTCGGGAAGTATTTTTTTTTAAATTTTGAAAATCATTTATTTTCGAATTTAAAAAAATAATTCTTCCGCGAAAACCGTTTATCGGATCAAAAAAGTTATAGAACAGGAAGAAGCACGCGGCCCGGTTTTTTCGATTTGATACAGGGTGTGCCATTTATTAGGCGAAATCTGAAAATTGAATTCCCTGTCGAATGACTGACCATCAATCAATTAAATGTTTTCGCATATTATACAGTGTTCTCGAGATATTCCGCGCAAAAAATATTTAAAAACCTGTAAAAGTTCGGCGAACTTCAGAAAGTATTTTTTAAAAATTATGTAATTGTTTTTTTATTTTGGGAAAAAATATTTTCTTGAACCAAGAAGCGCGGAAGGTTCAAGGCTATCACTTATGAACAATATGGGAAAAAGCCTCTGAAAATTGCCAAAAGTTTCACATTACTTTAATTTAAGTCAAGCCATACATGGGCGTCGGAGCAAAACAGAAAAACAATGTACGATAAAGAACAACAAGCATTCTCATCTGTTCAGTAGCTAATTAGTTTTTTAATAGACCATGAAAGACACTTTAAGCAAAATACAAACACCAACTCTATATTAACACTTCGATTCCAACAAACCCCTGACGTACAAATTATCGCCACGCTGCAACTCCTCTCGTATTTCCTCTACCCTTCTCGACAACGCGTCATCATCTAAGTCTTCCGCGACTGACGCCAATGACGTCAGCGACTCGCGTATCAGCTCCTCCCCCTTTTCTATAGCGGCCTTCCTTACCGACACCTCGACGTCATTTACATACTTCAAACCCTCGTTATATTCGAGACTCTTCAAGTGTTGCTCCGCCCACCGGAGGACGTCGGGCGGAAAATCGGCCACCCTGGCGCAGTGTATACCGTAACTCTTGTCGCACTCTCCCTCCGATATCTGATAAAGGGGCGTGATGGCGTCTTCCGACGTAACGGCGCTGACGTGAAGATTGCCCACGTCCGGGCATCGATCGGCCAGCTTCGTTATGGCGTGAAAATGGGTGGCGAATAGCGAAAAGCTTTTGACTTCGGTCGCCAGGTGTTCGGCGATGGCCCAAGCGATGCCGCAGCCGTCGTAAGTGCTCGTGCCACGCCCCAATTCGTCGATGATTACGAGCGAGTGTTCGGTGGCCGTTTTCAAAATGGTCGACGTCTCGATCATCTCGAGCATAAACGTGGACAAACCTTTGAGTTGGCAATCGTCCGCTCCCACCCTGGCTAATATTGCGTCGACGAGTGATATTTCCGCGTGCTCGCACGGCACGAAACTACCGATTTGCGCCATTAGGACGCAAACACCGACGGATCGTATGTAGGTACTTTTGCCGCACATGTTTGGACCCGTGATGATGTGGAAAATTTTGCCGTCCTTGTCGAACTCGACGTCGTTGGGTATAAAATTGACGTGTTCCTGCTGCTCGAGGCACGGGTGGCGCACTCTGCGCAGCTTCAGGACGCCAGTGCCCGGAGGCCGCAATTCGGGCTTCACGTACGGAATTTTCGCGGACACCGCGGCAACCGCGAACGACGTCAGCACGTCCAGGGTGGCCAGGATTAAATTCAGCGACCGCACGGAGTCGGTGTAGCCTATGGCGATGTCTAGTACCGCCCTGACTAGTTCCTTCTGCTCTTCCTCGTAGCGTTCGTTGAGGGCGACGTATTCGTCGTTGAGTTTGCGCAAACGGGAGTTGTTGAAACGGACGCCGCCCGTCAGCGCGTCGATGATATGGTAATTTTTGTTTTTGCGCAACACCGGTTCCTCCTTTTTCGTCACACGGAAAAAGTGGCCGTGCTGCGGGTTACTTTCGAGCTTGACGGTTTTGCCTTCCTCGAGGCCGAGTTCGTCCGCCGTTTCGCTTAAAGCCTGGCGCATCCTCGACTCGACGTGTTTCTTGCACTCGTGCAGTTCGTTCATTTCCCGGTTGACCGAGCTTTTTATCATAAACTCGCCTCGGCCGATCAGGTCCATGTCGAGTAGTTCCTCGATCATGCTCTGGAAGCGTTCCATGTCAGCGGCGACGTCGCTTATGACGTCGACGAAAGCCGCTTTGACGTACGCGTTGTCGGTCTTGCGCAGATGCCGGGCGAGTGCGGGCAGACTGTCGATCGCCTGGTAGAGTTTGAAGCAGTCCTGGAGGCGGGCTTTCTTGCCGGCCAGCTTCCGCGCGAGGATCATGAGGTCGGGTATCTTCGGCAACGCCTCTTTGGTAATTACGGCCCTCGTTTCGGAATCTTTAACGAAACAATCGACAATCTCGAGCCGTTCGTTGATCAGGTTGAGGTCCTTGAGTGGTTGCTTGATCCACTGGTCCAAGAGGCGTTTGCCCTGAGCCGTCACGCAATTATTGAGGATACCGGCAACGCTGTGGGTTTTGGGAGCAACGGACCTGATGAAAACCCCCTCCTTGGGCGTACCCGACTTGGGCAGTATGTTTAAGGCGAATAGGGCGGCATAGTCCATTCGGGTGTAACGGTTGACGTCGAGCTTACCGATTTTGTATTGGTTAAAATTCGTCTCGCTTCCTGTCAGGTTGAGGAACTTGATGGTGGCCTGCAAGCAACCCATCGCCTCGTCCAAGGTAGTTTCGGGGCACGTCTCAGCGGCCCTCGGCTGGTTGTTGTGAAAGAACAGCAACCGATTCAAGTCCTGGATGACGTCCTTGGAACTAAAGTCGGATCGTTTGATTTTGGCCACTAATATTCCGCTTCTCTCCAGTATATCTTTTAAAGCGTTTAATTCGGGAGAGTCGCCGCCCGGTATAATGCATTCCTTCGGTCCGATCTGTGCTACCAAGGCCTGCAGTTCGGTGAAGCACTCGTTATCGGCAATCTCGGCCACTTTAAACTCCAAGTCGGTCAAATTCGTGTTAGCTACGGCGATCGTATTGCCCTTGCATAGTTTAACGGCCATTACGGAGTTTGAGAAGTCCACGTTGCTATTTTCGAACAATATGTCCTCGAACTGGGAAAGGTTTCCTGGAGAGCCTTTGTACTCGATCTGCCAGTCGTTGTTCTTGCCCGGGCTCTTATTGTAGACTTCGATTCTGTACTGTCTCACCAGAAGAAGCTCGCGGATGAAGGTTTCCATTTGGTGTCTGCTCAGGCACAAATAGCTCAGCTTGGGTTCTTCACCCATATATTTAATAATTTTCGGTGCGAATTCGGTAGCCAGGACTGCGTCATCGTCGTGAACCGTATAATAATCTGACCGGTTAAAAAGGCGCACCGTGGAAGCCGGCTTCGAAGGAAGGCTCCTAAAAAACCGTACGAAGCTCTTTTGTTGCTCGATGTCCAAGTTTAGCGCTGATTTGGGTTCGCTTTCGGACATAGTTTCAAACGGCGATAAACCACATACGCATTGAGACAACCACACAAAAGGGGTGCAGGCAAAGGAATCAAACGAATTTATTAGAAGACTAATCAATTAGAAACCCGCCAAAATATCCGAGCAAGGTTTACCACTCCAATGTGAATGTCATAGGAATTTAGAATGCACTGGCTATGAGGTTTTTCGATATAATTTCGGTGCGCGAAAAGAAGAGCTTCGACTTTCGACGTGGCGCCATCTGCCAGTGACAACCCGAGGCTGGGTAATGTCGTTAATTTTCAAAATAAATGCAGCAAATAAATAGTTAAAGCCTCGTTTTATCGGAAATAACTGCCGAAGCAGTTAATTTGGAGCAGTCGCGAACGGTTTTTGGTCATGGGTAACGAGTCCTGCCAACGGATTTCGTGAAAACGATGACTTTACGCTGGCTAGGTTTGGCGGGATAGAGAACGCCTGGCTCCCTGTTAATGGCCGATGAATTTCACTATCAATGAACCCACAAATTAGACGAGGTCTTTGGAGCTCGTGAGTAACCTACAATTTGTGAATGAAATGGGTTTGGATGTGTTTGTAAATGGTTAAAACGACCACTATTTCTAGTATGCAATAAAAATACAGTCGTTTAGGACGGGTGTGATCTTGGAATGTTCTGTTTAGCAGTAGGAGATTAGTTACTGGATTGTTTATTCTTCGAAATTTTATTTTACCCCGGGTCGTTTTTATTTGGGTTGTAATCCACGCGATTGTTATGATTTATTGTCGGTTTACACGCCTTAAAAAAATCTTCCTATAAGTCTTATTACTGTTGTTTTAAATTAAAACCTGATGCATGATAACTTTGATGTTTTTATTTAATTATGTAATGTATTTATGATTAGGCAATTTTTCTATGCCAGACTGTGTTTAGGTCTTTAATTTCCAGATTTGTTTTGATAAATTTTTAAGCATTTTTAATTAAAAGCTGAAGGGACAAATTAGCTCGGGTGATAGACGTTTCAGGCCCTTAATTTTTTGCATTTGTAAGGCTTATATTAATACCTAAAAGAACACATAAGGTTAGCGACAACAAATTGTATTTTTGCAATTTTCTGTTAGATTTTTATTGAGCGTAACCACTAAAACATGTCGGCGGTAACGCTGCAGTCGTTTCATTCTGCCAAATTGAAATTCGAGTCGGAAGAGACAGTGGTACCGGATAGTACCACCCAAGCAGAAAGAGACATGTCCGACTTTTGCCCAGGGGAAGACGTACTGGTGAAACAAAAAGATGGGAGGTTGGTGGCAATCTCGGGTTCAAACTATGCATGTTGTACTACTATATGGCCAATTTATTTGTTAGATATTATTTCGGTACAATCGTGGAGGCCGACAGTATCCGGGACCAGTGCTTGGTAAGATTCGGGGACAACACCGAAAACTGGTCGGCCTTCAAGGACGTGACAAAGCTGACCACGACCGAGCTTGAGGATTTGCTATGCGTGATTTGTAAAAAGTCTTCACCAAAGAGCGAGCGCGAGATATCGGTGTGCGATCAGTGCGGGAGGGGGTACCATTCGAAATGTCATCAGCCCGAGATACCGGCTAGCGGTCAGAAGGAAGACGCCGGGTGGATCTGTAAGCGTTGCACTGACAGTGAGCCCCACAGATTCAAAAAGGCCGACTCGAAACCCGGACGCAGGGATTCCCGCAACTCCACATGCTCCAGCAACCAGGAGAGCCTGCCCACGTCCACCGTGAAGGTGTTGCCTTACGAGGTAATAGGCCTTTCCTATATATCCTTTGATTTTTACCAAGAAAATACCATAAATGGCTTCCCCAATATTGTTACTCCCAAAAAAACACCTCTAATTTTGGGTCTTTCGAGTAGGCTGTCCCCCCAAAAATTTCCCACTCTTGAGTATGAATCAACTCTCCCTGTAGGGTGTTTTGTAGACTTTTCCAAAATTTTGAAATGCAATAAAAAGGTGTAACCTAACCAAACCAAAGATTTGATTCCGCCATTCATTATATGTATTTTTCCCATGGGAACAAACTAATTGAATTTACTATAATTTGAATTTTAGCCGGAAACGTAATTAACGTTCTTGATAATGTTAGAATATCTGAGAATATTTTTTTCAAAAACTTTAAAAAATCTTCCTCAATATATGAGACTTTATGATAGATATCTCATTGGGATGCCATGTCCTTGGGTAAAACAAACCTTGAAGTACGTTTGGGGTATAGAGAAGGTCTCTTGCTACTCCTTTGGTAAAGAAGAACATGCGGAACGCCTACCTTAATTATTCAAAGATTTGATTCCGCCATTCATGATCTTAAAACTTAAAGAAACTTAAAAAACCTTCTTGATTATGTTACAATATTTTTTTCAAAAACTCTTTAAAAAATCCTCAATATATGAGACTTTACGATGGATTTCTCTTTGGGATGAGAACTCAGCAAACCTTGAAGTATGTTCAGGGCATGGAGAACGCCTCTTCTTATTCCTTCGGCAAAAGAAAAACATGCGGAACGCCTACCTTATTTTGACGTCACGTGCTGCGTTAAGTCTATATTTTACAAAGATTTGATTTCGCCATTCATTATGTGGGAACAAACTACTGTCATTTCATTTTTGACCAGAAACTTAAAAAGCCTTCTTGATTATGTTAGGTTATTTGAGAATATTTTTTTCAAAAACTCTTTAAAAAAATCTTCCTCAATATGTGAGATTTTACGATGGATTTCTCTTTGGGATGCCTTGGATAAACTAGACCTTGAAGTATGCCCGCTCTATGGAGAAGGACTCCTCCTATTCCTTTGGCAAAGAAAAACGTGTGGAACGCCTACCTTATTGTGACGTCACGCTAGCGGACTCTCTATAACGGTCATTATTGTTTTCCAGATAAACTCGTTGACGTGGGACACGTACCACCAGGTGAACTCTGAAAGCGTGTACTGTTACTGCGGCGGCAAGGGCGAGTGGTACCGGCAAATGCTCCAGTGCGGCCGTTGCAGGCAATGGTTCCACGAGGCCTGCATCGATTCCCTGCTCTACCCGCTCTACTGCGGCGACAGGTTTTATGTGTTCATATGCGCCATATGCAATTACGGGCGCGATTTCGTCCGAAGACTGGAACTGAAGTGGGTCGATCTCGTCCACCTCATGTTGTTCAACCTGACCGTGCACAATTGCAAGAAGTATTACGATCTGGACACCGTTGTGATACCCTACATTAGTGATAACTGGCACGCTTTACAGCTACCACCAAAGGTCCGAGTGTTTTAGGTCCGCCCGTGCACGAATTTTGAGGTGGCATTTTTTTTTGCAGATGGCGAACGTCACCAAGGCGGAGCGTCGCGACAACATCCTGTCCGTATTGACCAACAATCGGAATCGGTTTAAGTGCGGGCGAGAAATCAAAAAGCGAACTACGATATGGGGTTTGAGGGTACGCCTGCCGCCGCCAGTGCCGTGCGTGGTGCTCCCTCCGTCCCATCGTCGGGTCACCGAGTCGGAGTTGAGGGAGTTGTGGCACGGCAATAGGCGGTTGCAGTTTTTGCCTTCGCCGATTGGCGAGAGGGCGTCCGCGCGGAAAATCGTGGTCGCCGACGTCTTCATGAGGAACCTGATGATGGGCGTGGCGTATCAGCAGAACGCGAATCACAGCGAGACCGACTCGCCTTGTCCCAGTCCCGAAATCGAGAAGGAGGACCGAGTGGTGAGTGGCGAAATGAAATACTTTGTTGGCCTCATCGAAATGGAGTTGAACTTGAACTCTCTCGGCTGAAAGTTATTGTTATCTACACAACTGTGTTTACACGAGTCAAAATGAAAATGAATTATAATTACCTGTTTTTAGTGTTTAACCTTTATGGATCAAGAACATTAAAAAAAAACGGTTTACTAACATTTGTTAAATGTGGAAGGGACAGACATAAGTAATACTTAAAAACCTGACATTATTAAAAAAAAATTCAAAAGAAAACTATTGAATTTTGTTGTTGTTTTATTGCGGTAGAATTCTTCAAGTGAGTTGAACGCTAGGAGATAGTTTTTACCTTCTTTGACCTTGACCCTTCCTGACATCTACATAGTCGATATAAATTTGATTTTAAGCTACCTTTATTTCTTGTATCGTGATTGTGTACGTGACTATTGCAGATATATCGAAAACTGGAGTTTTCTTTTGACATTGCATTCGCTAAGCAAGGTCAAAATCCAACAAAAAAAAATTGTTGCCTTTCTGTCTCACTCTCCGATGCTACTTTTCATTAGCAGAATAAGTATATATTCAGACATACATACATATATAAATATTTAATCTTTAAATATATGTAAAATATTAATATTAATATTAAACACTCAATAAATATATATAACTATTTATATAAATATAAATAACACCGGCAAAATATATAAATTATTTGTTAGCCCACTGCTTTTTGTCTTGCACCCTACGCTTTTCAAGTAAGTTTGTTTTCTTTCGAGTGTGCAATATTAAATTGAAATCCAAATACAACACAAATTGCACTGTTGATTGATGGCACCTCAGGCACATTAAATAGGAATTATACTAGTAATAGCATTTGATCTAAAAGTTTTATTTCCAAGCCCTAATACGAGAACTGCGGCAATATTCTTTCACCTTCCCAAAATTTATGGATACTTGGCTTTCTGCGATATGTAATTGGCTTTAATTTTGTGAGCAGTTTAAAAGTAAACATTACGAAATACTTCCAGAGGGCCACGTTTGTTTGCTGTTAACAGCGCCACCAATTTTTGTATTTTTATGATCCTTTTTTTCATTATTAGCGTACATATGTTGCGATGTGCGAAAAATATTACAGTTTTGAAAATTTTGAGGAACACCTGAGTCCGATTCTTCATAAACCTAACCTTTGTGGAAAAAAATAAATAGCTTTGCCGTGCGTGATTAAAATTTTATACCGTCTCGACTTTACATAGTTAAAATTTGTGTAAGAACGCAAAAAAGAATATTTCGCTGGAGGTGGTCGAAAACACTTTTAAAGCGTATAGCGACGTGAAAAGTCGGAAGCCTTTCCCTAGAACGTTTTCTCTCTTGCCCGGCAGATACTCAACACGATCAAGTTTCCGTCTAAGAACGACTACCTGGGGGCGGGGTGTGCGAAGAAAACCGCGCCGTTCAAGAAAATGAGTCTGCAGCGACGCAAGAAGCTGCTGGCGATGACGAATCGCGAGCGGGACCGTATTCTCAAGAGGCCGCGCCGTCTAGTGACGAAGAAAGAGCCGTCGAGCGAGGCGGGCACGAAGCGAACCGCCTCCGCGGGCGCGGACGGCATGCCACCGACACCGCCCACGTCCGTCTCTGCGCCCCCCACTCCTCCGGCGTCCAACACCATGTCGACGGTGTCGGATTTGAGCAACGATTTTTCGGAAAGCTCCGGCCAGACGAAGGTAAAGGCGTTGAACATTTGAACTACCGCACAGTGGCCATTTATGGCGGCAATAAATAAAAACAGAAACCTTAGGTTTTTTAAAGTTGTATTTTAGATCTCAACTTGCTTTATTTTTATATTTTTACATGCTTAATTTAATTTACCAGCCGGTAAATAAATCATTTTTAATTATTCACATGGTCAGTATTTTTTTTTCATCGCTTGGCGGTTCTTGACACTCACTTTGTACAATTAGTAAAAAAATATTTGTATGGCAAATATCTTAAAAATAAATGAAAAGTTAAAAATTGTAATTGAATGTTTCTTTTATATTACTTCATAATATAATTTATTTAAAAAAAAATCATTTATTAAAAAAACAAAATCATCTCTGTGTACCAGTAGATTTAACGGACTTAAAAATAAATAAATTAAATTATACTTGCAAAACATTCATCGCAATCAATGGGAAAGTAAAAACCAATAATTGGCAACTTGATGTGCTTACAAAAAGGTGCAAATGATCATATTTTAAAAATAATTCCAGAATTACAAAAAATATCAAGAGTATATGATTTATGAGAACAATTTAAATGATAGTAATCAGTCAATATATCCAGTAACAAACCAATAAACTTTTGAATATATCCCGGAAACTCAAAAATATGGATAGGATGAAATTCCAAGCGCTAATGTAAAACTTAAAGTCGTGAATGTAATGTAAGCTATATTTCAATAATTCACTAAAACACTATATTTCTAGAACCATTAAATATTGCAAATACTAAAATGGTCATGTTACCTAGACTTACAGGATTTATTAACAACTGTCACTGTCAATTGTCATTTGAGGAGTAGATCGACCACCACAACTTATTTCAATTTACTATTGCCATTCTGCAGCATTTAGAAAACAAGAATTTGGCTTTAGGGTTATTTTTTGATTTACATAAAGCCTACGACAACCTAAATTATTTATTTATTATTGTTAAATATTAATAACGTTATGGTAACTTAAACTAGGATAGAATAACAAAAAGAAAATAAACTATGGACAGTAAAAAAATGACATATCATTCAGGTGATATTTTCGAATTTCGAAGTAGTGAAAACCGAAACATGTTTCGTATGACCACCGTACGTAGATTTGACACTAGGCCCATATTACATGTTTGTAATGTGTAATGATTTTTAAAGCTTTATTTCGTAACATTTCAATTTGTGCATATAATTTATATAATTTTAAGTACATCTATATTAGTGTTATTAACGCCTGTCCACTAGCAGGGCAACAAGAAACAGAGTCTGATGGACTTGGAGCTGAACACGCCGTGCGACACTTCGAGTGACGAAACGTCGTCGAAAAGCACCCTCGACCTCATCATACCACCGCCGAAAGACTTCGAGGGCAAGAACAACCCTTTCCTCGGACTGTTGAGGATGGGAGGCGACGAGTCGGCGTCGAAAACCAAGAAGAAGAACAAGGACATCACGCTGCCGCTGCCCCTGAAGACTGTGATACCTGGTCAGCCGGTAATGAGGCCGATGAAGAGGCAGCTCAGCGAGAAGGACATCGTGATCGGTCCCAACGGCGAGATCAAACGCAAGAAACGGTTCCGGAGGAGCAGGAACCTGCAGCCGTGTTACGGGGGACGGACGGCGAGTAAAACAGCGACGGTGGTACCGGCGCGACCCGACGTCAAAGACTGGAAAGGGCCCCAAGGAGGCGCTTCGGCGTCTGGCGCACAACAATTGTGCGTCGACTACACGTTGACCAGTCGCCGGTTACGTCAAAGACCCGAGAGACCTACGGAGAAGGAGAAAGCGATACCGAACCCTCCGACGACGCCGAAACCCAGCCCCGTGAAACAGGAACCCGAGATCGACATGGAGGATCTGAAAAGCTCCGTCAACATTTATTTCGGCGCGGCGAATCGGATAGCGGCCGGCGAACGGTTCACGGTAAAAGCGAAACGCGTGGGACCGCAAGGCAAGGTCGAGTGCCTGATCGAGTGGGAGGGGCCGGGTGGGCCGGGCGGTATGACTTGAATCGACCGCGACGACCCGGTTTTTTTCCGTTTTGAGTTGCTGTGATTTTTCCGCGGCTACGAGGCTATCGATCGTTTGGGGTTGGGTCGGAGAGGAGTTTTACGCGAGACGCGGATATTCGAGGTTTCACTATATAGATGGTGACGCCGACGCACGGTGGGCGGAGCTAATGAATTTTAATTTATTTATCTGTGCGCTTGGGATCCGAAACTGTGATTTTACTACTTAGTTTTACAGTACAAAGAGTATCGCGGGGAGTTAATTTTCTCAATTGATAAGGCATTATTTATTCGTAAGTCGTACTCCCACAAGTTATTGAATAAGAGGTTTTGTTAGTTTAAGTGACTGAATAAATTTTCTCCCTTATTGAGATTTTTGACTAGCTATTAATTTAGTAGTAAAAATATGGTGAATAAGTGCAACATACAAAAAAGAATTGTAGGTTAAAATTTACCATTTCTATCATTTATGACAAATGGAATAGATATCACCCTGGTGAATAACAATTTTTCCAGAATTCTTTTATACATGCGTTTTAAGGAAACATTTCTGTTCTTAGCTCCCTATTCCCTAAAACTCAAAATTTAGGGCGGTGAAAGAGTGAAAGAACATTGGTCTGATTGTTACACCTACTTTTTTTTCGATAAACACTGAGATCCCAATTCGACTCCTTTTTTTTCTCATTCAGTTTCGTTCACTTTCTTTTCCATGTGGATAGGCTTTTATAGTTTTACAAATTTTGATAAAAATGAAAGCAAGCGATTTAAAATATGATTTATATTGAAAAACAATAGTTTTTTTTTCTCCAAAAGTGAAAAAATGCACAAATATTAGTTTATGGTCCTTACAGGGCTTGTTGACCTAACTAAAACTGAATAAAAAAATAAATCAAATATAAGTAAGGTAAATCTTTATGGCGTTAAATATCTTAAAAATCTTGAACAAACTTTTTTACGTTGTTTTTACAACCGTTGATGTCCCACTGTGCGTCGGTTGATCGAAAATTGCGTATTCCCGGGAAGCCGGGGGATAATAATCTGCACTGTATAGCCCACCAGCCGTCAGGACCGAGTTTACTTTTCCCTATGGTAGCCAGGAGGCTACAACTCTTAATTATTGTTATGAGTCACTTATAACTGCCAGTTTCGTCACTGCCACTTGTTAACCTGTTTTTTATTTTTAATTTTAAGTGAAACTGCGGGGATAGATCCTAATACCTCGAGAAAAACTGCGAACAACCTTATTGTGAAACTAGCCGATAAATGTGAGAGGCGTCCCTATCCTTTTTTTGGACAAATTTGATGTTACTGCGCGCGATTTGTAGTAATCAGTTAGGTAAATCTAAGTCTGTAATATATACATAGGGGCGGTTCGGTGCAATTGGTGATACCCCGTTCTGCCCCTTCCTAGAAAAATTAAAAGTTTCTCGGCCGGTAACGCGCGATGTTACGTTAGCGTTGTTTTAGTACAGGGTAAAAAGAAATGTTAAGTGAACATTTTTCGGCCGGCATTTTTTTAGTACCGTTTAGCCCCGCACTCGTATCGTTTCCCAAGGAACAAATCGAACCCAATTATAACATATAATTATATTTTTTAGTTTTAAAGAGACTGACCCACCAGCATCATACTTAAAGTATTTTACGTACGGGGCGTCGGCCGGTACGTTTGAACTACCGACCGGTTTACTCGTATTAGCGAATACCTTTTAACCCGCCTGTATCATTTCAAGCGTCTCACACAACGTTGTACATAATTGTTTTTAATTGTGTTAGGAAATTGTCATGTATTCATGCAGACTTGTATTTTTTTAAATTAATTTAAACTCAAATAAAAGGCGTCGAAGCACTTTGAATATGGTTTTACCTTTCCCAAACAAATAAAAATCTCTTAGTTGATAACGCGATCTAACCCCTGGATATTTAAACTTTTCGGTATTGTTCGATGGGACAGATTTAAAAACTTTTATTGCCCTAAAAAAATATCATCATTTATTTTGCGAACAAAGGGCACCCCATCTGATTAAATTATGACCGGTACTTCCGAATTACGTGTTTTTACTTATCACATTAACACTTTATTTTCAAAAGGTAATATGACCCAATTACAGGAAATATTAAATATAAATTATACAGGGGATGTAAAAACTAATCTTAAATCTACTAATCATATAACTAAAAAAAAGGAGAAAGAGGATAACACTTGACGATAGTTTGTTGAAGGGAACATACATATTATAAATAGGGTTTTGGAAATGGGTATTCCAGCCCAAGGTTGGAACCTTGAGGCACACCAGAGGTGTTGCGCAAATTGCCCTTTTATTCTATTAAACATTAATTCAAACTCAAATAAAAGGCCGTTCAAGTAATAAAATTTTATTTTATAGGTCAGCCCACCAAACTCGCGCTTTGTTGTTTCAAAACACCCCCGAATTCCTTCAGAATTTTGTTATTTCTTTGAATGTTGTCGATAACTGCTTGCAGTGTCCAGTGCTTCATTAGCAGCGCGTCTTCTAGGGTGAATCGGCTGTGTCGTATGCACTGGATACCTGTACAATGAGCGGTCGAGTGCATCTTCAAGCCAATCTCATGCACCAAACCCGTCAAGTAAGACTCGTACTCGTTGATGCATTGAATTTCTGTAAATAAATTCATATGCAACTAACATTTCTTCCGCCATTTGACTCTTTTACCTATCGCGAAATGTGGCAGCTGCGGGCCACCAAATTCCACGCATTTCATGCCGTAAATCACTGGCAGTTTCGAATTGGCGGGCCTTATGAGGCCCTGAGAGGCCAGTTCGTAAGCCGTTTGGGACTGCATGTCGACCCCGCATATTCTATAATGGCAATGTGAGAGCCACCTTCTTAGGTAACAGGAAATTTTTCATACTCAAACATTTTTTTTTGATGCGATGATTGCATGGAGCTCAGCAAATGATCCATGTGACTCCTTTTTACGTGCCTCCACGTCGATCGTTCTACCACTTTTCCCGTTTTAAAACAGTCATCAGTGGCCTGGCCAAAAACGCCGCTGATTCTGTAAGCACGCGTGGACCTGTTCTCGCGCAGATATTTCGCTTTCAGAGTGCCGGATTTTATCCCAAAAACTACAAAATAACAGCATAAAAGGAATATATTAACATACATTAACATTGTGTGGTAACCTCTAACCCCATCTACATAACATATTTGCAGTGTTCTCAGGTAAAGCGGCGAGATTGCGACAAATATGGGCGCGTTTTTAAGGAATATTTTCATAGTCTACCCCTCGACAATGTTTAGGCTATTTTTGCTGTGTTGGAACTTGCCGCGTCTTCACTTGAACCACCGGAGCTTATGGGGTGAGAACATGCCCAGGTTGGAGAGAAAGTTGAAACGCAGATTGAAGCTCACCCGGGACGGAATCGAAAGAATATCACAAAAACCTTGATTTATTTGTATTTCGCGGCATTGATTAAACAAGTAAACAAAAAAACTTTGTCTTACTCAACACCCCGCTTGTGTTAAATCCCAAATAGTTCGACCAACTGACTGGGAGGTCTTGTTCTTGGTATCGGGGCCCTACAACCAACGGATGGTCCGCATAACTTGGCCTCACAACGACCTTGTGCTGCCCCTCGGGATCACCTTGTATTTCTATGTAATCGCGCGGCGGCCGGCATTCCAACTCGTTTAATTCTGGAATGGCGGTTCGTAAGTTTTCGTCACGTCGTTAAACAAACAACAAACCGTCTACAAGTTTTTTTATTAAAACTAGCCTAAGCGCCTTTACCGAAGTCTGGGCGGGTTTATAAACGCACACCAAACCTTTTAGGACTTTCCATACTACGGGCGCTTGTGTTACGAGCGATTTCATCACGGACGGTAACGAAAATCGCCCAATTATTGCCTATGCGTATCTTTTTTTAAAACAGTTATGCATAAATAAAAATACACATTTAAGGTTAATTTGTTATTCTTCTTCAACTTTCTTTATGGCCCAATTAGATAACAATCTAACAATATTGCTACCCGTCGCCAGTTGGACACAACCGGATTCTGTGATTAATACAGTCCGTCTCTCTCTTAACTGCACCAGACGTGCGATAAAAAAAGACGGATACGTTCCGTGAAACGAATACGTCTGTGTGTACATTTAAAACATCTGATTATCTATCGTAAATAACCCGTCGAAAAGGGGTGGTAAGCGCGACCCCCAATTAAACCCGCCGAAATTAAATAAACGCCGAGGAAATCTGCGGGGCGTGTTTGGACGGCGGTTTAAGTTAGGGTCATTTTCGTGTTATTTACCCATGTCTAATCAATAAACTGGGCAACACAAGAGGCAGGACAGGCGGTCGTTTTCGTGGGGGCGATTTTGATCCCGCGCCAATTATGGAACGGGGCGGGCACTCTCGGGAACCCGATTCTATCGAAGAAGGCAAGCCGTTGAAAAAAGCTAGGTACGTGTGGGAAGTGAAGGGCAAGCACCACATGAAAAAAACGGAAGCCCATTCGCCGAGGAACCAAGAGGTACCGAATCCGTCGGGTGTGACGATGCGGGAATTGCAGGGCCCCAGCGATTGTTGCCTCGAATCGTTCCTTTCTAAAACGGAAGAGATTTTGGATAGAGACTATAGTGATGATGAGGAAAAGTCGTCACTTGAAAATGTGATCGAAAATGAAATACCTGTTACTTTAGTACTCGCCAGACCGAAAAACCAAGACTATTATTTAAGGTAATTAACTTTCGACCTTTTTCACATCCCTCCCCTGCAAAATAATTGGGTTTTAGATTGTGGCAAGCCCAACAGATTGCTCGCAGTTATGTGGACAATACCGTGAACAGTATGTTGGAACGCTTTAACGATCGTTCTTTGGATGTGTCAAGTCTTATTGAGGATTGCGAGAATGATGGCCAAGTCGAAGATGATGCGATTTTGATGGCTATTCAGGCACACGGTTTACAGTCTGTGGTTTTGCAACAGTCTCCCAGACAGAGTGAGGTTGAATCTCGGTGTGATAAGCCTGCTGTTGATCTTATCTGTGAGAATTATGAAAACTACCAGAGGGAGCGGGAGAATGAGTTTTCCGTAACTTCAACTTCGAGTTCTACAAGTGGGGGCACACCCAGTTCGAATTCCAATCAATTTGAGGAAGATCTCTCGGACCAAATGGATTTCTTAAATGCCGCAGTATCAGTGGCGATACAAGAAAAGGGTTTAACCTACAGTTAAGACTGAATTTTTGAGAAATATAAAAAACTGTGTAAGAGTTTGTATAATTGGAAATGATTATCAGGAAGTGGGAGATTCAGTGAGGAGTTATTTATAAATAGTCTTTGGTGATTACATAACCTGATTATGTGTCAACATCTGGAAGTTAGGGTTTAAGTAATAGGAACCTTACTAAATATAGAAATAAAATTATTTATCTCCCAGTGTTAATAGAAAAGGCTCTTAATTCCAATTGGGCTTTTAAATTGCCCATAAATCTATTATTTAATTGTTTTATTTTATGGTTGCCTTGTCCATCCAAATGTAGTGGATTTTACTTGATGCAAGCTTAAAAAATTATTTTATCTTATGTTAATTTTTATTAAAAATATTTAGTCTAAGTGTTGGCTTTTATTGTACTTAGTTATTAGTAAAAAACCAAAACTAACAAATTCACACTTTTTTAAATTCAATTTTCCATTTTTGTTTTATAACTTAATATAATAAAACAGGAAACATTTTCAGTTTTGCGGGCAAATGGCAGAGTCATTCACGAGCACCATCTGTATTTACTTTCTCGCTGACAGTTTATTAATAAGTCTGGATGTTGTGTTTATTCAGCAGTATTTTCTCAAAATATGTCCATTTAAAGTTAAGTGTGTGGATATCGATGTTTAGAAAGAAAATGGTACGACGTGTAACTTAGTGAGTGAAATGTAGAGGCATGCGCAGAAGATCATTCCCATCTCTATCGTAGCCAAATTATTCATATCAATTTTCTTTTTTGTTTCTATGTGTGTCTTGGGTCTCTTGCTTTGACATGGAATACCTATATAACATTCTATTCGTCTCGATCTCAGACCCGTATCGTTTAGTGGTCTGTGCACACAGCAATGTAATAAAAGCAATCTTGGGATGTTATGGTTAGGTTGTTGATTAGTGGTGGAGACGGTTCAGTGGTGGTTGGTTATTTTATTTTGCTGTTTTTTGAAATAATTTTCAAAATGGTTAGGAATAAAAACTCACCGAAAAGAATGCTTGCCCTGGCCGGGAATTGTAGTTTGAATATTCATAACGAGTTTATACCTGTAATCAAAAAACGTAAATTCAGTTCCGCGAAAAATAAAAGAGCGGCAAGAAATTACACAGTGCCTTCTGTGGAAATCGCATCAAAGCAATATTACCTGGGCGAAACAAAAATTGGGCGAAGTGGTGATAGGTTCCCGGATGAATTTAATGGCTGTAGTATTGAATTTGAACGGGTTGAGAATGAAATAATTGAGCGATTGATTTTTCACTGTGGTAGTAGGATTGTCAGGGTGATTCCAGATACAAATCTAAATTTTTTGAAAGGTTATTTTAATTGTTGGGGGTAGAGCGGTCGTGACTTGTTCCCGATTTCAGAACTTTTGGAACTGAACGTATTTTTTGTCGAGCCTTACTCCCGCGACATCGAGGTGTATTTTAAATGGTACCTAAAGTCATTGCCTCTGCCAAAGATTTCTCCTAAAATGGGAAGATGCGTCAAGTGCGTCTTTGGTTTGCTTTTCAATACAGGCTGTATCAATTCCGGTATGTTCTTTGGTGGGGCTCTGTCGGAATTGGTACCTATGCGTTTTTTAGAGGAGCCAAAGTACCAAAGCTCGCTGAGCAACATCGAGCTCGATGTATTGTATTCAAGGTTAGCTGATAGAAAAGTAGACCTGTCTAATATATACCAACAAGGTATGCATCTTCACCATTTAAGACCGAAGTTAAGACCATATCAAGAAAAGGCGGTGAGGTGGATGATATACAGAGAAACTGTCGCGGATAATTTTAACGGTATAGAATCTCCTATCCACTGCCTCCACTACAGAGTTAAGTTTTAGGCTCGCTGCATCCCCTTCTTCGAAAATTCACTTTACAATCGGGCGTCGTTCTCTATTTCGACAAATATACGGGTTGGGTAGGTAAAGAACCTTCCCTAGTGAACTCATCGTGGAGCGGGGGTATATTGGCAGATGAGATGGGTCTCGGCAAAACCGTAGAGGTACTGGCCTGCATTTTATTGAATCCCAGACTAAAAGGCGCCTTCGATGGCGAGAAATCCAGTTCAGACTCAAAGCTGATTATCAAAACTCAGAAGCCAAAGTCTGTGCAAGAGGAGTCGGGTGCTTCAACTTCAAGTACTGAAAGAGCCAAGGTAAGAGTAAAATTGGCGCCTCTAAGTTAATTGCAAGTCAGTTACTAAAATTGTATCAGCTTAGTGAACAGCTCGCAAAGTCCACTACTTACCAGACCTTGCACAAGTTATACACCCAGTCTTTGAGCAGATACTCTACTGTCGGAACCAGGGCTAAACCCGAGGAGCCGAAAGTGCAGTGTATATGCGGTAGCTCCCTTGATCTGAGTAAAGAAAATGGCATTCTTACATGGGCAAGGGTCAACACATTCATTTCAGGCATTGTCAAGTGTCACGAATGTGGAAAACGTCAACACCGCCAGTGTTTGGGGTACAGCGTTCACAATAGCGACCCCTACATGTGTCCCCAGTGTTGGTTACATCAGCCGCTTCTCGAGTCGGGCGCCACGTTGATCGTAACGCCTCGGACTTTACAGAAACAGTGGTGCACGGAGATCGAGACACATTTGAAGCCCAGGTGACTTTCGCAGGTGTTCGTTATGAGACTGAAATAAACGCCATATGAACGTTTAGGTTGAAAGTGCTGAGGTACGACGGGTTCGCCGCCGCCACGCCCATATACCCGACCGAGTTGAATAAATTTGACATAGTCGTCACAACATACAATGTGCTACAGTCAGAGCTAAAGCTCACTGAAATTAACAAGGTTATTATTATTATTATTATTATTGGGTTGGTATTCTTGTTACTTTCGAAAAATCGATGAAATCGATTCTTTTTGAGAGTAATAAAAATTGAAATTGGGAGGGTTAGGCCCTAGCCCCATCGCCAGTTTCAACAGTTTTTGGAGTCCTTACATGCTGAGCATTCCGATATCCGATATTCAAAAGTTCGTTGGTTAAGTGCTGGAAAAGTATTCGAAAGAATTCGGGATTTAAAAGACGATATTGTGAATTTTCTTCTTGATAAAGATATTTGTAATCAATATGACGTCTTAGAAAACGAAACGTGGCCCTCTGATTTCGCTTTTTTCACAGACCTCCTCGTACACATGAATAAACTTAATCTCAAATTGCAAGGGAAAAATCAGTTTCTTCACGATCTCTATATCTGATTTTTCTCATTTTCCAAGAATACAATCTTTAAAATTCACTATATCAAATAAGATTAAAAATTCGAAATTAGTTCGAGAAAACTATCTTCATAAATCAGTATTTTTGCGACCCCATTCAACGTTAATTACGAAGAAGTTGGTGCAAAATTTCAACTTAACTGTAACACTCTCCTGAAACAAACTTTTCATACAGTACCATTGCTAGAATTTTATAAAAATTTAGATAATAACAACAACAGTGAAGCTTAGGAAAACTTCTTTAAGAAACGGAATTGCAGATGAGCACCTTTCATCAGTTTTAAGAATTTCTGCTTCGCAAATGGAACGGGACTATGATGAAATTTTGATAAAACAGTCGCAATTTCATTTTTCTCATGCACCATCAACCAGTAACGACACCAGAAAATAAAATGATAATGCTTCACATCAAGAACTACATTAAATTCGTTTTATATTTTGTGTTTACAATTTTCGTACCTTTTGTACTATTAAAGTAATAAGCGTATAGTTAAATAAGAACAAACGTTGTTCAGATTTTCACATAAATATGTATATTTAAATGACAGCTGTCATAGTCCCAGATCTCCGGCGTTTCCTGGTTCTAAAATTGTGCCTATAGATCCTTGCAAACGCGATTGTTTATTTTTAAAAAAACACTTCCTGACCCCCTAGTCCCGTGGTGGGGAAACTTGTTTTAAGACGGGCCATTTGTAATAACTAGAGGATCGTAACGGGCTAAAGAATAATGCTTAATCGTTAAAAAATGTATGTGTTTTATAAACATATACATTTATTATTACATACACTTATTAATTGTACTGAAGTGACTTTTACTTGATAAAAATCCATTAAAAAAGAACAAACGTTCAGATTTTCACGTAAATATATTTAAATGACAGCTATTTCGGCAACACCGTGCCTTTATCAAATGCGAATATCAAACGGTACCGATGTTTATAAATACAAAACAGGTAGTAATTACTTAATGTGAGGTATTACATTGAGATTTAGATAATTTAGGCGTCGAGTGTGAATTGGCTATCGCCAATTACGATCCTAACCCAAACGAACACATTTTAGGTAATTTAATTAAATCACAAGTTTCAACTAGCAAAAAACATCAAGATCTTTCCCAAATGCCCTTAATTCCCAGAACGATATAGTATTTACTCGAGCGGATAAAGGAAAGACAGTCATAGCGATTAATTCTTCAGAATACATTTCTAACACCCATCAATTTCGTAAACCAGAACTATACTAACATATTCAACACGAACCTACCGAAACATACAGAGACAAATCAAAGAATTACTTAAAGAATCCTCACTTTTTAATAAGACGGTAAATATCAACTAAAAATATTGAATCCGCAACCCCCAAAATTATACTCTCTAATTAAATTACATAAACAGAATATGAAAATCAGGCCGGTTGTGTCTTTTGTAACAGCACCATCTGTCAAACTGTCCACAAGATTAATAAATATTTTAGAAAATTACACAGACTTCAAACCTAAATTTACTTTGAATTTAATGGTCAGTTTTATATTTCTAAAGAAGGACTAATTATGGGAAACCCACTTCAACAATCTGGAAAATATTATACTTGAACATCCGTTATTTAAAAGTTTTCTTTGGTGGTACAGATATGTGGATGATGTTTTTACGACTGAGACAATTAAATTATATCAACTCATTACACAATCGCATAAAATTTACTACTGAAATCGAACAAAATAACTCTTTAAATGTCTTGGATTTAACGATGACTAAAGCACAAAACAAATTAGATTTTTTAATATACCATAAACCTTCACACACAGACACCATAATACATGAGAGTTCAAACCATCCCTATACACACAAAATGGCTGCCTTTTATTTTTTTATTCATAGGCTGATAACTATCCCTCTTTCCGCAATAAACTTTGAAAAAGCATTAAATATTATAAAACAAATTGCATTCAACAATGGCTATGACCCGTCACTGATAGATAAAATCTTAACTAAGAAACAATTTCAAAAAACTTTGAACTCTATATATCCCCGCTATCTCAAGGTTTTAAAACATTAACATACATAGGAGAACCTAGTAATAAAGTTTCAGATCATCTCTCGAAATGTGGCCTCAAAATTGCTTTTAAAACTAATAACACCCTAGGAAAATTTGTTAAAAACAATAAATCTAAATCTAGTAGATCCCAGAATTTTGGAGTCTATAAATTATAAGGTTGTTCGGAAAGTCATTTCGTTTTTTCCCGTCAGAGGACTTAATTACGTTTTTTCGAAACCAACTTCACACTTAAGTCGCATAACCATATACGTCTTGAGCGCTGATATTGCAAGGCTTGTGTGTGAAAAAGTTCTATTAATTCTACGCAGTAGTTTTTGGTTGGTGCTGACTCTTTCATTTGAGTTGACGGTTTCAACCTATTTTCTAGCTAGCTGGTAGACCACTTTCATTATTTAATAAAGTTATTGATTAACATTCTTATCTCCCAACAAGATTATTAAAGTTCAACGCAGAAACATTTTTAATGTATTTATTTTTTACTACAACAATCTGATGTGACTTTCGGGATACGTGACGTCAGGAGTTGAATCTGCGCCGGCCGCGTAAATATTGGCCAGGCGGCAGCCCGCTGATTCGCATCAAATGGTGGCGTCTCTGCATCGACGAGGCGCAGGCGGTCGAGTCCACTGGTTGCATGGTGTCCGCGATGGCTCAGAAAATCACCGCCGCTCACCGTTGGGCAGTAACGGGCACGCCTATCTCCAAAAACTTATCAGGTAACGCGCGGCCACGACATTATCGTGAGGCCCTCCCCCTCTCCGGTTTTGTGGTAACTCTAGATCTCTACGGACTCGTCGATTACCTTCAGATGGCGCCCTACAACGACCATGATGCGTGGAGGTACGCGCTGTACGACCCGTACCTGAATGGCGACAAGGACGCGATGTACGATTTTCTCGGTAAGGTGCTGTGGAGGACGTCCAAACGTTCAGTGTGGGATCAGGTGGGTCACTTTTCACGTATATCAATTCAATATCAAATTGATGTAAAAACTAAGAAAAAACTTCCTGCTCACTCACTCACTTATACCAGTAGACAACCAAAGGGGGTTGCAGTAGGCGTAACCCCACACCTCTCCGCCCCCGCCGACCTAACCTAAGAAAAAATGAATCGCCTTCCGTCAGCGATATGCCGCGAAAAAAAAGTATATCCGCGTCATAAATTTCAAAATTCAAATTCGAAGGACACGTGGTACAGAGTTGAAAATACTCAGTAGGTCTAAAGAAATTATTATACCAAATAATTTGCGAAGTTCCAATGATCTGAATCAGTTTTTTTATAAACTCTGTCGAAAATAATAAAATACCAGATCAAGAATTAAACAATTTCGATGAGAGCAATCAATTAGAAAATGTCGATCGAGAGCTACAGAGGGTGAAATATTTTATGTAATAAAAAACATTAATTCTAAGGCAATAGGCGATGATAAATTAAATATTACTTTAAGAAATAAATGTATGAAGTCTTGTTAACACTGATTTAAAGAAACTTTTATAAAATTGCATTCCATCGTCCATGACTGTTAGGTAGGTAATGTCAAAAACAAAACTGTCATAAAAATTAATGACACTGCTATACTATACTCGTGTACATCGAAAAGTTTAGGATTGATCTTGGACTCTAGGCTGCTTTTCAAGGATCACATTACAAACAGACTGAGAATAGCATGTGGGAATTTAAAGTTAATATACATTCATAGATATTTTCTTCCAATTGTTACAAAGAAATTGCTTTGTGAATCCATCGTGTTGTCACAGTTCAATCATTGCTGTGCTATGTTGTTTAATGAGTTCGCCGACAGGATCATATTTCTCCATACCTTTTCGGGTTGGCTTGACACATGCAATAGGTTTGGGTTATCCCGTGCTACATTCTATTTTAAATTAATTAAGTATAAATCTCCTGAATACCTTTTTAACAAAATCACTTTTTCTACAGGTGTTCATGACTTGAATCTAAAATCTAAAAATTTATATAATATAATAAATAATTTGTCTTTTCGATTTAACAATATCAACCCCAAAACTTTTACAACCGGTATTCTTGGAACTCAGTAATTTCTGTATCAGAAAACCACTCTTCTGTTTACCATTACCCTCCTCCTTTCTCCTGTGACTTATTGTCCTATATTTAATGATTAATGTATTATAAATAGAGTTAGGATTTTATGTAAAAAGCATCTTTTTTATTATTAGGAATATCAACCCAATATTGTGGATATACCCGTTTTAGAATGAAATAATTAGATTAACGATATCAAAAAATTACATATTTCGCATAAAATATTTTTAGTTGTTGTACATAAGGTGAATATTTTCTATTTTTCGAGCACAAAATAAACTCATGCATTAGTTTTTATTACTGGGATTTTTCAAACGGATAAGATTATAAGTATCTGCAATATTGTGGACTTTCTGTTTCATAGCCGTTACCCAACATTAATTAAGCCCTCGTCCCTTTTTTCTTTGACGCTTTTATCTAATGTGATTTTAACAACCTCTTCTGAAAATTAATCAAATAAAAATCATTGTATTATACTTTTCAGGTTCAGCTGATTCAATTAAAAAACTAAAAGTTTATATGAAGAATGTGAACTTATCGATCAGTCGACTAAGGCTAATTTTATTTCTTTAAGTGGTTTTATTAAAATATTAGAGACCCAACTTTGCTAGAGTCAATTTCAGTAGTAGAAGAGTACGAACATTTGTTGAAAAAAGTTCCAAGCAGAATAGGGAAAATTATTCTTGACAAATTTCATTGATTTTTTTTAAAAGTTACTTACAATTTTATCATTAGATGCGACCGTTGATAACGATTTACATTATTTGGAACCAGAACATCTTGCATCATTAAAATTCGCGCCAATTACTTCGGTCGACGTCGAAAAGACGTTCTCCAAGTACAAAAGCATATTAAGCAATAAAAGATAAAAATTAACCGTAGAAAAGTTAATTGTCAATTGGTACAATAATAATAATAGGTCTGATTGTAAAACTGAATAGTTTTTACCATAATGCGTTAATGTAGGTTAGGTATAAGTATATAGATATAAGTCATTAATTTATTGTTAGCTAAGGTTAATAAATAGTCCTAATTAAGTATTATTATTTTTATGTAATGTAATTTTTGTAGTTGTTTGACTATTCTTTCCTGGATTTTCATTAAACAATATATGTAACAAATAAAGGGCCTAAAAGTACATAGGTGGTAGAAAAAAGCATATTTTAAGCATTTTCTGTGCATAAAAATCCGAACTCTAATTATAAACGCTGCGTAACATATTTATTTTTGTTCTTAGGGTAATTTGGTTTACATCAAATTGAGGCTCAAACAGTGTCTGGCTTCGCTGGATATTTGCGTTTTATTAGGCCTTTTGCTTGCCTTAAATGTGGTACCATCTAATATTTTGTAGTGTGATATTATTATTAATTTCTCAGATGAACATTCCCCATCAGACATACGAACTTCACGCGTTGGAGTTTTCTGCGGTGGAGAAGTTCTTCTACAATTCTGAGCACGAGTTGAGCGCGAAAACATTCCTGAATATCGCGGGACGGTTCAATCCGGACCTTCTTCTCGATAAAATGGACCGGCAGGACATGAACAACGTAAATCCATTAAGTTGATTTTTTGTTTCATTTGTAAGCCCGCGGTGGTGTTTCAGTTGCTGGCGCCGTTGCTGGCGCTGAGGCAGGCCTGCTCGGACCCGAGCGCCGTGAGCGGCAAGGGCCGCCACCTTGCTCTGAAACGGACATGCACGTCTATGAAGGAACTGCTGGATGCGCTCATTTCCAAGAACAAAAGCGAGTGCGAGGACAGGCTGCGCGCCTTGATATCCGCCATTAACGGTAAGGGCGCGAGGTGGGCGTGTCACGCTGTCAACAGTTAAGATACGAATGCCTAGCGATTCTTGCGCTTTTGCTCATTTAAATGTAAGATCACTTTGTTCATTTTTCCCCATTTATTTTGGATTCTGGACTCCACTTTGCGGGTCTTTCGGAAACTTGGCTTTTAACTCTTGTACTTAATGATTGATGGTTATAGCATAAGGCGTGACCGTGAAACACGCAGTCATTTTGAAGTTAGAGCTGTAGATATATCGGAATATATTAATAACGATAGTTTAGAACAATTATGGTTGTCTATTAAGATTGAAGGAAAAAGATTGTATCTGGGAACAGTTTATAGACCTCCAACATTTAACTTACCTGAATGTCTTGACTCTCTGGAAGGCGTCCTTTCCGCACTTATTCCTCAATTTGATTTTTTGATGTTTGGCGGAGATTTCAATGTTAATATGTTAAAAACTAATACTTCCGCTTATTTTCGATTTTCTCTGGGTAATAAGTCCTGCATGAAGATAGGAGTGTTGAATTGTTTCTGATGTCACCTCTTTCCAAGCTTTACTAATAAAGTTGACTGCATCTACCATATTAATGGAAAATTTGTCTGCGGACTCGATCATTTCCATTAAAATGTTGTTCCTGTATCGACTCTTAAGAATTTTTATTACTCTCTGGTCCATCAGCTGTAATACACTTGTTGTTATGGCTGAAAGAAATGCCGATTCAATATTCCGCAGATTTGGAATATGGGGATGCGCAGAGCAGTTATCTAAGAAAAGTAATGTTTTCCTCCCCTTTAATTCCGCATCGCATTTCCGTATCTCCTCTTCAAAAATTGATGAATTGATTGATGTTCTTAAAACATCGCGGGTTAGTTGATTTTCCAATCACGACTAGCTTTCTTTTTTCTCTCCCACTCATATTGGCAGCTACTAACACTGTTCTTTAGAAAGTTTTCCACCCAGACACTTTTCCCTACGAAATTTAAGAGTCCAGTCTCGTCAGCAGGGTACTTTTCTGCTAGTTTTGGCCACGTCTTCTCCAACCAATCGTTAGTGCCGTTTCTGTCGACATCACGAGCTTCGCTAGTTATCTGTCCGTAATTTATACCATATTTCCGAAGCCTCGAAATCGATAATGGCAAGCTGTTCAGCAAACTTTTCTGCTTTTAATTTTACGGTAGGTTCGGAGAGTGGAACATTTTTAAGACGTTGCTGTTGGAACCACTTTTTTGGCTTTCTTAGTTTTTTACTAGAACTGCCTGCCGCTGCAGCCTGAATCATTTTTTCTTTGCACTTCCAAAAGGTGGATACAGTCGACGGTGTAAGTCTGTATCGACGTCCAACATGACTTTTCTTTTCTCCCCGTTCAATCTCCCAAATTAAAGCAACTTTGTCATCTAGAGGTAAAATGTTTCGCTTACTCGCCATGCTCGCCGTATTCACTAAGTCAAATTAGAACTGATTGAAACAATGGTGTGCTCGTATACATACCGATAAAGGCATTAACATTTTTGAATTTTCACTGTATCTTGATTTTCAATAAAGACAGTGTATTATTATTATTATTATTGTAACAGCGCGCGTTTCAGGTCTGGCCGGCGTGTATCTGCTGATGCAGAAGCCCGAGAACGCGATCAGGGAGTATAGGAAGGTCTTGCAGTTGGCCTCGGAAATGTCGGGAGAGGAGAAAAAGGGCAAACTGACCATAGGTAGATTATAGGGAACGCCTCCGTACGTTTGAACTACTGCCGTGTGTTCCGTGTCAGATAAGTTGCCGTTGATACACGCTATGCATAACTTGGCGGAGGTGCTGGAAGCGCATCCCCCTACTTCCGAGCATACACTGCGAGACGACACGCTGCGGAGGGACTGCGCCGACCTGGAGCAACGCTACATCGACAAGTTCGTGTCAGAGTGCGCGTCCGCCCGGAGCTCGGTGGCCGCAATCACGGGCAACATCGTCAAGACGCAGGAACAGTTTTTGCTCGAGGAGGGGCAGTGGTTCTCCCGCGGTCTGGTGTGGGTCCAGGCGAACGACCTCGAGGACGATCTGCTCAACAGGATCGAGGCGGCTGCGGAAAACGCCAACGTCGACGGCAAGTTAGTAGAAATTTAGACAGGCCGTCGATCAATGTGGTGTCAAAAGTAAAAAAATAGCGAAACCTAAATTTCCAAGATTCGCAAGTATACGCGGTTGGCAACCAAACCTATGCGAGGGTTGCCCTTTATATTTCGGGATTTTCTTAAACTAGTCCTGCCATCTGGCGACTAAGTTTCACATTTTGAGGATAGGTTTACTCAGTTAGGTTTTGGCGAATGGGTGTTGTTTGTGTTTTTTGTGATAAATTAAAAAAATTGTGACCGTTAAAAATGCAACTTAATCGGGAGCATTTTCTTGCAATAATTTTTTACAACCTTAGACGTGGACAACAACGCAACAATGCATCAATGAACTTAATTCGACCCTTGGAGTTAAAGCACCATCTAGGACTAATTTTTATCTCTTAAACTGATTTTGCAGGGTCGTGATGTGACTTACCATGAGATTGAGGTATCCTTGGGCATTAGTGGGACCACCGTATATACAATTTTGTATGAACATTTAGTCATTTGATAAAACAGTCAATTCTGAATGGTACACAACTATGTGTTTGCCGAAAGTCTTCAGAAATTAGAAAAACCAACCGCCGAAGACGAATCACTCTCCACGACGACAATCAGTGCAAACAAAGAAGTTTTTGAGCATTAAAAACGTTGATTTGATGAGCCATCCACCATATAGTCCTGATTTTTTGAGAATATTTTGAGAAACAAAGTCGTATCTGTTGGTAGCTTATAGCTTTTTATTACAAATCCCGAAATATATTGTATCTCGCAAAAAGTGCGTCGTACAGTGTCGGCATCGGTACAGATAGAATCAGCGTCGAAAAAAACGTTTTCATGTTTTTGTCTGTCCGTTTCTCTGTTCTCTTTTCTCCGTTTCTCTGTAGACTGGGTTTTAATTGGCTATAACTCTTGAACGGTTCGCCATACGGCATTCAAATTTGGCTGCTTTTAAGCAGTCCACGGGACACATAAGCCAGTAAAGAATGCTTCTGATAAAACCACGGCGGCCATCTTTTTTCGACTGTTTTTCGAACATTGCTATGAAACACGATAAGTGTCCGAAATTCGAAGCTATCGCGAAAGCAAGCGAATAGCGATTAGTCCCCTGACGGAACCTATTCAAATTGGGGGGACTGGGGGGTCGCGAAGTATATTAAAAAAAAAATTGGAAAACCACGTTTCGCAAGGGTTCCAGAAAAAATGTATATCGAAAATTGTTTACGGGATCGTAAAAATTTTTGGGCGAGAAGGTGCAAAGTATTAGGCTCCATAGTTGTATTTATAATTTTTAAAAAATGTGAAAATTCGCTATAACTAAAATACTATGTTTCAGTCATCAGATTCTTTTACATGGCAATATAGGCTTTTGTATTTAAAGTTTTTACATATTTTACAGGGTGTTTGGAATATTTTGTGCAATATTCAAAAAAGTCATGGGTGTCTGAAGTTTGCAGTTATCGACTTGAAATTTGACAGGAAAGTAGATGTCCATACCCACATCTGATTTGTAGAAGTTGGGCGCATTTAAATGTCGCAAAGCAATAAAAAAAAATAAAATTTTGAATTCCAGAAATAAATTATCGGGAAAATTTGTGAACCTAGAAATGCGGGAGATCCAGTTCTATAACTTTTGTTTTAAGCATTTTTTCGATTATGTACAGGACTTTTCAAATATAGACAGAAATCTAAAAGACCCTGAAAAATATGGCTCTTTGGTCTACACAGTAATAAAGGCCGCACCGAGGCGTACAGTTTGCATTTACAGTTTTCGTCTATCACACACGCTTCTCGAGATATGTGAAAAACTCCATGCAACAGTCGCTATTTCTTGCACTCAATCTAGACCCGATGACGTCATTTACTGTTACGGAGTACTGCATGGTTTCCGAAAACAAGTATTTTCTCGAGAACCATTTACTTTATTGTGAAAAGTATCCTGTAACTTAGCTTTATAATTATGGGACGAAACAGAAAAAAGCTGTAGCATATTTATTATATAGAGTTTAGCTAGAATCTAGTTCGTAGAGGGTGTCGGTAGTGTATTTTTGTTGCTTCGCCATCCTACGTGCCACGTATTCGTGGCTGTGTGCGCACACAATAAATACTTCTTCTGCTTGAAAATTTTCATTATTCTTCAATCTACATATTTTCATTTTATATAAAAATAGAAAACTAATAAACATCAATATAGGTACTAAAACACGAATGTAACTAAACTACCTAAACTAAAAACTTATCTATCTATATAAACTTTACAATATACAAGAAAAAATACATGTGTACTTTATTCTTTTTGAGTAAAAAAATCGTTATTTTTGGTTGCTTATTTTTTCTTAATACAAATTTCATATTCTCGGTGTGCTTCTCAACCTTCCAGAACAATTGCATAATATCATCAGTTACATATCAGACCTGCGTGTCGAAAGCAGTTTGAAATAGTGGTTGAAGTAATTTTATGGAATCTAGGATAGTGACGTTGAAAGGTTTCTTATTTTCAAATGACTGGATCAAAAGATACAAAAAATATTTGCGGTAATATGTCTTAAGGCATTTTATTATGCCCTGATTCATTAGTTGGACGACTGAGGTGTTATTTGGAGGCAAAAACCCTAATCTGATATTTAAAAGGATTAGATTTTTTGGATGAGCTGCACAAATGTCAACCAGAAGGAATATTTTTCTATTCTGACGTTTTAGTTTTTTATCCCGATCCTTTAAATAATTATTATGGTTTGACTTATAAATGACATAGTAGCGCAAGATTTTTTTTACAGCAATATCACATTGATAAGATTACAATAATAGATTATGGACCTTCATCTTTATGGCCATTATTTTTGTATTGGAATCAAACTTTCTTTTTTATACTTGTCATTGAAGTATTATATGTTTTTTGTATACTCTGTCAAAAAGTATTTAGTTCAAGTTAGTAATAATTATATATAATCTTATTTTTGTTTACCGTGTTCTAGAGTAGTCTCCCTAAATAAAAATCGCAATTTCTCAGAATTAAGTTTTTTGGACCCTCATCGGAGGAACGCCCGGTTATAGATTAATTGTTATTGGTTTTCGCGTAACTTGCGTATTGAACTGTTCTATTGACTCGTTGTTCTATTTGAAATAAACGGAAATGCAAATGCGGTAGTTCAAATGTCCTGCAGGCTGGTCGGTCGTTCCCCGATGATGCTACTGGTAAACGCCGACCGTTGGCGCCAGGACATCGATCAACTGCGCGCCAGCGCGTTCGACGCCGTCAACAGCCTTTACTACGAGGGTGACAGCCCGGGAAGCATGGTGATCTCTGCGGACATCGTCACGCAAGCGATGAATTGCCACCTGCGGCCCCAGAAGCAATCGAAAACGTCCAAAAAGTGCAAACTGTGCCTGGCGAATTGCCGCTTAAAGGATTACGAGGTCCGCCTCTTCCACATGAAGAAACGCGTAGAGATGTTCATCGACATGGGCCTGACTGGCAGCTGGAAGCCGACCGTGGAGGAGTTGCTGCTCAAATGTAAGCGGAGGTCTAGGGGGCGGGGCTGGAGTATCGTTTGACGTTGCCGTTTATATGTTCGCAGCGTTGCTCGCACTGCTCAAAACAAAGAACGGACGGCCAGAGTTAATAGCCGACGGTGAGATGGACGTCGCATTGTTCGACCTCTTCAAGAAGGAGTTCAAGGTAACGGGGTTTATAAGAAACTTTACATTTTTAACGGTTTTAAGAGGTTTATAAGAAAACCATTGCCGTTGTCACTTTTGTAAGATATCCAAGTTTCGTAGTATTTTATCCAAAACATTTCTGTTAATTTATTTATTTATTGGTGTTAGGCTTTTTAAAAAGGTGTTATACCGTTCTTAAAAGTTTCTTATAAAATCTTAACTTACAGCCACTATGAAACATAAAGAATGTATTATAAAATGTAAAAAAACGTTTTTATGTGGGAGGCCTTTATGTTTTTGAAGTGACGATGTTTAATAATTGTTTTCTTAAATATGTCACAAGCTAAGCAGCAGCTTTTATAGAAAGAAAATTCGTGTTAATATTTTGCAAAGTGAAAAACTAGAAAAATTATAATTATACTATTAAATTATTTAAATTATAAGATTGCTGAAACGTAGCACTGATCTGCTAGGTTGTTAAAAGAAAAAAAAGTTGATTCTGAATTGCATTTGATTGAAAAATTAAATTGAAACTAAAAAAAAACATCTATCAAACCGTACTCAGGAAACAAGGTTTTTTGCAAAAGGAAAATCAATTTGGTGTACCCCAGGGAACACTGTTAGGGCCGAATCTTTTCATTGTCTATATAAACGACATTGTACGACACTTAAAAAAGTGATGATGATGATACGTTGCTGTATTTAATAGGAGATGATGTTGATGAGGTAGTACAAATCCTGAATGAAGAAATGGAAATTTTGTATATAAGTGTTAAGTATTAAAGGTAAATTTAATGCCATACCACTGGAATATTTGACGTTTTCTAAGCATGCAGAATACATAACTAGTAAAAATCTTCTGAACAGAATGAACACATATCTTAGTGACTGGTCTAATACAAATAATACAAATCAATATCGTACCACATTTTAACTACTATTCATCTATACTCTTCTTGCTCAATATGATGGAGAAAAGCGTACTTCAGAAAAAACAAAACCAAGCCATGCGTTCTATTATAGGATGTCATCGTTTAACGTATATAAACACTATGTTGGAAGTAACAGGATTATTAAGTGTAAACCAACTTATTTGTCTTAACATAATGACTTTTATATATAAAATGAACCACAGTTTGCTTCTCGAATATTTATCATACATAAGAGTTCTATGTTCCTACAGTTACCACTAGCTATGGCCAAAAAGATACAATTATACAGTGAAGAACTCGAACTCAGTCAAGCTGTTTAAGAAAAAATGTGCTTTATACAGTAAAGAAAATATTAATTTATAGCCACATTTGTATTGTATTGTTAGATTAAATTATTATTTGTTGAATAATACTAATGTACTTCTAATTAAATTAGAACAGATTTTCACAGTTTTTAATGCTTTCTGACAGCTGTTTCGGCAACACCGTGCCTTTATCAATATATATATATATATATATATATATATATATATATATATATATATATATATATATATATATATATATATATATATATATATATATATAGTAATAGACTTTTAATTACAGTTATAGGGTTATAAATTTAAATTTAACAACGGAGAAGCATTTAAATCCAATTGGTCATTAAGTAATAAATTCGAATATCTCATTTTTTTTTGTTTCCCATAATTAATCCTTCTTTAGCAATGTAAAATTGACCATTGAATTCAAAATAATTTTTGTCTAAACAAACTATTAAACTATCTAGCAAGTCTTGTTTTATGATAGGGTTAACTTGTCTCTGCGTGAGAATATTGTCTATTATGTTTATTACGTCAATTGGTGGAATGCTAGGAAATAAGTTTTGAACATTAAGTGAAACTAGAATTGACTTAGGAGGAATTTTTATGTCTTTAACCTTGCAGCATATCTAGGTTTAAAGGCAGTATTATATTCTAAAATTTTAATTGATATTGTTTAAAAATTAACTGATGGTGCTGTTACAAAAAAACTACAGGCCTTATTGGCGTATGCTGTTCGTTTAATTTAATTCAAGAATATAACTTTGGAGGTTGAGGGAGTTCATGATTATTCTTGTAATTAAAAAGTGATCAATCGGTAATTACTGTTTTGATTGATTTTTGATAGAATTCGGTGCAATCATATTGTATACTTTGGTATATATTTGGATTAAGAAACTGTTTCGTTTTTGTAATATATTCAAGAGAATCGATTCATTCCTTTATCTACTTTTGTAAATATTACATTATTTCGGGAAGCCTTATTTTTAATTGATTTTACCATAGACATATGTGAAAGATCCTTGAATTTGCTGGTAGTATTAAGTTGAGATTTTATTAAATTAGCTAATACATGTTTGTTTACGATATTGTCGTTGTGACCGTCAATACCAAGTTCGCAATCAACCCCTAAACAATTTAACTCTGTATCGGTGTTGAAACCCTTTTTTAGCAATCCGGACTCTTCCTCAGAGAATGTAGTGTTGGTCAAATTGATAAATCTATTGTAAAATTCATGATTCGTTCATTTTAGTGCGTTTTAAGTGGGTGTCTAACTTGGATTTTGGTCTTGATACTTTTTGTGAATAATGTTTGGATTCTATTGTCTAATAAGTCAAATTCTATGGGATTAAATCTATGAGATAATTCACATAAATCTATTGTAAATCTCTTTTCTTGTATTGATATCTTCGTTCTTCTATCAATCATTTTGTCTGTCCTTGGAGTTGAGATATGATCCGTTGTTGAACACATTTTTTGTTCTAATTTAATTTCTGTTAAATGGATTTTAATCAAGTAAAAGCCACCTCAGTCCGACTAATATACTTGTGTCTTGTAATAAATCAAAACCAAAAAAATTGTCTGGCAGGAGGTGAGGAGGTTCTGGACTCTCCTGGACCAGTTGGTGTGCGCCTACGACGAGCTAGACATCTGCAAGGTGCGAATGCAAATGAAAACCGAGGACGCGTTCCCGGGAGGGAGGTTCAACATCGAGCCGAACCGTATTCTAAAGAATTTAAGCTACGAGCCGGCTGTCGCGCACGAAAACATCAACTTGATCTACGAAAGCCAGGTAACTATCCCCGGTCTCCGCCTCCTTCTTCGTTATAAATCTCGTCTTCTCCGAATCAGTTGCCCATGCAGGAAGAGTCGCTGCGCTCGGACGAGATGTACAATTCCGAGCAGCTAAATCAGCTGCTCGGTACCCGGAACTATCTCGAAACGTTGAAGAAGCAGCAGTACGAGGGCCAGAGTCCTGATCCGTGTCCGGTCTGTAAGGGCGCTCTTGAGAAAAACTGGACCATCTTGACGTGCGGCCACTGCTATTGCCTCGACTGTTTCAAGAGGCTCCTCGAACGGGTAAAACTCTTAGTTTTTTACCATTTTCCTAAATATCCGATCGCTCCCTAGCCATGACTAAAGTTTTAGCAATGCTGTTCGGTTGGATGCGGTAAGGGCGTGCTTCTGATTTTCCCGACCAGGGATTTTAATTTTGTTAGGCAAACTCACCTTCCCGTTGTTTTAACCGCGGTGACTAATGAAGGCAAACTGCAGGCAGATTTAATAACAAATTTACGCAATTACTCAAACCTCCTTGTTACTTTCGAAAAATCGATGAAATCGAATGGGTCCCCACTAACAGTATTAGCTATAACTAAAAGACAGCGAAAACTTTTGTATTTAAGGTTTTCACCTAATGTATAGGGTGTTGAAGATATTCTGTGCTATATAAGAAATGTGTTAGGTGTCTTAAATTTGCAGATATCGACTTCAAATTGAAACAGTGGAAATTGGGTGCAATCAAATTACACCCAGTATCTTTTAAAAAAAATTACCATTTACTCTATCGGTAAAATTCTTCGACCAGAAAAAGTGGGAGATCCAATGCTATGACCTATATATTCAAATTTTTTTCAATTATGTACAAGGTGTGTCGATTATGGGCAAAAAATCAAAAGACTCTGAAAATTGCCGTTTTCGTTGGGTAAAATATTAGCCGTAAATGAAAAACTCTAAAAAATAAGATAAGTTGGTTTAAGCAGTAAGTAAGTATGTCGAGAGTGTCAGGTTTCGTCTATCATACAGGCTGCGCGAGATACTTGAAAAAAATCTAATTGGAAATCACTATCATTTGTACAAATTTTTATATTTATCATAGTTTGCCGTGGCTTTGCAGTTTAGCGATACGTGAAAGACTCTTTATACTGGGTGTATGCACAATACACACCTCGATTTTGGGAAAGTTCCATTGTGGTCCGCAGGAGCACGATAGAAAAACAATGCGTCCCTTTATTGACAAGAAACCGCAAAGCGGCTACGCGCTCCGAAGTTGCCCCGCCCAGCTACGTTTTTTCGAAAGCAATCTTGTTCTGATAAGCGGGGGCTATTGACCTAGCGGACCTTGTCACTCGACTAGGTGATGACTGATTATTTCGTGTCAGTTGTCATCATATTCTGGGCACAGATTCACGTCCACTTTATTGAGTGTGATTATGCAAATCGGACTGTAGCTTTCATGACGTCCAGCCTCGGAGAAAGATAAAACAGCGGCAACTAATACCAGGGTGAGGTTTTGAAATGTGTAGGGAGACTTTGAATTATGAATATAAAAAAAAATTATGTACTAATTCTTGCTTACAAATTGCAATCTTAAAAGCTAACAAGATTTACAGTAATATCCTCAATTTTGAATTTGGCCAAATGCAAAAATTATCAATATAAAATTATGATGGACCCAATATTTGAATCTGATCGAAGATATCCAAATGTATTATGAATGAAAAAGTAAGAGGGAAGAAGAAATAATAATAATAATAATAATAACAAAAGTAATAAGAGTTAAAAAGGGCAAAATTTCAAAGTCTCAACAATTGGATCTTTTACAAGGCATTAATTACACCAAGGTACTCGCAATGTAAAAAAAGAAAGCACCAGAGCAAAAAGATGTTTCTGTCCACAAATTAGAAGCAAAAGATACGTGCAGGTGTTTTAAAAGTGGCCACTTAACAATTAATATCAAATAAAGATAAAAATAACCACTTACCTGCAGGTATTCTCGCTGAAGACCCTGGCAGAAACGTCAAACTTGTCTGGTTTTCATTCTATATCATTAGTTGACTTGTTATCAGTAAAACCAATCTGGCAATTAGATATTATATGATTTTTAGTAAAAAAGAAAACCAGCCGAAGGCTTTTTCGAAGATTTATTTTACATTAAAATAAGACTGTAATTCTCAAGAATATTTTTTTCTCCTTTTTTTAAGTGGGTTTTATTAAAGCAATTTTGAAATGAGAAAGCCACTTACCACTTGTAAACATTAGTTTAATAATATGGCAGACTGACATGGACATGAATTTCTTTCAATAGAGAAGATGTAATTTTGCCAAACCCCGGCGCCGAATCAAATTTTAACAGGGTTAAGAAAAATAGAACGTTTATTAGTAATAACGAAATTTTCATCTGTGATTATTTGCTGATTGTTTTTCAATACTTTTTACACCATCTTCTCGCCCACAGTGACATAAAGTTCACTGAAAAACTCGATAATTCTATGTATATATTTCTTTCAGGTAGCTTATTTTCGTTTAAAACTTATGAAGTTTTATTTTTACATTTGTTGGTGTATTCGCTAATTTTTTCCCGTAATTTTTTGCTATTGTTTTTGTCTTTTTTACTTATATTTTTATAGTATGTAGTTTTTTAAAAATTAATTAATTGTACTTGTTCTTTTATATAATTTATAAAGTTTTTTTTATAAAGTTTGTCCCTCTCGTTCATGCATACATAGATTTTTTTTGTTTATTAATTTAATTTAATCTGTGGTAAAATTATGAACATTAGATACAAACTGTCATTCTAGCCCTTGTTTTCTCACTTTTTTCCCCGCCGTGCTCACAGTCGCGCGCGCCCGAGATCATCCAGTGTTGCCTGTGCCGTGTCGAACACCATATCCGCGATGTGGCTTACATCAAGGCCGACCCCGCCTCGCACGTTGGCGAGGACGAAATCGAGGTCCTAGGCAACTACTCGCGGAAGATCGAGGCGGTGATCCGGTTGTTGTTGAAGTTGCGCTCGCAAGATCCGAACGTCAAGGTGTTGCTGTTCTCCACATGGACGAGCGTACTGAAATTGCTGAAGATGGCGCTCGCGCAGAACCGCATCGAGGCGGAGTTGTCCTGGAGCGGCGCGGTCGAGAAAAAGGTCAAAAGGTTCAAGGACCCTGCGCTGAAAGTCACCGTTCTGCTGCTGCCCATCCGTCTCGGCTCTAAGGGACTGAACCTCATCGAAGCGACGCACGTCATCCTGATGGAACCGCTGCTGAACCCGGCCGACGAGCTGCAAGCGATCGGCAGGGTCCACAGGATCGGTCAGACGAGGTAGGCGCCAGCGGTTGTAGTTTGAATGTCCCGAGATCGGTAGTTCGAATATCTCTTTTATTATTGTGGTTATTAATGTGGCCGCTTTTTATGTTTTTAGTTTTACTATTTATTTATTTCGTTTAATATTTTCAAAGTTTCGACTCTACGTTTATGCCTTGATATTTTGAAATTGTCTTTATGTGTGTCATGTTTTAATTTTTATGATGATTTTAGTGTGGCTAATATGTGTTGTAATGTCTCGCGAAATCGGGTTTGTAAAGTTTGGCTTTTTGAAAATTGTTTCTAAATTTAAAGGGCCCAATGGACGCGACTCTCTTAGTTCGAATATCTCTTTTATTATTGTCATTACTGCCGCTTTTTATATTTTTAGTTTTCCTATTTATTTGTTTTATTTTATTTCTTTGAAAGTTTCGACTCCACGTTTATGTCTTTACATTTTAAAATTGTTTTTGTGTATGATTTTAGTGCGGTTAATATGTGTTGTAATGTTTAGCGTAATTTTGTTTGTAAATTTTGGACTTTTAAAACATTTTTCTATGTTTGCAGAGCCCAATGGACGTGACTCTCTTAGGTAGTTTGAATGTCTTGCAAAGCCTTTTTCAAGTGTGCTTAAGTCTGTTTAGAGAGCCTAATCGACATGACTCTGTTAGGTATTTTTTTGTTTTATTTTTGCTTAATGAACCGTCGGGTTCGAGAAGAAGGTAGGAGTTATTTGAACAAATTTTTACCGAGTACTTTAAAAACGTCTTTAATTTTTTTGGAGTAGAAATGAGGGGAGAAAAAAAACCTAACTTTTTCACTTCAGTTTGACTAGTAGTTCGCTATTTTCCCACAACTTCCTGGGCAGTTCGGGGTCGTCGGTGCGAGCGGACTCGTACCTCGTCACATATTTGCAGTCTTCGAAATGCTCGCCCGTATACTGCTCGATGCCCTTTTGTACCGCGCAATATATGGTCGTCTGCGCGCCTTCCGTCGCTGTCTGTAACTCTCGTGGGTAGAAAAAAAAATCCTCGAACTACGCGCCCGCTCACCTTGAAGAACCATTTGAACGCGTAGTTGTAGAGCAGACTCAGGTGCGGCGACAAATCCCGGAATATCTCGGTGGCGACCGATCCGGGATGCAGGGAATAAGTTGTGGTCGTGGTGCCCCTCAGTCTCCGAGCCAGTTCTATGGTGAACAGCACGTTGCACAGTTTCGTTCTCGCGTACATCATGATCGGTCCCGGGTCATCGTTCAACGACTCCAACTCTATCGGTTTGGCATATTTCGCTCCGGTGGACGACACGTTCACTATCCTCGACTTGGGCGTATTGGTGATCAGGTCTGAAACGTGAGGTCCTTTCGGTCGGGATTCGCGCCGCGCTTCACTTACCCAGTAGCAAATTGGTGAGCAGAAACGGCCCGAAGTAGTTCGTTTGCATCTGCTTGTCGAGGCCGTCTTCGGTGAAGCCGCGTTGATTCCCCGACCCCGCGTTGTTCACTAGCACGTCCAAACGTTTCAGCTTTTTCTTGATTTCGTCCGCGCAGCGTCTGACCGACGCCAGCGACGCGAAATCGACCAACACGTAGGATACGTTGGGGTTGTCGGTTTCCCGTCTGATCCGGTCCCGCGCCTCCGCTGCTTTGTCTTCGTTCCGACACGCGAGGATCACTTCCGCCCCACGTTTCGCGAAATCGATAGCTGCTTCGTAGCCCACCCCTGGCCAATCAAGTTAATTTGCACGTCATAATGTGGTGTGGGTTGTACGAGGTCGGTAGTTCAAACGTCCCGCTTTTGAAGTTGGTTAATTCGCGTCTTTTCGAAAACGTTTTTAGTTGTGAGTACTCGGCAACGTTAAAAACCAACCGATATTCGTGAAACATTCCATTGAAAATGCAGGGTAATTTTTGAGTACTTGGTAACGAATAATGGAAATTGCGAAAAAAATGTTTTTGGTACTTTTATGTAGCCAAACATCGTAATAATAATGGAGTACCTTAACGAACTTATTATTATTATACTATTGGCAGTAGGCAGCAAAGCCGATAAAACTGCACTATATATAGAAGTCACATATTGACACTGCGTTCACTGTCTATTTACAAAATTATCAAGTGTTTTCTTAAAGCTATTCAGGGTAGGTGCAGTCACAATATCATCTGATAAACTGTTCCACTCATTTACAACATGGTTTGGTATAAATTTTTGTCGTGAAATTGTGACAGAGTTCAGTACACAATTTTGGTGAATGGCCCCTTAGGTTATTGTCCTTTTGATGAAAACAGTCGATAAGTAGTGGCCATGCAAGACCTTGTGCGAAGGCGTAGATAAAGATGGTGGGATTTTTGTTGCTCCTCTCTGAACCCGTTCCAGAAATCTATGTCCTTTTGGAAGTATGGAGAAAGTGTTATAGGCTCAAAGAAAAGATTCTTGAGACATCTCCTTAAAAGCACGTCGTATCATATATGTGTTGCCATGTTTTACTACCTTTGTAACTTGGCTCTCCCATTTTAGGGTCTCAGATATTAAAACAGCTAGAAGTGTCTGTTCATTTACGGATCTTAAGTCAGAGTCATTTATATCATAGTCAAATTTAGGATTGTTATAACCTATATATAGGGTTGTACATTTGTGTGCATTGAGACGCAGCAGCCAGTCCTTTGTCCATCTTTCCCGTTTAGCTAAATCTTCAATTAGGGTCCCCCTGTTGTAAAGTTGGGTCTCTAAAAATCTTAGTATCGTTATTATGCCTACTAACGTTGCACATCATATGCTCAGCAAGGTCAGAGACATATATTATGAATAACAGGGGTCCCAGTACTATGAGGCACTCCACTCAAAACCTCAAAATTTCAAGAGACAGCAATGGGGCGGGGGGGTAGTTTAATTTAAACACTGGGGACACGTTATCAGTCTGAAACTCAAGCTTTTAGAACTTTTTCTTCCGTGAGGGTTTCTAAGGGTAGCACAGGTTAGATCTTTCTTCCGTGAGCGTTTCTAAGGGTAGCACAGGTTAGATCCTCTTGAAAATAAACACTGTAGAATTGTTCAGCAAATCTGCAATCTTAGTTGATTTAGTTTCTAACTCACCAGAGCTGTCAAGCAATTAACGTGCTTTGACTCTAATGAGTCGTTAATTTATGTGTAAAACTTTCTGGGGGCCTGTTTTGTAAGGTTGTTTTCAAATTCGGCTCGTTCTTCTCTCAGCTGGTTTGCAACTTGATGTCCACCTAACTTTTGTTGTTTTTGTAAATGTGCCAAAGTCTTCGTTTTTGTTTTATTAGTTTCAGGTTGATGGTAAATATTAAGTATCTTGGAACAAGTACAATTATGAAATGTAATAGTGGTGTTACCTATTGGACCATTATTATTAGTTGCAATTCCATTAAAAAGGATAGGTTAAAACCATACACGTTTTTTGCTATTCCCCGATTTTGAAGAATACGGGTTTCTTGTTCCCACAACAATTTTTCGTATTTTCAGGAATAATTTTACTAGAACGCGTGGACAAAACATTCATCAGAAGGAAATTTTTTTTGAGATAAAGAATTGTATTAAGATTACAAATATAAAGACGAAGATGGAAGAGAGAGGTTGCGTGGGTCGGTAGTTTACATGTCCCATACTGAATGTTGGTTCGTACACTGTTACTTAAAACTACCGGAGTTCGTATATATATTTTTCGTCGATTGATTCACTGAAATAAACATGTACGCGATAACAGGCGTTGTCGATAAAATAAATTCTCGAATACGCAATAAATGATTACGATCTTTTAATAAAATGGTAAATTTATAATCGAAGAAGAAATTTTTTTGAGGGATCCCTTGAGAGGTGTTTGAACTGTTCCCCATTTACAGCCTGACCTTTGGAACTTTTCGGAGCCTCGCAAAATATCTACCTGTATTTGCACCTGTGACGACCACGGTTTTGCCCACCAGACACACTTGGCTTCGGCACCACGCCATCACCAATTTCAGATAAATCTTGAACGCTATCAGAGCGAATAAGGCCGAAAACAACACAGTCGATAGGAAACCCATCGTTGCGATATGAAACCGCGCGTAGTGCTCGTTCCAGACTGATGCAAGTTCAAGAGTGTATCGAAAGATAACCCTTATCTCAATTGAAATTGTGGAAAACCAGTGGCGCAATTTTTTTTTGTGTTAAATGTGGGCGATTTAAAACAAATCCGTTTCAGGCCTACCGTGGTGCACAAGTTCTTTGTCAAGGGTACAATAGAAGAGACCCTGCACGAAGCGACGTCCGCGAACGCAGCCCTCTGGGAAAGGGATCAAATCACCATCCGTCGACTCCAGGAGTTGTTCCGGGCCCTGCCGAAAGCTAACGGCGACGACGAAAATTCCCAATAATTTTGTTTTTTGATGCTCAACACGTAAACATTCCCGTCTGATTGTTCAAGGTGTAGCTGTCGAATTTGCGCGTAGTGTTTTTATCTTTTGTACTTTCTGGAATAAAGATCTCTTTATTTTATATTCCGTTTTTATCCATCATGACCTTAGACCAACAAGCCGTAAACAAGCGCCAGTCAATCGGCATAAAAAAAACGATGAATTCAAGAATCTCTTATTGTGGAAGAAAAATATTTATTTTTTGGCGGTTCCGGGGTACTTGGATAGATGGCGCAACAGGTTTAATCAACTGTCATTATTTTGCGGTGTTTCTTACTTTTTCGAATAGATGACGCCACATGCGGCAGTTTTATCGGTGTTGTATAGATGGCGCTTTGAGAGAAATCATGCTACGTTCCGATGTGTTTTAATTCACATTTTATGTAAATAGTTAATTTAAGTATTTAATTTTCACTTGTTAAAGTTTTTTGCCATTATATGAGTGGCAGAAAGACTGCCGTTTTTATCCCAGAAAGCAATTTATAAAACTTGCTCGAAGTAAGAGCATCTATTTTGCGCCCTGCAATGAGGCCAATGCATTTCGATCTAAGTGCTACGTCGCGTCGCTTCAATCTCGCTTGGGAAGTTGAATCCTGATATTTTTCCGTCTGGATTTAGCGTCGATCACCATTTGCGCCTGTCTCTTCAGGTACCCTCTGGACGGTACTTCCTCCTCGTCCTCAGATACTAAAACGAGCGTCGTTCAATAGTGCGGGAGTGTTATCTCTTGTTAAAGCTCACCTGGTGTCGGGGGTGGTGCCGGAGAACCGCTAGTCTGAGTCACGGGCGTCTTACGAAGTAAAGTACTGTACGGCCCTGGTAGACGCTCCTCACCCAATTCGACAACCTAAAACCTGGGATTTACCGAAACATCGCGAAACCCTGAATGACTGATACCTTATTTGGGGTTTCCTCTATTTTCTCCTCCTTCTCCACCGCCGATTGGTGCTTCGCCAACATCACTTCCACATCCCGCACCAAGTGGTCTACGAAAACTTCGGGATTCGTTTCGGGTACCGCCACCGGGTTGACGCAGAGACGTAGCGACTGGAGGCTTTCTAGAATGTCCGCGAGGACCCGTTCCTTAGAAATCCGTTGCTCCCGGAACCGCACCGAACGGCTTTGTTCTTGGGAGATTTCCGTCTGGAGCCGTTCCATCTCACCAGACTTCCTTTCCGCTTCCTTCACTTCCGAATAGCGGAACGCTTCCAGTTTGCTCTTTAGCGTCTCCAAGTTCTTCTCGATTTTCGATTTCTCGTTTTCCGACTTTTGACGTAAGGAGTCGAGACGCGCCTGCGTCTCCTTTTGCGATTTGAAACGCTCGAGTACTTCGTCTGCTGTGGTACCACCTTGACAAAAACAGATGTTTCATACGGGGTCGACCGAAAAGCCCATGGTAAGCCCATGGTAAAACCCATCCCAACAGATGTTTATCCTGTATTAAGTAGGTCTTGCCTGGAAATGGACCGTTTTAAATTTGATTAAGCATTGATGCTGCGAGGTATTTCCGAATAAGTAGAACCGTTTATTTTAGCATCAGGTGATATATATCGTTCTTAAGAATTTAATCTAAATTGCAAAGCTGCTTTCACTGGGTAGTTCAAAGGGTAACTCTATTTATCTTACAGGTAATTTTGAAAATAATCATTTTTGTCTTGTGTGCCTGTCGACTAACAACATTCTTCTTCTTGTTTTTTTGTTTCTTCTATAAAGTTCTTCGATTTGTACACAACAACATTCTTTTTTAAGACTATGGTAGATAAAAGTACGTCATTTTAGATTGAATTAAACATTTTTAGAAGGTTCCCGTTTTTTATAACGCTCTAAAGTGTGCAGACCGAGGAATAAAGTTCTTCTAACAGAAAAGCGACTTCTGGAATTATTAAAAATAAAACATTTTAATAAAGACTACAAAATCGATTCGATAACACAACAAAACGGACATGAAATCTTGAGATTACCCACTTAGCATTGTATACTTCACCCGATTGAGATTATGTGGTCTGAATTGAAAGCGCATATAAGAAGAAATAACACTGCACCAACATTTAGTGATAGCACCATAAATAAAAATAAAAAATATCAATACAAAGCCGGTCTAACTAAGAAAAACGAGTAATAAAAGAAGAAAATATTTATGGAACTAGGTAACGGCAGTAGCGATAGTGACGATTTTTATTTATCTTCATATTTAATATTTTATATATTAATGATGATACTATGTAGAAGTGTAATGAAATATAACGTAATAAATTGTCACTTTGTACGAATTTTTTGATGTACAAGAATTGCCTGGCGAAAAAGACTGAAAACATTCTTATATCCTGCTTGTTATTGTAGGTAAGGGTGTGCTCGGCGGGTTGTTCTATAAGGGGCTGCGGTTTTGTAGGCAAAGTTAATCACGGGGTCGGTTGTAAAAAGCACTATATTTTTGGCCCAAGTATACCTGTAACCCGCTTGAGTAGTTCGAATTGTTGAGCCCGCGCCTCCACCGGATGCGGGGGCGTGGCGGACTTGTCTCCTTCGTCCGGGTCCGCCTCGGCCCCCTCGGGGGCAGGCCGCGGAGGCGGTTTGCCGCCCTGGAACATCCTTTTCTCCAACTCCTCCAATTCGGATCTTCCCGCCGCCACCAATCGTCGACCCTCCGCCGCCTCCAGTTCGCGGCGCTGAGCCGCCGCCGACGCCGCCTTCTCCTCTTTGATGAGGTTGTTACGCGCGCGCGCTTTCCTCCTGGTCGCCTCCACCAGTATCTACGGGCTGTCCAAAGTTAACCGCCGTCGAGTTTGGACGGTTCCGTGTGTCTGACCTTTTGCAATTTGTCGACGTCGCGGTTTTGATTCGCCAGTTCACCCTCCAAAGCGGACGTGGAGCTCTCGAATCTGGCCGCGTCCCTCTTCAGGGAAGTCCTGATATCGCGGTAGCGGTTTCGTATGTGCGCCGCCTCCCTGATTTGGACCTCCACGGCATGAATGTTGGTTTGCAATTCGGAAACGTGCTGAACACGCCGCCATTAACAATTCGGTTTACTTAATTTAATTAAATAATTAGAATTAACAATCAATCGATATCAATCGATGGTTACCGTTAATTCTCCGAATACACCGTCGTTAATTATTAATGAAATGAATTACGCAAATCAGTTTAATTAATTTAATTAAAAAGAACAAACCCCGTTACTCAAACGTTCTATTAAATTAGTTGACTTCATTGATTAAATTAATTTGCTATATTTGATAGCATTTAATTAACCATCTCATTAGTTCTAACATTAATGTCGTATCAGAATGGGGTCTGGTTAATCGATTATGTTTAAATGTTTTTAAGTGCTACATGCTATTCTATTCTACATAAATGTATTTAATTACGTAATAAATGAAATTGTAGTGAATCGATTAAGTGAAGTTAAAGACTTGGAGATTGTCTTCTAGTACAGATTTATTTTTATACCTCATGTTGAGCAATTAGTATTATCGACACCAAGAGCGTTGGATTTTGTAATAATAAGAAGAAGAACAATACTTGAACTATTAGAACTCTCTACTATTCATACGTTAGATCAAAATTATCAAAAAAATTATCAAAAAATATTTATGTGTTTGTTTATGTGTGGTAACTTCAATATTGCTTCAGACATATGTGACATTAATACGGATACGTTTCGTGAGATTGTTGACTGCTTTTTGCTTCATTCGTTTTCGCTTCTGACTTAGACCTTAGAGTAGTGTGCGATTATTCTCTTATTTATATATTTTCTGTAATTGAGAGTAAACCTGTTGAAATAAAAGTGCTTATTATTCACAATTTAAAACCTAAATCACTTAACTAATGCCGTCAATGACTGTTTAACGAAATTATTAATCCCTAACTACGTATGAACCTTTTTAGCCGGCTTCTCCACTTTCTGGATGAGTTCCTTTTTTTCTCTTCGGCCTAGCAAGTTTTGGTATTGGTTGCCCAACTCGTCGATGTACTTCCTCCTCTGTAATCAATACGTAACTTGATCAGTATAATTAAATCGTTGAAATACTGATCAATTAATTGCTTTAACCCATATTATCCCAAGCATAAAAAACATAAAAAAAATACTTTTTGCTCTGAAATTATTTATTTTATTTCACTTAAGAATACATTGCATTTGCGAAAAAAAACTCAAAACACAAAAAAATACTGGTGCGTAAACGATTCACTAGGAAAAAACCTTAAATATTGTTTTGGGGCACATAAGATGTAACATATCATTTATATATAAATATACAAAAGAAAGTTCAAATTCGACAGAAAACAACTAAAAGTAGATTTTTTTCCAAATAGAACCTGATTTGATGCAAAGAAACCCATAATATTTTATGGTGCGTGAGCGCACCACTGGTAACACCCGGTTTCATTTTTGGTGATATTTTACAAAGCACATTACAAACGTAAATTGTGTGCCTGTGGCAGATTCTACATCTCCTTCGGGCTTTATTAGCGCGAACAATCATGAGGTGACCTTGATTAGCATAACGCACTTCATCTATGGCAGGTGCAAGATTTCTTTGAGTTCCAAGCGGAGTTTTTCCAGAAAGCCTATTTTTTAGTTCCTCAAGTGACCTAAATTCATTCGGATATAGGTGTGTGAATGGACTTTATCTGAGCTTTCTTCCATTTAACAGTAGAAGCAAGCCTGTCGTTTGCAGAAATCATACGTTTTCTGTTGAATTTCAGAGTTCCAGGACATTCGGTCTATGTAACTCGAAAGTTCCAACTATATCAGTTGGTTCCTCAAACTCTTATAGATTTATGTTATCGTTCATATCTTCTTCGTCAGTCAATATATACCGCGTCAATATGTTCTGTAAATATTTTTTCACGTTATTTTTAGCACAAATTTACAAGGAATGGAATACGTAAATCCAAATAATACTCACGACTTTCATTGTTATTGTTCACTGCACAAAGCACAAACTAATACTAAAGAACACGCTAATTGTTATATGTCTATTCTACATGCGTTGACTTGTCTAGACTTGCAATTACAAAGTTTTGTTTCACAGATAAAACCAGTGGTGCTTTCTCGCACCAGTAAATATTTTTAAAAAATAAAGCATAATCAATATAGTAGTTCCAAGTATATTTTCTGAGATGTAATCTACATGCTATAGACTTAAGAAAAATGTCAATTCAAATCCAAAATATATTTTTTTACCATTTTGAATTTACTTGAAAATGTGATACAAATTTATGTACCGGTTTTGTTAACTTTTGAAGTGATAATAATAAAATTTCTAAATGGATGTTCGAAAATATTTCCTGGATGTGACAAAAAAAATCATCCCCCCCAATGGTGCATTAACGCACCACTGGGACAAAATGGGTTAATTATTACTTACTGCCAAACATACCGTCGTTACTTGTATTTTTGTTGTATAATTGTTATTAGATTTTAATCAGCGATATACCCATTTAACTTCTGTCAGTTCAGTTATTATAAATATTTAATCAAATCTATTAAATCTAATTAATTTCGAATGTCGATCGGTATCTTTGGCTGACGTAACGACTAAGGCTCGCGTATACCTTGTCCATGCGATATTTAAGCAAATCCAGCCTCTTGCCGGTGTTGATGACGTGCAGGTCCAAAAGCTCCTTCACCTGGAAACAAGATTTGTCGGCCAGAGGCCCCACGACTTCTTCGATCCGCTTGTCTTTCAATCTATACTCAGCGACCGGACTCTTGGTCTGATGCGAGACTACCGTCAAGTTGGAAATTTCCTTTTTCAGTCTGATGATGTCGTCAGCGTTGCTTTTCCTTTCGGCTTCGCAGTCTTCGAAGAGCGCCTTCCTCTGACCCTCTATAATATCGACGAGAAAGAAAAAACCGTGCGACGAACACGCCCGATTAATTCCCACATGCGCGCTACTAGCGTACGCGCGAGAGGTGTCACAATTTAAAAAAAAAAACTCGAACGGTTAGCAAGTGTACTAATACAGCTAGACAATGGACGTGATGGTTATTAAAATAGCTCGTGAGAAATGTGAAACAAAGCGCATTGTCCGAGTGTAACGTGATTTCTTTTGAGCAAACTATTTCGCCATTGGCGTCGACGTTCTCTAGAAACGTCGGCAGTTGCAGATAGATATCGATAACTCAAAGATCACCCGGGATGGTCGTACTTAAAAGCGGGCATCGAGACATCGGTCAAAAATCGATGTATGTTGCGCATCGAATATTTTAAATTATCGATAGTCGCCGTTCATTTAACAATAATTCGACAAAAAGTCAAATAATAAGCTTACGAATATTCTTTTATGGAATGGCTAGCTCTCCCCCACATCTCGTTGGTTAGTCGGTCCACATAAACCTACTACATAAACCGTTTATTATTATAATTATTACATTATATTTTTCACTACACTCAAGGCTTCATCTTTCTGTTGGTAATTTCTAATTTTTAATTTTTTAAAGGATTTAATTATACTTTTCAAAGGGTAATTCAAAATATCTTTCTTTATGTGAACCTTATTATTCGGAAATCGTCAACGAACCAGTCCATTTTTCGCGAGCTAATGTCAACTTCCTTATTTTAAATGGAACACCTGACATATTATGTCATTTCTGAATCTATTCAAAATTTTAGACATATTTTGTGTATAATATCCTATACCTTTTTGACATTTAAATTTATCTGCCAGTTTCTTCATTCGGAAGTATTCGTTTCACTTGAATAAGTTTTGTTGTACACAAAGGACTCGAATAACGGATTTCATAAGAAATTGAGATATATATTAATACAGGGTACGCGAAAAATAAGATTCAAAATGAAATAAAAAAAAACTGCCAAAAAACTTTTTTTTAAGGTGGCTATGACGGCGTTTACACAAAACAAGTGCCTTCTTGGACGCGTGTTTCATTGTTGATTACTGTCATGATTCAAATATTTTTAATAAATTTAATTTATTCACTTGCTTGGGTATTATGTTTCCCATAGAGGTAAAAATTGATATGTTAGAAAGTTACATATCGAACAATAAAAACAGAAAGATTATATAACAATATTTCCATTAAGAAGACGTCCAGGAACAAGATCTTCGACAGGATTTACCAACATTTTAGAATATATCGAACCTTGAAGAAAGGAAGAAATAGACGTCGTCTATCTAGATCTAGACGTCAAAAGAACAACGCTTCGAACCAGTCAATTGATCGGTAAAATAATTTTTAAAAAATCATTAAAATCGTATTTGGATATTCTTTGAAGAATGTTATACATAAATTGAACAATTAAACTTAATACATAAATTAAAATTAAACAATTGCAAAATGTTATTTAAAAGATTTTTTGACTAGTCCGTTAAAAAGTGATCAATTGACCACGGTCGGTTGACCAGTCCCATCACTAGCGGGCATCGGGACATCGGTCAAAAAATCGATAGTTAATATGACGCAGATATTCTAATTGATTGATACACTCATTAATTGATATATAAAGAAGGGGATCAGATTTAAACTTTTTTTCTCACCTCCATAGGTAGTTGGCGCCTCGCAAAATTCGTATAACAATATTTCGACGAAAAGCCAAACACCTAGACTAACTCTCCCCATTTCATGGGTTAGTTGACCCATCATGAATTCTACTAAATAACCCATGCAACACAGGTCACATATTTTGAAAGGCTTTTATGAACTCCAATATGTGATTAAATTAGTATTACAATTGTTACAATATATTTTTAATTATGCTTTTCTCTACTTTTTGAAAATCGATATAGGAGGCTTGTTCAAAAAGTAATTCTTTTGTTTTGGAAGTTAGGATTAATTCTTGGGAATGCACTACCGATACCCGTTAAAAAATTTATCTAAAATCAGGATTTTGCACTGTTTCGAAATTTAAACAAAAGCATATCGATGTTAAATACGAAAAACATTGCTAGCGTTTAAAACGATGCAAATTATTTGCTTAGGTTATGCTTTGTTTGGTATTTGGCATAATTTTTAAGGCTACACAACTGTTCCAAATATAGGATTGTGGCGATATTTTTGAAAAAACGGCTTCTTACACTTGTATAATCTTTATATTTTGTCAAAGTCTCCATATGTTGCACAGTTAATATTAAATGAACTGTTTTTTTTTTTAATGTCGATATATAGTTTGATGGAAGAAATTTAAGCGTTACACTTTGATAATTTTTGAAAATCAAAATCTTAGAAGTTTGGGAAAAAATGTTGGGAAAAAAAACAAAAGATCGTTCCATTAGAAGTAACGGGAAAGGGTATGTTCAATAATACTGATAAAGTCAGGCCGTTAGACCACAAGGTAATTGAATTAACATGACAACATTGACTCACATACAACCGATGAAAATCGTATACCTGAAAGTTGTATTTTCTTCTTAATTTCCAAAATTTTCTTGTTCAGTTTCACAAGCTTTCCGTTTTGGACAGCATCAGCAGGATTCATTCTTTTTTTTTTTTCGCAACTTCAAACTCCCAACTGACAATTGTATTTTAGGCAGTGACGTGTTAGCAGCGGTGTTTAATCGATAAAGTTTTTAAGGCGTAACTACGCGTTTATCGACCTAAAATAAACGCCAACTTTTCGCTTTATCTTTTTTTATGTTATTTGCTTGCAATATATTTTTACTTTGACATTATTACGAAAATGTTTTAATTTTATATTTTATTCTCCCTAAAACTTAAAATTAGGTCTAATTTTTTTTGCAAATATATATGGTTTCAAGTGTGAGGATTATTGCTTAAAAAGCTTAAAATATATTTTCTTTTTTAACATGGGTCGATTTTAAAAAACCTAACAATTTTATATGGGCTTTCAAGTAATATTAAATATCTTGGAAGCATAATAAAACCTTAATTTTTGCGATGAGTAATATTTCATGCTGGTTTATTCGGCAACCAAATAAATACAGCCACCCGGAATTAGGATAAGTTATGGTATTCAGAGGAGCCATATTGTCAGTAGTGCGTTACTGTGATACAAAATTCCGCCAAACTGACAAATGTGATGTACTTTAAGGTAACATTTTTTGGGTTGCATACATCACTGTTAACCGACAAAATGACTACGACATACGATATTGTTCTAAGACATATTTCTCATTTGTTTTGTCCGCTTATCTGTTCCATTTCATTTTGTTTAAATTGCGTGTAGTTATTTTAACAAATAGAAAAAGAAAAAGCAAAAATATCAAAGTAAAAATGGCCTGGTTGGTCAAGGAGGGTTACTCTCCGGACTCGGCATTGAAATCACCAGGGTTCGATTTTTCATTAAACTTCTCCTTCACGCTCTGATCGCGTCGGTGAAAAGTTTTTTTTTGGCCGTATCTGTACAACACAATAACGTAGATCGGTTATTATTATTAGTATTATTAAAAAAAAAACGGTGTATCTATCAATTTTTTGCTATTTTTTCCGATTTTAAAATATTTAAGGCTTAGTTTAATTAAATTAACTAGTTAAGTGATCAAAAAATAAAAATTATGCAAGCATTAGATAAAGAAATGCTTCCTTTATTATAAATGCAAATAATGTTTTGCTACCTAAAGTCGAAAGAAAGTGTGACCTTGGCTAGAAAATAAAGAAAAAGCAGGGGTTAAAATTGGTTAAAACGAGGTTTGAAAAGGATAGTAAGTAGTGAGTTTGTCAAAAAAAAACAGCCTAACGTGTATTTTTTCTATTTTGCTACCAAAAGTACCAAAAGTTTGTAGAGTAATATATATTACATTTTTAATTTTTCTAGTTAACGAAGTTTGATTTATGGTAAAAAATTGGTTTTGTTGGTTTATAATAATAACATAATTTTAATTTTTGAAGAAAATTAAATGAAGTTCTTGAACAAATTTGTAAAGAACATCGTCAATTTGTCTGATGTGGAGTTGATATTGAAATGAAGAGAAAAGAAATTGTCAGTGCAAAGTTAGTATTAGGTAATGTAGCAGTTTTAAGAACGAAAAAAATTGATGGGCCTCAGACCTTATTCTTTTCATGTGTATGGCGCTGTTATTTTTTTGTTCACGTAGTAGGACGTTAAAAGATTTTTTAATTAAAAAGATGGGCTTTAAAAGAAAATATTTATGATATTTATAATATTTAGTTTGGTTGGACATATGATATGATATATGATATTATATATGATATGATATATGTTATGGTATATGTTATGATATATGATATGATATGGCACATTTTCGATGACTTTTTTCAACATTTGAAGCCGTATATCGGCAATAACACGGCGAATGTTGTCTTCCAAATGGTCAAGCGCTTGTGGCTTATCCGCATAGACCAAGGACTTTACATAGCCCCACAGAAAGTAGTCTAGCGGTGTTAAATCACAAGATCTTGGAGGCCAACTCACAACTCCAAAACGTGAAATTAGGCGGTCACCAAACGTGTCTTTCAATAAATCGATTGTGGCACGAGCTGTGTGACATGTTGCGCCGTCTTGTTGAAACCACATCTCCTGGACATCATGGTTATTCAATTCAGGAATGAAAGAGCTAGTAATTATAGCTCTATACCGATCACCATTGACTGTAACGTTCTGGCCATCATCGTTTTTGAAGAAGTACGGACCAATGATTCCACCAGCCCATAAAGCGCACCAAACAGTCAGTTTTTCTGGATGTAACGGTATTTCGACATACACTTGAGAATTCACAATTTCAAATTCGTGCACCGTAAATTAATAAATACTTGTTCAATGTTAGGTTTAGCAGAAAAGTTTTTAGGATCGAAGGAGTAAAATAGCTGAGTGTCATCAGCAAATAAATGCAAATTCAAATATTCGATGGATGTATAAATATCAGAAATCAACGAAGCCGTAGTAACTCAATAACATATTTATGGTCAAGCCGATCAAAGGTTTTAGAGTAATCTAAAGATATAAGTGCCTTCGCAAGACCATTACCTAAAGAACAAATAGTGTGATCGTTGATGTGTAAGAGTAGATATATTGTGATATTTATTTCTGAATGTTAATAACGGTTATTTATTAATATTGTTTCAGGTGCACTGCTCAGGGTGCGACGTTTTTTCCGCACTTCGAGGCCCTGCTACTCGGTGCTAGCACGGAAGGACCGCGGATGCTGCGAAGTCCGCCGCACCGCAAGAACGCGACGCAATTGGCCGTTTCGGGTCGTGGAAGGGGTCGCGCTTACCGACACGCCGCCGCGAAAAGTAGTACCGCTCGCTATCCGCCGTAGGCGCCTTCCAAATCATCCCTTCGGCGCAGATTTTGCACCCCATCGTCTAACATCAACAGCGGTGAAGAATAATCGCTCGAGAGTCGTCGTCGGAACGCTCGGCAACGGCCGGAGAGTAGCGCGTAGGAATACACGAGAGCCGAAGAGACGGCCATATTGGCTGGTGCGAAGGGGCCCCCTCTCAGATCCGTGTAGAACGCCGTCGCGTACGTGCGTGTAACGTTGATTTCTGCGCGCGCGTTGAATTGCTGGTTTTTTTTTTTTTGGTTGGTTCCTTTTCGTTGTTCCCCCGGACGTCCTTTGGATTGTTTACGGTTCGGACATGGCGTCCGAGTACGAAAAATAGTCGCGTATGTGGTGACACGTGTGCGGGTCGTATATCGGATTTATTTGTGAAATATTGTGCGAGGAGCCCCCATGAGGGCAGCGGCGCCGAAATGTGGATTAACAACGTTAAAAAGAAGGACCTGGACCGTTGGATTATAGGTCTCGCCGTCGTCTTCTTCGGCTGCCTCG